TGATGCGGGCCGCCCTTGGGCGGGACGCCAGCGGCGTTGCCGCGCACCGGCAGAGATTTCGACTTAGAGGCGTTCAGCCGTAATCTCTCGGGTGGTAGCCTTGCACCACTGGCCTCTCGACCGAGCGCCTGAACCAGGGGTCCGAATCTGCAGTTCTCTTGTTCTCTCGTACTGAGCAGGTTTGCCGTGGGGGCGACCTTTCATCAGTATGATAAAACTAACCTGTCTCACGACGGTCTAAACCCAGCTCACGTTCCCTATTGGTAGGTCAACAATCCAACGCTTGGCGAATTCTGCTTCGCAATGATAGGAAGAGCCGACATCGAAGGATCAAAAAGCAACGTCACCATGAACGCTTGGCTGCCCTAAGCCTGTTATCCCTGTGGTAACTTTTCCGACACCTCTTGCTTCAAACTCCGAAGCTCAAAAGGATCGATAGGCCATGCTTTGACGGTCCGTATTCATAATGAAAATCAAAATCAAACGAGCTTTCACCCTTTTGCTCCGCGCGAGGTTTCCTTCCTCGCTGGGCTCGCCTTAGGACACCTGCGTTATCCTTTGACAGATGTACCGCCCCAGTGAAACTCCCCGCCTGACGCTGCGGCCGGCCGCGTAGCGCCAGAAGACTGGGCCCGCGCGGGGCCCGCTCCCCGCCTCACCGGCTTAAAGTAAAGAAACGACGAGAGTAGTGGTATTTCACCGTCGGGCCGGGGCCCTCCCACCTATCCTACACCCCCGTGTCTCTTCACAAGGTCAGACTAGAGTCAAGCTCAATAGGGTCTTCTTTCCCCGCTCAATATGCCCAAGCTTTATCTGGGGAGTTCCTTAAGGCGTAAGAAACCTGAATATGCTAGTAAACACATGGTTACAGTTCTCAAGTTCAGTAGATTATCATATGACCATTTTTTTTCAACATACGTATGTGCCACTTGTTTGAGAAAATATGTTGTTGTAGGTTCTGTTTTATTTACTGGCTTTGCAAGAGATCCTTTCACCCCCTCCGCTATGAGTGAAACTGATATTGAAGACGAAGAAATATTATTAACACAAGCTAATTTATGTGCCCAAAGGATCGCTGCTACTGCTTTGATGATGGGGGCAGGAGCATTGGAGCATTTGCTCAAATGAACCCAATAAAAAGCAAAATCATATGGATTAGCAGGGCAAGATTCTTTGCCATGTTTAGATTCCCAATCCTCCCATCTTTTAAATGCACCCGAATATGCTCAGCAGAACTGGCCCTTGCACTCAGCATGACTGTTGGTAACTGTGACGCAAGCTCCTGCAATTCTGTATTGCTCTCTGGCTACCTGTTCTGTCAAACTCCTTTACTGAATATTACCTTTAATTTAGACAGGTGTGTAAATAGATATTGATAAACGTATTATTGTTGTTAAACTTTTGAATAAATTAAGCAATGCAATGTGCTCAACGCGTATAATTTAACCTTTTTGCCAGTAACTTACTTCTGAAAATATTTTGTCTCACAAATATCTTCCACTGCTCTAATTGGATTACAACTATCTTCAAAGAGCAGGGGCCAAAGTGGTGCCCAAAACCAACAAGGGCAAATCAAGGTTCCAACAGCTTTAGTATCTGACCTATGAAAGAGCACTCGAGGGATTAGTGAAATTGGAGGAACGAGCCAGAAGTTTTATCTGCTCCAGTCTAGGGTAAAAGCATCTAAATTCTCACAACTGGCGTTCCGAAATCTCAAATTAAAGCGCTGTAACTTGGTGTTGTAAAAAGAGGCACATCTGTCGATAGAGTGGGGACACCAAAAAGCATCGAAATAATGAAAACTTCATTTGAAATGCTCCAGTCGTCATCGTCTACGATCCGACTGAGCCTGACTGCTTTTTCATTCTTTGAACGTGGAATCCACTCCATATCCAACTGAATATTGCACTCTAGACAAGTCGTGTAAATGTTTAAAGTTAACTGTTGAAGTTCACTCCTCATACTGCCGCATACGGCAATCATCTCTACAGCCAGGTTATCCGTAAACCACTTAGTTTTTCGGCAGGACAGTTTAGGGGCCAGAGCATTCAACACAGCTCAACTGCTTCCAGCTCTCTCCATGTGCTGCTCTTCTGAGCTTCACTCTCATCCCATAAACCATGGGATACGGTATTGGTCACTATATTGTCTACTATAAAGCCAGCAAACCCGGTGCTACTAGCATCTGTGCGTACAATACGTGAACAATCGGCACGAGGACCTAAGACACATCTGTTCGGTTTTGCGATTTGTTACTTTTCCAACATTTTTAATTCATCCACAGCCTCTGTGGAAAGGGCTACTGTACTCGCCTATGACATCCTGGATACTATACATGTACACATGTGAAGTGCTTTGATCATGACTCTCGCTACATTACCGGTAACCAAACTCGTCGACATGATCTTGCCCGCAATGCTTGCTAATGCTCTTGCACGAATAACTCTGGGTATGGGCTACACGGAGAGTTACTTGACAACACTATTTCTAATGTCAACAATACGCATTTGTGGGACTGAAAAAAAATCCATGTTTCAAATCTATTTCATAACTTAGCCATTCGATATTGGAAACAGGAGACCATACACTTTTTAGAACGTTTGGTACAAACCCAGAAGACAAAATGTCTCGTTTGACCTCTGAACCAACTCTCAGTGCCTCTTCGTAGGAAGCGGCAAATCCCAAGCCATCATCTAAAAACACCACAGTGGATTTTCCCTCCTCACTCCACTTTTTCACCAAAGATCTAATTATATTGGTAAATATATACGGAGCGGAGGAAAGGCCGAAGGGCAGTTGTTTAAATCTGAAAAAAAAGCCAAAATTCCTTTGGGCTGGACAAATATCTTCTTGATGATACCTGGATTTGTGTTCAATAAAACTTGAACACAAACCCATCTTTTTTTTCAAGAAAAGGATTGCTTTACGCATATCTTCGTACTTGAGTGAGGATTGTGGAGATGGTCATTAACTAACCTTAAAAATCTGGAATGAGACGCTTCTTCCCACTTTTCTGCACCGAGACTGTAAGTGTACTCACTGCTGTGGGTTGACTTAGACATCTTTCTACGGAACCCACATTGACTAGCTCTGTAATAGCTTGGTTTACAAATGGCACATGAGACAGAGCTGATTTTTGTTCTCGAGGGAAAAAAAAGAGATAGAGGCTGGCTAATAAAAGGAATGACATAATCAAATTTTATGGCATTGATAATGAAATCAGGTGCAGAAATCTTTCCCAAAATTGGATATGATCAACCAATCTACCTGCAACCCTGATGGCGGAGATTCCATTGTTTTTGTCATATTCTCAAAAATCTTCCGTTATTGAAAAGCCAATCAGGTCTGCTTGATTATCGGAACTACTCACAGTGGTCGACTTAACTTTATTGTGCAGCAGAGGAGGTGGAGGCTGCACTGGCTGCTCTACGTTAAGGTAATGTGGCCTTTCAGTGGGTGTAACTGCAGCATATGATGCATGACCCGTCTGCCGTAGGTTTGACCGAAGGGAAGGACTTAATTGACTAGGTCGAAAAGACTGACTACTACAATCATTACTATCAACCACTGACCCTTGGTTAGGCTTGAACTTCTTTGCCTGCTCTGATGCAGCCATCTTCTTCTGCTTGACTTTACGCCTAGCTCTGTTATCGGCCCTGGTGATATTATTGTCGTTCTCGTCATTGTCAACCTCGTGGGCCTCGTACTCTGAAACAGTAGCCCATCCATATGGGCTGATATCAGCGAAGAGGATTAACTTCTGCCTGCTATCAATCAGATTGGACGCCTCCTGTAAGGTAGGCGTCACTGTAGACCATTCACAAATTTCCTCCAAGGCACAGGAGATTAAAACTTTAATCTCTCTGTACGAAAAAAACGTACCTATTTTATAAAAAAGGAATGTTACCCCGGTGCCGCTACTGACGTGTATGGAAGATTCCGCCACTAGTCCTAAGCGAACCAACCTATGTTACGTAACACCCCAATTGAATAAGCTTTGAAAAATCACGCACTGCGAAGAAAGTAAATATGTTCTAATTCACACCTGGTCGTTCAAACGAACATATTTTCATTACACACTTGCATGCACTTGTACATGGTGCCTTGTGGGGTACCGGAACAATAGAAGGTACCCCACAAGACCAGTTTTGATCCTTGCGGGGTACCCCACAAGAATTTCACGAAGTAGATATTTCAAGTTTACTCAAAAAGGAGGAATTTGTCGCAAATTGAAGTGTTTTACATAAGGGAAATACGGTTGAAATTCAACACAGGAAACTGAATTTGGCTGAAATGGCAGTGATATGAATTTTTTCCCGTGTTGTGTGGGAGTTTTGCACACGAGAACAAAGGAAAAACTCCAGAAGTATACATAGGTATGGGTGTGTGTACGCGGGGTGATTGGTTTGTTGGTTGGTTGGTTAATATTTTTTATGGCCATAATTGGTCAGCAGATTGACCTCACCCGACGAGGCATTCGAGAACGTCCTGTGGTCCATGGAATTCTGCAAGAACAAACACACAAAGTGGGCTTTAAGTTTTAAAAATGATCAGCGTTTTTCCTAATTTTTCTAAAGCATTGAACTGAAAAAGAAACAATTCCATCAAATGACACACAAAGTAAATCACAACTTCCAATCGGCCAATTTTGACAAATTGCAGCCCATGAAAATCCTATACACTGCCTTTAATTAACGTGTTTCTAGAGTGTATCCACTTGCTTTTTGCACTTTTGAAATAGTACAACAGTCACGATGTAAAACATAAAAAGGTGATTTATGTATAGTACATGTCAACGTTCATCAGGCACATTGGAATTTGCCTACTTAAGTACAAAGCCCAACTCCATATCGTGTTGTGACAAACAATTGCAGACACAAGATCATCATGATAAATGGAAACGAACAAAGTCCTTGACACTTAATGGGTATAGAACCAGTGCCTCAATGTTAACATTTTGATGAAGAGACCAGATCCATAGGGAAAACCCAGCAGGAATTTCAACGAAGAAACGACTTATCCAACCTATGACACTACACTTCAGCTTCAGAAATCCATAGCAGACAAACTGGACCCGGCCAAAATTTTCCCAAACGACGCTCTTATGTAGGTGCAATTCTGGAAATACATACGTGAGCACCATGTGGCACGGAGAAGTCCCGAAACTGCTTCTCCTGGTCGTTATTTGTATTTCTGTCGCTGACTTCGTGGATTCACAGACCAGTGCGGGTGAGCTTTGTTAACTGCATGTTTCTCACTTTTTAGGTAGCAGCCATTTTCGTTAAGGCTGACCCAACCATGATAAGGGCAAAGTTGTGTTATTCGTTAGTCAGGGATTTTGGCAAGGTTTATCAAGACGACTTCTACATACCTAAGCCAATGATATTGGGTGATATTTATGATAAAGCCTTAGATTTCACTTTTAGCAGATACTTTGTCGATCTTTTTGCAGTTCGTATGGTAACATATAGCAGGCACCGATGGTAAATCAGAAATTTCAACTGGGGCAGACATTATGTGGGCAGCTGGATAACGCCGATTTTGAATCTAATACAAGCACACCGACCAAAAACACAGTGAAATTTGCAATATCAGAAACGTTGCGCATTTCCTTATGTATTTTCAGTCGTCGTCTTTGCGCGTGCTTATCAATCGATAAGGCTTGAAACAGGGGATGAGTTATTTAATTGGTAATAGTGATATCAAAAAGTAGTAATTGAATTCAGTGCAGCTTGATCTTTGGAGAGGTATCTCCCACTCCTTATCCACAACCTCGCTGGGATGAGCTGGATTTCTATTGGAACAACAATAGCTGACCACATCAGTGATCTCAGTTGGATCTGCATTGCACTGATGACGGAGTGATAATTGGCAATTAAAAACAATAATAGGTTTGACTTCTAAATAACCTACAAGCATTTGCAGTCAATTCATTCTTTGAATATTAATTCAACAAATTGGCTTTACAGCAATGTCCATAAGTAATAGGATGACTAATCACCTGTATTTCAGACTTTGACCCAGGAGCAAAACACAAATAAGGGTTTTTCTACCGCTGATTTTTGAGACGTACTCGCACAAGTAAGAAAGACCCCTTCCTCAATCATAATACATCTGAAATGAGATGAAAAACGCAGAGGGACTTCTTGTGCACGTTCTCTGCGGGTTAATTGGCCTCTTTAAGTCACCTGCGTAGAGTATTTAAGCTTCAACGTTGAAAAAAAAGAAATGAACTGCATCTCAAGGTATTTCATTGTCCGGCAGTAAATTGCTTAGTCTTTGGTCTTGTTGTCAGTCCTTGTTAGAATGACAAGGTTCCTACACAAAAATAAGCTTGTAAGTTCGTTTGTCCATTCCAATTTTGTTTCCTCGTATCCCTTTTCTAATCCTGAGAATTTCTTTCCTAGAAAGAAGCCGTATGCCGTATGTATGCCGTATAAACATCGTGAATAAAAAATTGGAATGTTACAGTTTAGGACATGACGGTGTTCCAAATTTCAAATCAAAACTTTACAGTAAGAATAAAAAAGAACAGGGATGCACTTTATGAACCGAATGATGATGATTTAGATGAACCTTTGAGTAAAAAAAATGCAAGACAGTTTGGAACTGATTCCAACTATAAAAAAGTATCGAAAAGGTTTTAAAAACGCCCCAAACCAAACGACTCCCAGAATTATTTTTCACGTAATATGCTCACAGATCATAACCCCCTCCCCCATTCACGAATACCTTTAAAATTGCCAAAAGTGTATCCAACCTCAATAGAGAATTCAAAGAGATTAGTTCTTGTTTGTATTGTCTCACAAAGCTCAACTTGCCACATGAGTTTTACTGGGAATAATGGCCATGACATTAGTTCTTATCATTGAATGGAGGATAATTTCGGTAAATTGTCGTTAAATTATATTAAAAAAAAATTCATCAAACTCAAACCGAGCCATAGCCAAATCAGATCAAGGCTGTGTTTGGATATACTGTTCGTTTTTAACGATATATGTGAACAAAACGTTGGACGAAAAATAACAGTTATGTGATATCTACTGTTATGTTAATTTGGCACTACTTTGCATATATCAGTCCCAGCTGGCGGCCAGCCCAAGTGTACAAAAGGGGAAGTGTAAATAATGAAATTTTGTTGAGTTTAGTTCCACCAATCAGAAATAGGTTTCTGCGTTCCTTTCATTCTGTTTGTTGAGTTGTGCTCATTCATTTCTATTGAGTTTGAACATCCGATACAATAATTAACTCCTATTGAAACTCTGAAAACCATCATACTCTTTTTCAAGTACAAAGCGCCTTTTTTCAAGCCCTTCTACTCTACTTTTAGCACGTTTTTAAACTTGGTTACTTTTTGTTCTTCACAATAAGTGAGGCACATTGTGCTGCGTGCCTCTTTTATCCTCATTGTGGCTTTGGTTTTGTTGGTTTGTTACGGAACCAATTAATTGCAGCTCTGGAGACTTATGGAATATTACAAAGTGACTGGTAGCCTAATGATTTGGCCAGAGATTTCTGATAACATCTCTGAGCAAGAAACTAGCACCGGGGAGGCAACTGATCTTTACAACTTCGAGGGTTGTTCGAGGGTACCCTTTATGAAAAGCAGGTGAAACTCCATTGTCACGCAGGGTAAAATTACCCTATCAATACTACCTAAGTATTACCACTTTATTTACTTTACAGAACATTTACTGGTCTATGAATCACGTGATAGTAATTCACACAGGTCCAAAAGTTCATGATAAATCATTAGTGTGCGATGCCTACTAGCTATTTGTTCAAGATTCTCATGGGAAAATCTTTCAAAAGAACATATTTCAATACCTGAGCTGATGTCAATCCAAGACCAGCTCAACGATTATTCCATTTTTTTTGAGTGGACGAATAAAGTCTGGTTAGATGAAAGGTAAATTGTCTTCACATTGGAGCAATATGTACCACCTACATGGGTTCATTATGTTGGTTTGGACCCTCTCGTTTCTTGTGGCATTTGACGGTGCACATTTACAAACTAGTAAAGGTAAAGCTTATAAATATAAATTTATGCTGTGGCAAATTATGTGTTTTTTCATTGGTGGGTTCAGTGACGGTATGGGGCGTACAAATGTTGCAATGGGGTGTCTCCAAGGCGTTCCGGCTGCCCTTACTCCTATCCCCCGCTTGGGATCTGCATCCTTGTGGGGGGGGGGTAATCTCGCAGTCGGTGAAAGAGAAGTCATGGAAAAACGAGTACATTGATATGTCCCTGCTATTTGCAGATAGCGCAGCGTAACTGCCTGCAAAGGCTCATAATTATCTCGAGGTTGCACTTCTCGTTGAGGGTGATGTTTTTGCAGCCTAGCTCGTCCCCCACCGGCCGCCAGAACAAACTACATTCGTGGGACAAGTGGGTCTCTGCATTCCACACCTTTATGGCCATATACCACAATAAGTTCGAGAAGAAGTTCGACAAGAAGTTCGAGATCTTAAACAGTACATCATCGAAAACACCACTTTACAGTCCAAGGTGGATTCACTTGAATCTGAAAAACGAAATCTGCAAGCCGCCGTTGATGTCCTACGGGGGGATGTTGCAGCCCTAACGAAGACAAAGGAATCAAATGAGGTTACGGATCTCCCATTGTCTGCCAACAGTAGCAAAGACACCCACCACAAGGGACATGCACTGAACCGAGACAGCTGTATTCAACTACAACATTCGGAGGAATACATGGGGAACATCATGAAGCCCCGGCCCAAATATATTTTCAACAGGTTGGAACGCAACGAAGTAACAACACAATCCGTGCCTACATCAAACCGGTTTTCTGTGCTCAATGAGTGTGACCCATCACCTGAAGAAGCCATTGACTATTTTTTAACGTTATCAACAGTCCGACAACACTACTAGTCCCCCAACTTACGCTGAACAAATCCAGGACTACCACCAGGCACAAAAACGCAGGTTTGCGCAACAAAAAGATGTCCCTATTGTCGGTGACTTCATGACTATGAAAATCAAAAGTCACCGCCTCAGCCACTCGAGCAGGGTCATGAACATAACCTACGCAAGCCTAAAATTGGACGAACTCATGCCTAAACTGCGCAACCTACTAGAAAGATTCCACCCCCCAACCGTGATTCTCCATGTTGGAACCAATAATACTAAGAAAGATCCTGATTCAGTCGCAGGCAAACTAGAAGAATTCATCATAGAAAAGTCCTCGGCCTCAGTTACCCTATCGATCATCTATTGTAGAAATGAAACCGTCTCCCAAAGAACTAGAGTAGACGCAACAAACAGAAAATTACCCGACCTTTCTTTGCAACATGGATGGGGTTTTATTTTAAATTCTAACATCAGAGACGTTCACTTGCTGAACGACGGAGTCCACTTAAATAATCGAGGAACTGCGATATTTGCAACTAACGTGATCAAACACATGAGGTCTTTGACAACTAATCTAGTCTCCAGCTCTCCCCGTCGACAAGGCTCACGAAGTGTTCAGCTGCGGACGTAGTATTGGTGACCTCTGTGGGCGTACAAGTACAGTACAGTTTTACTTGTGTATTTATTCTCATTTTGAAACACTGCACGTGAACTACATATTTTCTATTTCGGTTAACCTTTAAAGTTTGTAAGACCCCCGAAAAGTATAGCAAAAGTATAGTGATTTAGACGTAGGGGTCTTACTTTGCTTGAACGAATAAGGACAAATCAAAGAGATTTTTCACCAACGGCAATGAATATATATGCAAACAAATACCTTTTTCCAACGCCCGCCAATAATGATCCGTCCCTGTGCTGAGACAATCATCTAATTTAGCTTTCGTTATTCGTGTCTTTGGCGCGTGTGGCCAACACTCATTTGGCCTTTTCGTAAGCATACACTGCCGCGCAGTATTGAAATAGTTGGCAAGCCCCTGTGCCCTCTCCTTTAACCCCATTTGTTGTTATGCTTTTGACCTGCCCTTAATTTCACTGAAAATATGCTTGGCTAATTCTGTCTCATGCAGCTACTCCGCCGTGCTCCCTGCAAGAGTTTGATTGTGGAGACTCAGTCTGTATTCCCAGCGACTGGCAGTGCGACGGCTACTGGGATTGTGGTGATGGAAGTGATGAACTCGATTGTGGTAAGTGACTCGTGTTTTTTAAAGAAGAGGACCTTACAAGGTACCATCCCATAAGCATGTTTTAGGTCCGATTTCCCACCTGCTGAATATCGGTGGACACTCTTTTAATTTTAACATAAAGGGCATAAAGTTGGTTGAAAACTCAATGGGCTTAGTATGGAGTCATTTGACAAAAAAATTGAGCCCCCCAAAAAAGAAGAGGGAACAAAATCGAGGTTTTTCACACCATATTAATACTCAGTGAAATTAGAGCGTTACAAATGTCTTCCTTAAATTGTACAACGAACCCCTGCTAATTAAATTTGTTGCAAGACTTATCAAAAATATAATGAGGTACATGAAATATAACATTCATTGGCCGAAATGTTGCGTTCCTCTTAACACACGACAATTATTTGCATGTAAAATAATTTGTGCATATTCAGTAGCCGTCATCTGCATGATTCTCAATCAGCATTACACATAAAGGCTAGTTCGCTCCGTGGGGCACTGTCCGTGTGCGATGACGTAAACTTAAATGCTTCTTGCAAGAGCGATATCTGGCCCATCGATAATGGCATTAATTTGTATCAACAGCAACAGCATTGTTGTAGGGATTTTTCAGAAATAAATCACGGATTTAACCAGCCGCTCGCAAATCATCCTATTTCAAATGTCAAGTTGTTTAAATAAACTGACAAAACAATGTTTTACTCTCACTTAGGGTTATTGTTATTTCTTTGTCACTTTAAAAGGAATTCGTAGGCCTAGTCATTTGTGCTCTACTTTGTTATGAAATTGAAACGGTATCATATTTCACTTTTTTACCGTTGAGAGATGCTTGCTGAAAACAAAGACATTGGCGTTTCCTGAGAAGTTTTTCATCTTTTTCAAAACAAACCATTTCACTACAGATTCATAAAACAACTTCAATATCTTTTATTAAGTGACTTAATTCTCTCCTTGAAACAGGCAAGACCGTTTTCATCGGAGCCACTGAGGACATTCGCATAGAACCCCCTGGATACCCATGGAACGAACACTGGAGATTCAAGAATTTCACCTGGATTATTCAAACTGAACTAGACCGAAAAATTCTAATAAAATTCCACGATTTTGACACCAGACATGAGGAAGGTCTCTTTTTGGCTGGAGATGGTAGCCCTGAAAACGGTAGCCCGTTTTTCAGGTGGAGCTGGATCAAGTTGCCTTCTGACATTCTATCTAATGGAAGTGCGATGTGGTTGAGGTTCACTTCATATTATGGTTATTCACGAAGGGGCTTCAGTCTAACAGCTACAAGCGTACCCCTGACGGGTAGGTACTAAATTCTAAAAAATTCAACAACTGTCTCTATCCCTTTTAAAGGTTTTCCGTTCTGCGATTAATAAAATTCGATCCTTGAATTGTACACACCTTTTCCTTCATTATGAGGCTTTGGGATGTTATATGCATACCTACTGCAACTGGTTTAGTGATGGGGTGCATTGTAACTACTGAAGTACGCAGTAAAGCCGTCAGCTTAGTTCATTAATTAAGAGACTTAAATGGTAACCACATCACTATCCTCTTTTATTTTGATTGTATATTTATCACTGTATTAACCTATTCTGCTCCATCAGAGTATCAGTAGCTTTGAGCACGAGTTCTTCACTTTCATTTGCATTTACCAGAAACCTTGGAGTGTAGCTCAAATCAGTTTGACTGCGGCCATTCAGTCTGTCTTAAACTCGGTTGGAAATGTGACTTAGTGACTGACTGCATCGACGGCCTCGACGAAATGAACTGCGGTAATCACAGAAAAATCATATTTGTGAAAGATTTATCAAAACAACACATTAAAAGGTAGAACACAATAAAGCTGATATTTGTTATCCATATACTGCACAGAATGAATATTAAAACTAAAGTCTAACTTCATTAATCCTTACTGTTAGGAGAGCTATACGCACAAGGGTGGTAGGAAAGTTGTGCATAGATATAAAAAAGCACTATTGGGCACCATTGCAAGCCTACATGTAACTGCATAGGCCCATGATGAATGGGAACAGCTTTATTGTCAGTAACTTCAGATGTAAGATAAGGGGAGTTTGATATATTCAAATCTTAATTGATTGGTCTCATATTTTCCCAAAAGACATTCCTCTGGTGATAGATCTTGGCGCAGATGAAACAGTCGAGATAACTTCACCCTTTTTCCTCCAACAATCTGTGGGATATGATGACATGAAGTGGATTATCCAAACGGAGGAAGACCACAAGATTTGGATTACCTTTAGAGCACTACGCCTTCAATATTACGAACAGCTCAGGGTTGGTGACGGGAACGACACCTCTGGCTACCAAAATATGTTCTTTGAGGCAATATATTCCACTAGAGATACACCGGATTTGCTGTCTTTCTCAAGTTCAGTATGGCTGACGATCAAGTCGCAGAGACGGTCTTCTTCGTATTATGGATTTGGGTTGTCTCTCTCAGCAGTTAGCGTCCCATCTACTGGTAATTTTCTTATCCTGCTCTTGGCAACCTTTACATCCGAGAGAATTAAGGCGAAACGAATGTGTGTGTTTTTTTCCTTAACAAAAATAGCCAACCTTCCACCCTTTTGCAATCTTCTGATATACTGTTCTTGACAAACTATCACACAAACCTCCTTAAAGTCATGCTGCATCAAGGAGAGGTCAGAGACCATATTTGTGGGCAGCTTTATGGAGGGGATAGTTGAAGGTTTATATCTTCTTTCCTGTTTTTTCTGGCGGGGGCTCTTTTCACGCTAATGGAAGGGTCGTGAAATGCACCAAAAGGGCCTTTCATTCATTAGTTAAGAGGGCTCTAGACCACTGCCCCTGGTTTTTCCCATGGACTATGTATGATGGCTAAAACACCCCACTACTGAAGGTCATTCCATTGAAAGTCAAACATTATTTAAGGGGATTCATTCCTCTTCAACTTGAATTTCCCACGGACTTGTACAGCATCACAGCTCTGTGCAATACGTTTTCTCTTCATTCAATGAAAATTGCACTGAATGAGAACTTGTACTTTCACAGATCTCTTTTGAAGAACAATTGTCATTTAGGCTGTGTTGTAAAGCCTTTCGTAAAGCGCAATATTCTAAGATGTATTCGCTTTAAGTAATCATAACAATAAATATGTCAAGCAGCGATTCAATTCTGTCCTAAAGCAAATTGCCCAATTAATTCTTGTTTGCACAGGTCAGAAATATTGAGCATTTCCTACTACTGCGACACTGAAGTTGATATAGTGCAATGTAACCGTTTGGCAAACGTGTTTGCTTGCATCAAAATAACAAATGAATTATCAGATTTCGTGTTCTCAGAACTGCAATATTTTTAGTTCCTTATTGTGCATTTCTTTCTGATTCCAGAATTCATCAATTGTTCATCTAAATCTGAGTTTGATTGCGGACACTCTGTTTGTATTGGACGATGGCAGAGGTGTAATAATTATGCTGACTGCTTGGATGGACGGGATGAACAGGATTGTGGTAACAATTCTGGCCATTGGCAATTTGAAGCAAATTGAGTTTCCTGGTTTGTGTGCACCTCCCCCCAAATAAGCAACAAATAAATAAAAATCAAAATGTCAAGTATCAGTGAGGTGTTTGTCCCTCATAAGTTCGCTTTCGTCCCACCCTGCTGGAAATATGGATACACAAAAATATCCTAGAATGAAAAATGAACACAAATATTTCGCAAGTACCTGTTAATTAATTGGAATTTTGTAGAACAATTGTGCTGTATTTCGATTGTAGCTTGCTGAAGTTATCTAACAATAGTCTTTTTTTTCTTGGTGTAATGTTGATTGACAATGAACATTGAATTTTCCAATGCAAACTGGAGATATGTTTCCAAACATCCCTAGCAATATCTCATTTTTTTTAGTAAATGACACAGTAGTGCGAATTTGCTACTGATAATCGCCTTATAAGTTTTCTCTCAAGAAGGCACTTTTGCAGAATGCATTAGTTGTACATGCTATTAAAATGTACACTACACGTACCAAAGGTGATTTATCAAGCAGTCAGCATTACCGTTAACTCCGTAATGACGACTGTATTCTATGACACTTTTAAACACAGTTTCAAACGAGACAATTGATTTGTAATAACACTGATATCAATTTGCAAGAAGAAATTGATATCAGTGTTATTACAAACCAATCGTCTCGTTTGAAACTGTGTTTAATCTTCGTTAACCAACCACTGCAATACATTTGATAGCGGTTGAGGGTTAATTATGGTAACTGTTATACCAATACTTGTTTTATAGCCCATTTGAAGTATTTTGTTTATCATAATGTACAAAAATTTTCTTTCATTTGAAACTTCAAACATGAAGTGCGTGGCTCTTTCTTTAAATAGAAAATCTATGTACCCCCTGGGAATTTCATTGTGGGCAGTCGCATTGTATCAGCGGATTACGACAGTGCGACGGCAGCGAGGATTGCTCTGATGGAAGGGACGAAGTCAACTGTGGTAATTAAGAAACAAAAGGGCTGAGTTTTTGATTTATGCATTCATAAATCATGCATTTTGGGAATACTAATTTAAACATTACATAGGTTCCTCCGTAAGTGGCTTCTTTATCATACCAGGTGAAACTGTCAAGCCGGGTAATCCGTCTACACTCAGATCATCCGTCCACAATAATAAGACAGGCGGAACTAGTGAAACTTTAACCCTCGTTAGCTTTTGATTTCTTCCTTCAAGGACAATGCAACATAAAGAGTCATTCTTTAAAGTTGGTTCCATTTCTTCCCCTTTCCCTGTTACATTTAACATATGATTTTGTTAGCTTAGAACACATTTTTAAATATTCAAGAGTGATTTAACATGCAAAGTGCCAGCCCCCCAAAAACAGGGACAGAAAAATATGTCCCAAGCCGGACCCAAATTTACGGGATTACTCACCTGCGAGATCCAGAACCCTGTTTTAGAGCAGTATCTTTTATAGTAAGTCTTGTTTTCTTTTATTTGCACTTTGATTATACGGAGCCGCCCTTTATGTCTGGAATTACTACTCTTTGACAACACAACAGAAAAATGAACAAAAAACAAAACTTATACTCACATACAAAGCGTTTTCATGCTTATCATTGTTATGAAGGCCCTGAGGGATTCACTGGTTTCTCTTGGATAGTGCAATCATCCTTCTTTTTGGACATGTTTAATTTTCCAGAAAACAATAAAGAAATTACTTAGAAGGTACATAGTTTAGAATGTGCTATAATAGGTACTCAAAGGTCACTTGTTCATTTGGCTTGATTCTTAAATATGCATATCTAAATGTTACTCATTGGAAACCTTCTTGTTGTTTTAGCTAATTTCACCTGCCATTCTGGATATTTCTACTGTGGTGCGTCATATTGTATCAGGAATGATAGGACGTGTGACGGTTTCGAAGACTGTAGTGATGGAAGCGACGAAGAGAATTGCGGTAATTGTAACTATAACGCTTGACAAAATATTACTTCTGTTTTCTTAGCTCCAACATCGCAATATTGTAATAAAGGACTTGTGCTTCGTGTGGTATCATGCTCCAGAACGTGCAATTCAGTTTAACCCTAAAGGAGCTGGGTTATTTTGGAAAATTCCTGATTTTCCAGAAACTTTATAGGTATAAAAGCCGCTCCTTGTCTGTACAAGATATGAAGCCTCAACTCAAGTGAAAACTTTTTTTTAATTTTTAATCTGAACGCCACAGGCGTGCCAGCCCGCTTTCATTGAGCAAGGCAGTGCAAAAGTAGACACGTTTGGTTGACATCGAAGTCGGAATCATGGGCGGTGTGCAATCTGTTTGATATCAATGATATCGAAACAGATTGATAAGTGGACTGATTCCCCCTGCTCATGTAGAGTTAATGCGTCCACTTTTTTTTTTTTTTTTTTTTTTTTTGCAAAGCGTTCATGTTGATCCTAAATATGCTGTTGAAATTTGAATTACGTGATACGCACAGTTTTGGTGATCGTGTTATCTCAATAACACTGTTTTTCTTTTCATTTTGGCTTTAGGCAAAACAAAAATTAAAAATCTGCCTTTCTTTGTGTTTTTCCACGTAGTTTGTGTGTTTTAATTTTACAGGAGCAGTACTCAGGACAATCTACATCGATGCCTTTGATATAGTTCGGATAGAATCGCCTAATTATCCCTGGCAGTATCAACGCTTTTTAAACATCACTTGGATCATTGAAACCGAGCAAGACAGGAAAGTTCGCCTAACATTTCACGACTTCGAAACTGATCCAAGAACAGGCATTCTTGAGGCCGGAGACGGTAGCAATAGCACCGACGGCCCCTTTTTCAGATGGAGCTGGACGAGGCTGCCTCCCCACCTTTTATCCAGAGGAAATGGGATGTGGCTTCGATTTACATCTTCGGATTATTACAGTTGGGGGGTCCGCGGGTTCAGTTTATCAGCCATGAGTGTTTCATCGTCTGGTACGCGTTTAGTCATGTAATGATGCCGACGTGTGCTGTTTTTAATTCAACCTCCATTATATTTAAACAAAAAAGAGAGCAGTACCACATGGTTTCAGAAAAAGGCACACTCTCAATCGAGGTTAAGTAAAAGTATCTCTGTAAAAGAGAAATTAAGTAAAAATATCTCCCTCATTTGGGGCTTTTAATTACATAAACCTTTCAATGGCTCCGCTGTGTTTGCTCTGAAGGGACGATGCAAATTGTCAATATTGACGTCATTGTTCACGCTCATATTTCACGACTTGGGTAAGGGCAAAACCTGTTATATATTATATTATATTATAACGCTAAAAAATACATCTTGAAAAAGTTTCTTTGTATTTTCCCCATTTCGAATTTTACAAAACGACATATGTGATTCTTAATTGCAGGTTTACAGCCACTGGCAGAAAAAAATAATCAACTCTGACCACTTGTTCACAGCATATGGCCGTTCCAGTTGTTATACACGGCACGTGATCCCTCTCTGGGGAATTTGTGGTGACCAGGTCGACATAATGTGACACTTCACCTGCGCATATTGACTTGAATATTGATTCCCATGCACCCATTGCCCTGGCTGCCAACATTGACGTCGATTTGCCAAATATATCTGCAACTGTGGAGCAAGTTCTGAATTTTGGAATCGAAAATTGACGTCGAAATGACTGTCATCTTTGTCCCTTCAGTGCTACCATACTCCACACATATATTGTGTGCTGTCTTTTTGAAATTGGCATACCCAATAATATGTTATTGTCTATCCTGAACCTCAATTATTCAGTGGGTACAGGTCCGTTCCTCTAAAATGACCTTATCTTTTATATCCATTCAGAAACTCTGAACTGCACTGCGGACGAATTTGATTGTGGGCATTCTGTCTGTCTCGAATCCGATTGGAAATGTGACTCCGTCGAAGACTGTGTAGATGGCCTTGATGAACTAAACTGTGGTAAGAACTATATTTGTGTCACCAATGTAATCAGTTTATGGTGTAACTTACGTATCCAGGTCTTTGGCTAAGGGAACAAAATGAAATTTCTGTCTTTAACACAACTGTACTTTTTCCATTTGTATACGAATCCTCACCTACTTCCCCACATTAGATTATAGAAGAATCCCCCAAAAGGGGGGGGGGCTGTGCTTGGTTTAGAGTAAAATAATTATGATGATGAACTTTTGCCATGTCATTTGACCAGTCTGAGTCAGCGAAGGAAACAGTTCTGTTTTAGGTTTGGAGAGTCTCTGCTCATGGATTTTTCCCCGCCATCCGCCATATGTTGCACATGACCTTCATATGAGACACTCTAATGCCATATTTGTCCCCTTTAGTCGACCTAGGAGATACAAGTACAGTCATCTCATAGATTTAATTAAGTTGATTAATAAATGATGCTAGCACCAACATTTAAACTGAGGAATTTGTCAATATATGCATTAATGAAATTTGCTACCATAGTTAATTATTTCTCTACCATCCATACACAAGCATGCAACTGCTGACTGTCGTTTCTATATCTTTAAAGCCCATCTCAGTCATCAATTTCAGGGGTTGTTTGTGGCTATTTTAAAGTGACTTTGGTGACTAGGATGGATGAACGGATGTATTCTTTTACGCTGTCTTTCTGAGTACATCTTTGAGAGTATTCACAATTTTAATATCAGACTGATATATATATTTTAATGATGTTCTTGTCCAGTTTGCCCTTCCTCCTCTGTTTTTAACCTTTCCTTTCCCCTTTCTCCTTTGCTTTGAATTGCCTGTTTTTCCTCCAACCTCCTTGTTCCTGTTTCTGCCCTTTTCCCCTCGTCTATTGTTTTTTGACGTCTCTTTAATTTTATTTCAATTTGATCAAATCCTTATTGTCATTTCCTCATTTTCTCTTCCCACTCAGCCTTCGATGTACAAGTTTTCTGAACTTCATTTATAGTTTAGGTATAGATGTATTTTTGCTATTCCCTTGTTACATTAATTCTCATGTCAACTGTATTTTAATTCCGATGGTGCTGGCGATGGCATCGTAAAATAAGCTGTTAATGATACTACTTACAACAATATCAGTAACAGTAACAATAACATTATTATAAGTGCCGTTTTAAAAATGCTCGTGCTTTTCAATTCAACGATCAGTTAAACCTGGAACGACCATATTTTTTCGATTGGTAAGATTATTTGCTCTTTCTTCCCTTTCCAGTCTATTCACCCTTTACAATACCTCAATCCTTCCTGGCCACAACTATTGTAACGTTATCTGAGCACACCCAAGCTACATTAATAACCATTCAGAAAAGAGCTATTCATATTTTGCACTCAATCACTTCCAAAGGCACACAGAGCCCCTCTTTTTGCACGACTCAAGACGCTTACACTCACTGATATTAACAAACTTCAAACTGGCATTTTTTGTTCAACTACACAAAACAATCTTCTTCCAAATGCTTTTTTTTCTTTCTTCAACCCGCTCCACAGTGTCCATGGCTAACGCTCATGGTCTCACAACAGCCTCAACCTTTCATACACTCGCACATCCGATTCGATTAATACTTTACGTTTTCAGCGGCTACGACTTTGGAACGGTCTCAGCATGACCTTGAAAATATAGTCGTCTCTAGGCTGTTTCAAAACGTTATACAAAGTAATATTCTCTCTAGTTATTTAGCATATTTCCCTTTTCAATTCCGTAACCATATATATTCTTTATTTTTTTGTCCCATTGTTCACATTATAGTCTTTTACAAATTACTTTTATCGGTCTTTTCCGTCTGTCATCTTTTCGTTTCTTGTCTGTTTGTTAGTCATGTGATCTGTTGTCTGGTTGTCTGTCTGTCTGTTTTCAAGGCATTTAAGTAAAAGTCATTGGATTTTAATCAGTGCAAATGTCATCTACTGTGTATTATTTCTTTATCTGTGATTTATTGTAAACACGCATAAAACTTGAAGAATTGAATTGACCAAAAAATACCAAAATCCAGAAAATCATTATTTCAAGAAAGCAAAACAGATGAAATAACATTTTAGAAAATAGGGCAACGTATCCTGATTCACCCATTTTGTCAGACATCATGTATTTTATCAATCAAAATTCCAAAGACCCTATTCAGTTTGGGAAATTCGAATTCTGTTGCGATGACCCCGCAATCCATTTCTGACTTATTTTTTTATTGTTTATGTAGACTCAAATTCTTTCCTTTTGGGGGTTAAGATTATTTTTACAAAATCAGTATGACATAGAATATAAGATTGCTATGAAAAACAAAACCCTTAGTCTTCATTAGAAAAACAAATTGGAAATTTCAATTTTAATTTTGTAGACGCTATGCAACCATTTCAATATGTGTATGAATATGAATTTTTCTACATTTCGTCATGGCCCCCTCGTCTATGCTCCTTTCTGATTATCTCCTGTTTTTTTTTCCAATTTCCTTGATTTTGTATGATTCGTGCTGTTACTTTCTGATGTGTGTTTTTTCCGTGTTTTCTGATCAATAAAATGTAGAAAAAAATAGGGTAGCATATTCCAGGGACACTTTCCCCGCCCCCATCTCGACATTCCACTGCGTGCGAAAAAAGGGAAATCTGTCAAAGAAAACTCATCAAGAAGGTAGTGCCAAAAATTCGCAAGCAGGTAGACACTACTGCGTCTGCTTTCGTACACAACACTCAAATACTCAGAACTACGGTTTCAGCTCCACGTATATTCTGTATTTCCGTAAATTTGGGTTGTAATGAATGAATGGAGAATGGTGTGCATCCACTGGATATGAAACGAATATTTACTGTGATTCCGTTTTTACCAGCAGATCAGGGGATACATCTCGGTGCAAATGAAACAATGCAGATAAATTCGCCGCTTCTTTTTAGTACCTACCCAACAACCTCTGAGTCTTCCCGGATGACGTGGGTTATCCAGTCTGACGCAAACCGCAAGATTCGTATCGCATTCTCTTCGCTCCACCACTGTGATGACGGCAACAGTCTCAGGGTGGGAGACGGGAATGACGTCGTTAACCACAAAGACGTGTTCTTTCAATCAAGAGCTGATAAATCACCACCTGACTTACTCTCCAATGGAACATCCCTGTGGCTAGCCTGGGAATGGTTAAACAACGAATTTGGATGTGGATTTTCCCTATCGGCAGCTAGCGTTCCTTCTTCTGGTAATTTGAGTTTTTGATCCCTTAAGATAAATTTTCCTAGACATTCGTCGAATAATTCAACTGTTGTCAGGTAGTTCAAGCCCGTAATCTGCAATCTCGGACACTGAAATCTTGTTATAAACTTATTCCTTAGGCCAAACAAAGTCTCCGGTGTCTGGTCACCGCGCGTGTCGCCGTAGATGTGCGCGTCGTTTTTTTTTTTTTTTTTTTTTAATTTGCTTGATACGATTTCCAAAAGCCGACAAACTTACTTGATCCGCAAGGATTCCGCTACTGCGTACCTGTAACATACTTTAACGTGTTTTGATGGGTAGAGTTATAAGAACGGTGATGAAATCCCAAGGCCTCCAAACATTTCAGTCGGGAACTCATTTCAGATGACGCCATTCGTGTCGGATTAAGTTGGCTGCGGCTTGATATTATACATGTTTCTAAAAAATGAAATTGGCTGTAGGAGCTGCCAAATACTCGGTTTAATTTCTGGCCTTAGCCAATTGATTGGGACCCAGACCCTATGTCTGTGAACCAAACAGACGATTTGGTCGTACATCCTACAGATTAGAAACGCTTTTAAGCAACACACCATGAGGGGCCAGTCTGTTAAGTGTCGGTGAGGCAGTGACGGTACATACGCATGCAGTGCACGTAATGGCGACGGACGTCGCATCATAACAACCACACATGTATGTACGTAACAACTCATTCATTGTATCTTGCCAAGAACAAAGGTAGATTGGAGTGAGAGGAGACTTTACTTTCTGATTTGAATTTCCCCTAATACTTTATATTCAGCTTGTTTCTTAAAAGCTAAAACAGAAAACAATGTGCACAGTATCATTTACCTCATGACGATTTTATTTTCATTTGGACTGTGGACCTGAACTGTTTCATTTATTTCATAGGCTATTAAAAGTGCAACTTAATTCCTCTACGCGTAAGCAGAAAACAACGTGCAAAGGATGTCATATACAGCTACCTTATGAAAATTTAATTTAAAATCGAAAACTGGAAACGAGTTTTCACATTTAATTTGTGCATGATTGTGCAACTGTATTTTAACAAGCTAAAGAAGAAGCCTCTTATTCGAGTGAGATGACTGAAACCATGGCCTTTCGTATTTTATGGTAATTTTATTAATTCAGAGTTATTAGTTCACACTTCTCATAGTAACAAGGCCACGCATTCTAAAGCATGTGTACATGCACATCACTTCTCAGGAAAATAAAGAGAAGAAAAAAAAACCGCGTCACCGCTCCACTTCTGCACGAAGCCCGTGACCAGAAACCGGAGTCCCTTTTTCGGCCTTAATAGAATGGCTCTTTCTTGTTAGTTGGTGGTTCCTTTAATGCAAAACCATACCCGTACGGATTAGGCTACCTGAAACAAAACTACAAGTGTAATGCAGACTGTGATGTTATTTGATTTGTGTATGTACCTAGTTATCGAAACCCTTCACATCATAATCAAATTCAAAATGTCTGTAAAAGAGTCTCAATCTGGATTGTATTTACCTCATCTAGAAACCTGAAACAAAACTCATGCATACCAGTGATGTCATTTGATTTTAGTATGTACCTAGTTATCGAAACCCTTCACATCATAATCAAATTAAAAATGATCCGTAAAAGAGTTTCAATCTGAATTTTACTTTACCTAGTCTAGTTTTTGCTATCCTTTTTTCTTGAGAGTTTTAAAGGGAACTTCTTTTTTTTCAGAATCAATTTACTGTTCACCAGACACAGAGTTCGATTGTGGTCATTCTGTCTGCATCGCAAAGTGGATGCAGTGCGACCGCGAGCATGACTGCATTGACGGAAGAGATGAGTTAGACTGCGGTAACAAGGCTTCAGCTTTGCAAGTTGAAATGTGAAATGGGGAACGTAGTTTTGGAAATTGCATGTTGGTGAACCATTTGTTGATACTTTTATTTGTGGTTTAAGAAAGTAAAACTATCGAGATATATTTTGTCACAAATTTACGACGTTTAGCGCCATTAGTAGCTTACCAACCATAAGTCCTAGCTGCCTGATCAAGGGTTTACGAGCTCGGCTTTATACAGGAAGGAAATTGTCACAATTTAAAAATCCCAATCGTTTGCATTTCAGCTCATTTAGTATAAAGAACTGTAGTGAATATGTAATATGCACAATTGTACGTGCAAAAGGCATTAGCGCAAGAACCAGCGCCTGAACCCACACGCGCATATTCCAATCGTTTGCACTACACCTGTTGAATAACGAGTACCGAAATGTGACGTCCTTTTCGAATAAGTGTAGTACTTCACTCTTCACCAGCTTGGCATTGTGATTGGCTACATTGTGCACGACCAGTGACCACAAGGTTATCACTTCCTGGGGGCAAAGCGTTATTTTATTTTATTTTTTTTTTGGGGGGGGTGACAAACGGCAATGATTTGGCACAGGCAAAGTGTCGGTTATATGATAAAAACAAAGCTTTGGTACAATCTCAGGGTAATAATTTATCTTCTCAATTTATCAATTTGGATGAACGGATAAATGCAGTGAGAATATTTTCAGCACTGAGGAAGAACAAAATATCAAATTGATAAACGGCGCTGGTGTAACGCATTGAGCGAGCGCGCGCCGGGCAGAACTATACCCACGATCGATTCTCTGCGGGTCATTAACTTTGACTTCGTGTGACGTGTTCCTTTCTATAAAATCTCATGTATGTTCATGGCACTCCCAACCAAAGTGTGCTTGTGCAAGATTTACACTTATCAACGGCATAGCAACAGGGTATGTCTGGTTTCGCGCGCTTTGATTTCAAAATGAGACGTCATCTTTGTTAATGGATTTCCAGGAAACGGAGCACGAATAATGAAATTTTTCACGACAAATACAAATTACGTTTTTTGGTTTTTGTGTGTTTTTTCTGTAGCTTGGATTTTATGTCATGCCTCAAAAGTAATGAAAAATATGTTATAACCCCAAACTTATTTTATCTTTCACCAGAAAAAAAATGAGTGTTGCCAAATTATATCCAGATCTACTACAAATGTGTTTTCCTGATTATTAAACAAGATTGATATAAACTAGTAGACTGTCTAAATCGACTGCACTCAGAAACTGGAATTTTTGTTTTGAAAATGAATGTGAATTTGAACCGCCAAATGGTGTGAATCCAGACATTCTGTGATGGGAAAATATGTCTCATATCTCATCTAAAATGAAAAAGACAAAAAAATACGTCCTGATGAAAGTTAATTCTTGGAGTCAGGAATTATTGCTTAAACTTGTGACAAACGGAGGATACTCTTGCAGCATACGCTTATAAGGGCAGACTTGAGTAACATTCTTGTATAGCGGCGAGTCACGGGTCAGGTGCATTCGTGTATGCGTATTTACATGTGTACTCGTGACATGCAGATGTTCATGCACATGTGTTTGGGCGGACGCAACGACTTCGACGTCTTGGTACCGCACTGGACGATGTCCACAGCAGCGGAAGTGATGAACAGGGAATGTCAATAATTTAACGATTCTACCTTCTGAAATAGTATCAGTACTAATGACATCAATAATATCAAACAGAAAATCATCTCCCTCGTGTTGCATATACCATTTTGTTAATAAATAGGGATACAAAATGGCTTTGAATTTTTGTGCAAAGTTGGATAGATACGATTTTGGGGTGATTCAGAATGACTGATAATTAGAAGTGTTTATCCAGGGGATTCAAAATTATGGGTGAATACTTATTTGACTGCGAGATTTTTGTCTTAGAAAACTTATTTTCTATTAAAAATTAATTGATTAAATTAGTGCAAAATATTCCAATCTCGGTTTCTTTCTTCGTTGTTAGAAAGGATCCGTAGAATGCACTTCTTTTTACGTTTCTTAGATTTACCGTTATTTAAAAATCGTTGTTTGTGGTGTCGTGTTTAGATCCTCCCGGAAAATATTTTTACGTCTGCAGTTTGGTATTTTACGAGGTCGGTCGTTGAAACATCGTTGTTGTCTGCTTGAAATTGAAGTGCGCATGCGTGCTTGTAATGAACGTTGTCTCTATGGGGTATGAACATACCGTACGTGATTTGTGCAAGGCCATCAACCCCCCCCCCCCCCACAGCCCTGTTAGGGCGTTGGATGAGGAGCAAAGTGTAATGCAAACGATCGGATCACTCTAAGAGTACCAGATGAAGCGTTTTTTTTCAAGTACTGCAATTTTGGTTCAGTGGCTGGTATTACGTGGGCAATAATACAAGAGTGGTTCTGGAAAAGTATGGCGAGGTAATTATAGCAGGCAAATACGCAGAGGCGAGCAAAAAAGTCACCAAAAATAACATTATATCCATTATTTCAGAATTTTGAGATTGTATTATTATTTTGAGGTATAAAACTCGGAAATCTGATATTTATTTTTAGAAGCAGAACCTTTTGAAAACTATTCGAAGGCAAAAACAATTCAGACGCGGGAGTTATATTTTGCAGCAACATTTTACTAACGACAAGCTGGTACCTTGAAATGACTGCTTGAGAACAGACTATGATGAAGAGAACAAAGCATACTGTTTAATTTTAGTTTGATTTCAGAAAAGGTTGCCTCTCTCAACTGTATTATAAACTTTGTTGTGGTTTTATATGAAAGTTCTGAGCCATTATTTTCTTTCACAGTTTCCCTTGCCCTATTCTTTTTTCTTTTTTTTTCTTTTTTTCCTCAACAGTTTATCCTTGCAAACCGCCGGAATTCGATTGTGGGCAATCAGTTTGCATACCTAAATATCTTTACTGCAACCGCTACAAGGATTGTCCTGATGGAAGGGATGAGCTCAATTGTAGTAAATATTGTTTTGATGTTTTAGAGCTTTTCATCAATAAATTCATAATGATGCACGCTTGCATCAGGTAGCAAAGGACCTTCAAGTTGACGCTTGTGACTTTCACCTTTTCAATTGGTCATTTACGCTATTTACCCATTTTCGTGCATTCCTATATAATTCTGAATTATCCATTCATTGATTTCAATAACAAATTCGATCGCTAGATACACAATTTAACTTTAGTCCTGTAACGGAATGCTGAAAGAAATATCCTGTACAGAAAAGTCGATGACTAAAATGATCCCAAAACAAAATTTGAGCACAAATGTTCTGTGCAGTTTTTGTATAAGCATATGAAAGATTGTCTTTGTGTCTTTGTCCATTTTAATTGAATAAGAACAGAGCACGATTAAACAAATCATTTGTGTAATTTCAGTCTATCCCCCGTGCCCTCCTGAGGATTTTGACTGCGGTCAGGCAGCAAAGTGCATCAGCGGTTCTTTGAAATGCAATGCTTTCGCTGACTGCCCTGACGGAAGCGACGAAGAGGATTGCGGTGATTATTATATTTGTTCTAAAGGATTAGACTTTTTTTCCTTTTTTTCTCCTTTTTTAAAAATTACATCATAACATGCATCTTAAACAACATTTTCCTTTTTTCCATGTTATAATTGGGAAAAGATGTTATTCTGTACCTGAAAATTTTGATAATGAAATTGAAGACCTCTCCCCATTTTTAACCATGCATTTTGCGATCACCTTGTATTCCAGAGTTTTTATCTCAGATTATGCACACAAGCAAAGTCTAGCCGAGACCCTGTGTACCAAATTATTAATGCTGCCGTCTTCGTTGATGGCATGTTCCACCAATGACTTCTCTTATTGAGTTGGGAGAGAGAAAAAGTACTCTCCACATGGCTGCGTGGCTGCGCGGTAATCCTGCCGGGACTGAAAATCACTGGTAGTCAGTTTTGTTGATACAATATTTTTAATCTTTTGCCGTTTTCTAGGGGTTTGTAAGCAGCATTTTCGTTATATTATTCATTTCAGTTGCAGACATGCTGAAATTAACCCAATTAACTGAAATAACTCAAGCTAACATCAATTCGCCATGTTGGTAGGCTTTAAGGCCCGTTCATGCTATAGGTGAATGAGAAAGCAAAGCAAATTTGACGTCAGAAAAGATCACATCAACATTTCGCTCAAGTTGAAATGTGTTGTTGAACATTTTTGCTGAGAGAATATTTGATCTGACGTCACATAAACTAAACGTGGTGTTTGTCAGCAAACACAGGCTGTTTCGGAGTTGGCTGTTTTAGTCAAATCGCATTACAAAAGAAGAATTTTTACAAGTAGATTTGATATGATAATATTGCAGTTTCATGGAATACAGCTGAGTTGCCAAAATATTGGCTATACTGCCCTATTAATCTGTGTAGAAAGTCAATTTAAAAGGAAAACCAAAAATCATTAATAAATTCATCGATGCCATCATGACATCATTTTAACTGTATCATATCACCATTTGAGTCCATCCTTGATGCAAGTATAATGAAAAAAGAATGTCTTTTAAAAGTTGCACATTCCATTCTGATCAGACGTGCATGCAATGGATAACTTTTAGTGGCACGTGACCTGTCACATGGTGTCATCATCACATGAGATCAATATTGCTGTTAAATACTTCTTTTTCCAGTTACATGCAAAGTTAAAACACGATTGGACGTGTACTTCAAGAGATACAGAACTTTAAAGATGGTACCTATAGTGTCACATGACATGTCACATGATATCATCGCCATCACATCAGGTCAACAGTCCTCTAAAACACTTCGTCCTGAAGTTATATGCAAGGTTTCAACATGAAAGAGATCCGACACCCTTACTGGGTCGTTAACACTGAAAAACGACAGGCGGGTCTTACCTGGCGCGGTCGATGTGAATGATCCCATTGAGGCAAGGGGGGGTCACAAAGAGTCAAAAGAAGTCAGTAAATGACGGATTTTTAACCTTTCTGTTGAAGACTTTACTTGTATTTTCCCGCCCTGTCCATTCCATCTGAAAGTTATCCAAATGATTTCCTTATATACACTGTATACGGACTTCTGACCAATCATAATCAATTGAACTGTGTCGTATCAAATTTCCAGCGCTTGATTTATGCACATGGCATTGCCTCTTCTTACCGGGCATTATCGGAATGTTAATGCACCATCAGTTTGCACGTTGTAAAAGGAAGGGGTGTTTATGCTGTCAATCTATACAAGTGTGCAAGAAAAATAAAGCTGTAGTCATTAAAACCATGAGATAATTATTCCTGAGTAAAAACGGTTACAGACGGCAGTTTAATCTTTATAAAGATGCAACACTTGAATAACATTGTTATAGTAAAATACCCAGTACTGTACTCAATGCAAGCGGGTTGGCACACGTGTGGCGGTCACCTCAAATGACGGTAAAATCAAAACATGTTAGATTGAGTGGAGTAAGTGATCTATCCTGGCGGGACCTATTATTAGAAGCCGGGAGGCAACTAATCTTTGCATTTTTATTGGAGAGGGGGGAGGGACTCAAGTTTGGAAACTTTGCACGATAACAAATTTTATAAATCCTTTGGGTGGCACCACTTAATTTGCTTTCGATAAAATCTTTAAACCTACTACACTAGTGTATAACATCGTTGTAAGTAGGGCGACATCTGTACGGGAGCAGGAGATAAACGCACACTTTTTTGAAAGTCCAATGGCCTCTGAAAGCAAATTAGCTCCGTCTTGTGTACTTGTGTACATACACTAAGGGCGTTACCAAATTTCAAATTGGAGCGATGAGGGCAACCTAAGGTGTTATAAGTGTGTGCCCTAATGCCCCTTGCAGTTACTCAACCGATCTACCCTCGATCTGTTCAAAATATCTTTTTTTGCAGGTCATCCGACGTGCTCTTCAGACGAGTTTAGATGTGGATACACGGTTTGTATTCCCGAGGACTGGCTATGCGACGGTTTTGCGGACTGTGATGATGGAAGTGATGAACTTGATTGTGGTAATTTATTAGATATTTACGGAGAGGTCTGTATAAATAGGTATGTTTTTGGTCTGATTCATGTTCTTTTGACCTTTTTTTGGCTTTTTACGTCCATTCAATTTTAACGGGCACTCCTATGTAATTTGTCATTCGTGTACAAGGGACACTGAAAACGCGTCAATGGAATGCCCCCTCTGTATGCAGTTAAAGTAAGAGATGCAAAATGGTAATCAAGATATAATTCGGAATAAACATCGACTTTTTTTATTTTCATACCAAGTTCTTCGAAAAGAACAACAAAATATCAAGATATGCAAGCATAACAAGTTCTAATCTTCAGTCGTTCAACCTGCAGCTGCTCTTTCTTCAGACTTTGGTGCATGGCTAAAAAAATAAGATCCGAAAAAAAATCAGAATTCTTTAATTATTCTGAAGCTTGAATTTTCTCCGATGCAACAAATAGGTCAAAACAAACAACACCGATACAAGGAACAAATGGACAAGTATGATTTAATGAGAATGTTATTCTAAGCATGTAAACGAAAATAACAAAGAAAGTTCTGTTTGGAACTAGTTTAAAATGATAAGGATAAAGAATCAAGAAAATATCTTATATAAACAAGGTGATCTTACGGGCGAGAGCTTGGCAATATGCAATATGCAGTGTTGTAGAGGTACTTTATTGTGGTACATATACTTGCTGGTCAAAAGTGATGCCATTCGAGGTGTCAGTCACGAACTTCATTTTTCTTTTTCTTGTTTAATACATGTAATGGTAACCTATTTTTGATTCACTCGTGACCGGTTTATTTGGCTTGACCAGTATTGCGTTCCACCTTGTTACTGATGAAAGAATGCCTCCGTTTATCCACAGAAGTGCTTTACCAAAATCCATTCATTGCGTAGTTTCTTTTCTTCCAAATAGGTAGGAGAATTTTCATTCGAGCTGATGAAGAAATTCCAATAGAATCCCCTGGATATCCTTGGAACTATAACTGGAGATTTCTCAACTACACCTGGATTATTCAAACTGAACAAGTTCGAAAGATTCGTATCAAATTCCACGATTTTGACACAAACTATGAGGATGGATTCCTCTTTGCCGGAGATGATAGTCCTGAAACCAATAGCCCATTCTTCCGGTGGAGCTGGATCAAGCTACCTCCTGATATTCTTTCCAACGGAAATGTCATGTGGTTGAGGTTCACATCGCATCCTGGTTATTCACAAAGGGGTTTCAGTTTAACAGCTATAAGTGTGCCTTTGAACGGTTAGTATTTCCATTTTAAGACTTGTGGAAATTGCATGCATAGATTACCATAGGCTTACTTTGCAGAGAGGCGAATTCTTATGCAAGGCAATCACTAAATAAAGCAATGTAGCCAGTAGCTAAGTTTGATATTCTGATGCGCTAATGACGAGACATAAACCACATAATTTTATTCTGCTTATTTATTTGGCATTGCAGCAAACTATTCTGCTCCTTTCAAGTAACCAATTAACCCAATTTCCTCTTTCTGCTAGAAACTTTGGAATGCAACATGGATCAATTTGAATGCGGGCATTCAGTCTGTTTAAACAGTGCTTGGAAATGTGACCTCATCCTTGACTGTATCGATGACTCCGACGAAATTAACTGCGGTAATCAAAGAGAATAGATATTTGGAGTAACGCTGACCTTGGCAAATTGAACACTTTAAGAAAAAAAACTGTGACGTTTTTTTTTTATTTGAATAAAAAGTAATTATCTGTATACTGCAAAAAAGTAATACATGTTGTTTGAAATCCCTAACTCTTCACAGTTAATAAAGGTGTAACAAGGCACCCGGCGTACGAGTCTGCAAGCATTGTGTTTGAAAGCAAATACAGTGTAATTTGTATACGCCAGATCAGGAGCCCATATGCTACAGTTTGCCACATGCAAATCTTACTTTGTTGTTCTAATCTCCTCCTTTCCCCCCAGACATTCCTTGGGTGGTAGATCTTGATGCTTATGAAGCACTCCAGATAACGTCACCTTTCTTTCTCCAATATTCTCCGGCACATGTTGTCATGGAGTGGGTCATCCAGACGGATGAAGACCGCAAGATTCACATCACGTTTTCAGTACTACACATGCGTTATTACAGTGAACTCACAGTGGGCAATGGAAACGACACCGCTGACTACAAGAGTAGGTTCTTTCAACTTCGCTTTCAGAGCACAGGAACAACGGATTTGCTCTCTGCTGGAAGTTCGATGTGGCTAGCCTTGGACACGAGAAGATACCCAGACATGTTTTTAAGCAGTGGTTTTTCTCTAACAGCCGTGAGCGTTGATTCTACTGGTAAGTTTATCATCCTGTTCCGCACGGCATTTACTTCTAGGAGAAAGGGTAAATAAAACGTGTTTTTCTTTCCCGGTACCTAATGTCCCCTCTATCGATAAACCTTTGAATGTGCTTTTCACAAAATAAACAACTGGCGTGATCAAAGTTGTCTTGTATCGAGGGTGGATCCAAAACCATTGAGGGGGTGACACTTGAAGGGGTGGCAATAGTGAGACGTCTTTTACATACCTGGTTTGGGGCATTTCTAAGCCAGAGACTACCTGGTGAATCTTTTTGCACGCTTTTTTAAAGAAAGGTAAAATATGAGAAAAATAATCTGCGAGGTATGGGGGTGGCTGTTGGCTTCCCCTTTAAGTTGCAAAGGAAGGCTCAGACACCGTTTCAGTATGCTTTCTTAACAGGTTAGTGGAGTAAATTCTCTCTTCTAAAGATAGCCGGATTGCGCTCGCTAAGTCATGTGACCTATTGCGGGAATCAGACATTAACAAAGTTGCCCCCCCCACATAGCAGCGTGCATCTAGTTTTGTCAATCAAGAGATTTCGATACATAAGTAAAGGTCATTTTGTTGGAGAGGTTTTGTTCTGTTGTTTGATTTTGTAACATTTCGTTTCCTCACAAATGTAATGTACTTGAGTTTTGTTTTGACATTTTTTATCATTTCAGAATTCATCAACTGTTCATCTGAATCAGAATTTGATTGTGGGCATTCAGTATGTATCGGACGAGGCCGGAGGTGTGATGGTTTCCGCGACTGCTTAGATGGTCGGGATGAATTAAATTGTGGTAATAATACTTGGGTAACCTGGGATGCAAAATAAACGGTGTCTTCCCACTTGTCTGCACAATCCAAGCTTGCGTTACTTTTAAAATGTGCTGCAGTGTAACACTGGCTGAAATCTAGAACACTTCTGTGAACTTCATCATGACTTCCATTTAAAACAAAAATGATTTTTCTCTCCAAAATGTTGGAAACCTAGACCAGAACACTGTTTCAGTTTAGAGAGCTGATTGCCACGCCTGATATGCAACATAAGTGACACACTGATTAAATGTCAAAATAAGTTACTTTGTGTAAAAACAATAGCTGCCCACCATTCTGGAAATTTGGAAAAGCTAACGTAAGATTTAAAGAAAACAATTACGCTGATTGTGCCACAAAATATTCACAAATGTTAATCGACCTTCTTAACAGTACAGCTATTTTGATCATTATCCTTGAATTAATATTAATTAGTGTAATCTGATGCCATACCATTCCGGGTCTCATGTCTCACTTTCATTTGTTTTGTAACATTAGGAGATAATTGATTACAAATTTCAATTTTTGTGACACAGTACCTGTACATGAAAGCATTTTGTAGTAAGATTTGAATTTATTGCTTTTATTTCTATTCTTGGGTTCCCAAAATGAACACAATTAACCTCATTAATTGTAAATAAGGCCCATATGCAGTTCGTAGGACATACCCACTGAATTTTGGTGTTCACATACTTAAATTTAATTGTGGTCGATTTCTTTGATGTAATACTGACTGAGAGTGAATCTTCAGGGAAATTTCCAGTTAATTTTTGTTGCTATTTTGAACTCCTATTTTCAACGATAAAATGCAGTGTCTCATTTTTTTAACAAACGAAGCAGGTGTGTAACATTGGTTGTTGTTAACACTGGAATGAAGATCATTTTCCAGAACGCATTCTGGAAAATGAATAATATAGTGGCGGTGTGGTTGTTTTCCCGGGCCTAACCTAAGTTTGAGGATCAAGCCTGACACCGGTTGGGGGCTGGGACTCTAGCCTCAACTCGGGTTCGTCCTTGTTCCAGAGATCACTCAAGCGACCTAAAGGCTAAGGGAGCAGATCCGTTTTAGTGGAAATATACCGTCGATTATGATGACTGTAATGCTCTCTGCCAATTAGACAATACAAAACAATAAGGATACCTGACAATTAGATTGCCGGTAACCTCAATAACAATGTGATTTATTCAGACATTCAATGAATAACTAATTGATTAAGTGATTAGAGATAATTCGTATTGGGTAAACTTTATTACAACCTCCATTGCTTTGCATGGTCTTGAGGAGAGGCTATTGGCAATACACAGTTATCGCACTGCGTCGCGCCAATCAGCAACGCACTGACTAATGTCGCCTCGCGCAACTCCTACATGCAATGCGCAAAACAATGTCGCATCACATGAACGCTATCAGCAATGCACATCCAACGTTGCCAACACGAGACCAATTACCAACGCTGGACCCAAGTAGCACTGCACATCTCAATGTCGCACTGCCTGAACAACATCGCATTGCATAGCCCAGTGTCACTATAGCGATACGGCCCACATGCACTAAGCACCATCGCACCGTGGGCCCAGTCAAAATCAGCTATAATGCACCCGCAAGCGAACGGCTGGACCGTACAACCTGTGTAATGCTACGCGGAGACATTCTGCCCGCGCCTAGCATATAGCAGCATTCGCAACGCTCTATAGTAACGCGCCACAACGCGAGCACCAAGAACTTACGTCTATACAGCTTCGAGTTTTGTTTACCGTCCATTTTTTGTTTGTTTGGTTGCTAGGTTGTTGGGCCGTTGGGATGTTTGTTTGTTTTTTATATTTCCTTGTCCTTTTGGAGTACGAATTCAAAGGTCACGTTAATTACTAATAGCCCAATTCTTAATGAACCTCGAGCTGGATCAGGACACAAGGATCCTTTGGTAGTAACTGCGCATCACTGGTTCACAAACGACAGTGAAATGCACGCGTTGCAGCCTCCTCGCTAACAACAAAATTAACACTCCCGACCACCATGGCTATTTTCAACCGATGAGGGCATACTTCTGCTCAGGGCAGATAGGCATCTCAGACATACCAAGGGATGTTGATTAATTGAAAGAGGGCTTTCGCCCCAAATCTTGGCTCGTTTAAAGTGCTTGGTTTGGTTGTTGGAAGGCGTTCTTTCATTTTGAATCTTCGAATGTGAAGAGCGTTAATGGGTTTTCTTCTCTTGATTTGTTTTACAGAAACATGTCACCCTTTCAACTTTAATTGTGGGCAGTTCGTTTGTATTCCCGGATACTTGCAGTGCGATGGCATAAGGACTTGTCCAGATGGAAGTGACGAAGTCAACTGTGGTAATTGAGAAAACTTATTAAACAGCACTTCAGTTTTTGTTCTAATAGTGTTTTGAAAATAATGGTTTTGACATTGCTTTTAGGCGGCAAAAACCGACCATAAAACTTACAAAAATAGGCCCAGATGACACTGATCAGCCAGGTATGACCGGTGTTTGCAGCATCATGTTAGCAGATCCGTAGTGCACCTTTAAAAAAAGTCACTTAGTTTGCAATTTGTATCTTTACGTCAAAGACAGCACAACTTACCGGTTCTTATGAGTAACCAACAACAACGGCAGCTCCTCCTCCCCCATACACGCAATTTGCCAGAAACATCCTTCACCCATAGCCTAGACGATCATTGTAGCTGTCACTCGTTTGCTCATGCGCAGTATGTTTATACATTGTTATTTCATTCTTTTTCAGTTACATGCTCAGTGGAAAATCGAGATAAACACAGTAACGTTTTCACTAACTTACCAGTATAATTTATTCTATTTTATGTTTACACAAAGTCTTTTATTCCTTATAGACAAGACAAAGATATCCAAAATAAAATGAAATCAATTGCAATGGTAGTAATAATATTGGATAGGGATTACCAAAGGAAAACTAAATTCCCCAACATGCCGTGAAGAAAATTAGGCTGTGCCTTTTTGTACAGCAGTGCTTGGAATCAGTGCATATTTGAAACGTATTTTAAACAAAGAGTAAAACCTCCTCTGAAAATAGGAAAAACTCCAAATTGAAAATGCTACTAAACAAAACTGATGCATTTCAGTGTCTGAAAGTAACCCTGGAAAAATGTAGAAAAGGTGTCAAAATGGTTAGAAATCAGCAGACACAAACAAGTTGTTTCTCTTCTATTTTCATTCAAATATTGTATTGTTGTACAAGTACACTGTAAACAGCAAATCTATGGCACGTGATGTATATTGTCGAATGCTTCATCTAACGAAGCACCACTGGTCCTAATTTTGTACTCCAGCTGAGGCCGATGAAAGTTGATTTCATTGTTGTCGTCACTGGCAGGATGGAAATTTAGGTCCGCATAAAAGAAAAATTCATTGTTCACCTTTTTCAAAAGCCTTGTCCGATGTCACGGTTCTCATCAATACATCAGCAGCCACACGCAAACTTTAGCCCAAGTCTAACAAGTTTACTGCTCATCATGTTCCTTATGCACAGTGTGAACATGGTGAATGTGATGAATTTGTGGTAAAGTCCCATGTCAAATTTCTAGAGACATTTGCTGATGAAAGATTGCCAACTCCTAATTCCCTTTTCCAAGTGCTTCACATATCACAAGAACCTTCAGATCAACTTTCGTCATGTTCATCTGCCTTTAAAATCCAATGAAGTACATGTACATATATTCACACTCTGCACACAAAATACACATTAACCAGATGTAAGAAGTTAACACTTGTTATAATTTTACAGTAAACTTTATAAAACGCACCGAGTGTTAGCAGAACCTACAGCCCCCCCCCACGATCACTATCTGTTCCGTGTTTCGTTTGTAGCAAACTGCATGGCCAGCTCAGATGCTGCATCTAGTACTAGAGCGATATGCCACTCTTTACCTGCAGTAAATGTATACTACCAGTAAGAACACATGAAATGAGAGGAAACTTTCCGGTGGCATGTCGCGTGAAGTCCGAAAATCACGGTGTCGGTCGTGACGGTTTGTCGCAAACAACACTGCGAAAGTCCCTAGGCACATGAATCAAAGCTTACTGTCCTCACCGTTCTCCTGATTTTATTATGGATTGTAATCAGCCCCTGGTAACGTTCTTCCGTCCAAATATAGCTACAGCTTTAGTCCACCTCGCTGCTGCCATAAGGGGAAAATTTCTTATTTTCGACGAATTCAAGGAGGATATTGTACTGCTTTTCAATCAGCGCTCAGCTTGAGTCCACTCCCACTTCGGAACTGGGGACGTCATAATGTAAACACACTGCGTGCTTGACAGACAGGTTTCCATGCACTACATAACGGTGGTCCGTATATAATAGGAACGGGAACCAGTCGAGCTAGTTCGGCGTAAAAGCTGAGCTATGATTGGCTCAGACGTATCACGTGGGGTTCCTCTTCTCTTGAAAAAAACTATAAACTTCAAATGTTCTCGGGTCGATATTTCCCTACTGTGCTGACTTTTCGAGTTGAACTCTGTGAAATGTACTTTTTGAACTGAAATATTTTTTTCCGAAAAGGTCCCCGTGGAGTTCATTTGACCCATTTTACTAGAACGGAACAGAAAGATAGGATTTTCATCCGATGGTCTAAATGCTGTAGCCAACATTTATAGAGCGTAGAAAACTAAATTATAATATTTCCGATGGTAATGGTCGGGAAATGTAAATGCGAAATTCAAGCTTTGTGTTTCTCCGAGTCTTCTCCAAGGTTTTTCAAAACACGCTCCTATTCCCAGGAGTGACGAAATACCAGCTGGATTTGTGTTCCAGTTATAACTCTGTTATTGTGGCAGGTTCTTTTGTTTTCAAATGTTTATTTAAATATAAATGGACGGCTCAAGAAAACCAAGGTCAGACATGAATGGGAACAATGAACTTGGCCCGTTTTATTTAGTACTTAAAAATATACGTAAAATATGCCTCGCCTGAACATTTTAATTAAAAGGTCACTTGTTCATGTGATAGGTCCTGATGATGTATATGTACAATTAATTTTGTTCGTTACAAGCCATATTTTTCTTTTGCCATCACAGCCAACTTCACTTGCGGTCCTGGATATTTAGACTGTGGACAGTCAGTGTGTATAGAATATTACCGAAAATGCGACGGTTTCCCACAGTGTAGTGATGGAAGCGACGAAAACGATTGTGGTAATTATAATTATAATATTCGGAAAAAGTATTTCTTGGACATTACTCATCTATTCTCCAAACGCCAACGCTATTTACAAGTACCACGAAAACAACATTTCGTTCTAAGCAGAATCATGTTCCAGAAGCTATATTTTGTTTTATGTAATCAACGTTTTGTTGGAAGGAACCCTAGGCGTGTCGTTTAGGGCCAATGGGATCATGATCCTGAGATGACTTAACGGATAAACACAGTTTTTGTGATCTTGATAATGTCATTTGGAATGCATTTCAGCGCTTCATGCGTGTTTTAACGACGAACATCTTCGATTTCTTTCGTTTTTCCTAAAGTACGATACGATTCATGCGTCTGCCCTCTGTTTGAGTTTCTCAATTAATATGCGTGTTTTTGCCTTCACAGGGCCATTCCGCGAGACCTATTACATTAATGCAACGGAAAAAGTCCAGATAGAATCGCCTAATTATCCTTGGTTTTATCCACACATATATGACATCACTTGGATTATTGAAACCGACGAAGAAATGAAAATTCGCGTAATATTTCACGACTTTCAAACTGAACACGGAAGGGGTATTCTTGAGGCTGGAGACGGTAACATTAGCACCAACAGCCCCTTTTTCAGATGGAGCTGGACGAGACTGCCTCCTCATCTTTTATCCAATGGAAACGTGATGTGGCTTCGATTTTCCTCCAGTCAATATTACGATGTCAATTATCGGGGATTCAGTTTATCAGCCACCAGTGTTCCGTCGTCTGGTATGCCTTTAGTCATGTTATAAAGCCATTTTATTTTTATTGTTTGTAACTTCCTCTGTTGGTAACGCGATATAATGATTTTTCCATCTGAAGTGTGCAATTCATCCACTTATTTACTTTTCAGACACCCAAAAGACCTGTTTAGCGTTGTACTTTCTTAAAGGGATTTAGGTTTGGCACCGCATTTGTTGTTACCCGTTCCATAACTTCTGTAAGACACAATGATTTCATCCAGTTCGATACATTTTTCAAGTAGCCCTGGCCCCGCTGTAACCATTGTAAATCACATCTCCCGCACATCTTGAGACTGACAGGAATGCATCTGATTTTGCGAAGTGGTCCGTATTTTAGCCAACAGAACCGACAGGCATTAAATTGCTGGATTTTTGTGTTCCACTGTTATGAACTTTAAATAAACTGGGGTATGCCTTGGCCTGTATTATACAACTGCTCAGTTTCTGTGTGGTTTTAGGACTGTTTTTCTCCAAATCTCCGGTTGTTTCAGTAATAATATGTGGGAACCACTATTATCGATACCAGGGCCTCAAGGATGTATCTACTTTTTGAAATTGGTATTGTATTTTCAATATTAGTGTTATTGTCCATGTTGGTCTCAAAATCAATCTTTGCATGATTTCTCTTCACTGAAAATTTCGTCTTTCAACTTCAGAAACTGTGAACTGTACTGTGGACGAATATGACTGTGGGCATTCTGTCTGTGTCAAAAAGGATTGGAAATGTGACCTCGTTGATGACTGTGTGGATGGCCTCGATGAACTGAATTGCAGTAAGAACTCTATTTGTGGCATAGGCCTTACTAGTACACAGTGGCGACGCCAGAACTCAGTGAGTGCAAGTGTTGGGCAAGGCAGAATCGCGTGGGTGTGAATGATCCTTCACTTTTCCTGGGTTATGATGCAAAGTCGTAAAACGAAACGGTTGATCGCCATGTGACAGAATTTTTGTAGGTGCAAACGTGGGCGCAAGCGGTTTTCAGTGGGTGCATTTGCACCCATATGACACCACGTAACGCCGCCACTGCATTGCTGGTACAACGGTTTGAAGGACTAGGGCATTGCATTCAGTAAGAGAATGATAGAACTGCCAAAGAAGCGTCAACAGATAGGTGGGTGCTTCTGCATATATTCCTAACGCAGCTAAACAGAACAATGGCCTTAACTTCAGTACTTAATTATTTTGTCCATTACTTTTGAGTGGTTTTATTTTCATTCATAATACATTTAAACAGTTTTATTTGTGTGACTACGAGAAATGAAACCGTTCTCTCCTGTTATTCTATTTGCAGCAAATGATCACGAGATGCATCTTGGTGTAAATAAAACGCTCCAGATAAATTCGCCGTTTTTTCCGAATACCTCCCCAAACAACACCAAAACTACTCGGATTACGTGGGTTATCCTGTCTGAAGAAAACTGCAAGATTCGTGTAACATTCTCCTCTCTTTTCCACTACGACGGCGACTATCTCAGAGTGGGCGACGGGAACGACGTTGTGAACCACACAAACATATTCTTTCAGTCAAATAGTTATAAATCAACACCTGACTTACTCTCCGATGGATCATCGATGTGGCTGACCTGGGAATGGGGACATCAGTGGGAATCGGAAAATCCTTGGTACTGGCCAAGTGACGGATTTGGACATGGATTTTCCTTATCAGCAGTTAGCGTTCCTTCTTCTGGTAATTAGGCCTTTGATAGCGTAAGAGGTCTGTGGTTTTCATCAAATTCTTGAAGTGTTATCAAGTGGCCCAAAACCGGACTCCGGAATCTTGTTAAGCGCAGCCTTTACTACCGATATGGATTGTCCTCATTAGTTTGCGTTTCCTCTTTTAGTAATTTTGATAACCTGATATCAAATGAATGCAACCTGGATCATATTAAGAACTGGCAGATTTTGACCGACTTGAGGTAGTTCGAAATAACCATGGTCAAAACCTAATTCTAATCTGGATTGTATTAAACTTCGGCTTTTGTTGCACTTTTCTTGAATTCAAATCGAACCTTTTCATATTTCAGAATCAATCTACTGCTCACCTGACTCAGAGTTTGATTGTGGTCACTCAGTCTGTATCGCGAAGTGGATGCAATGCGACCACGAGCGTGACTGCATTGACGGAAGGGACGAAATTAATTGCGGTAATAAGACTCTCGGATTTGCAATGTGAATTGAAAAAAAAGTTCAACAAAAACGCGTAACGCTGAAAACCTTTCGCAGACTTTCTTCTCTGATTTGAGCTAGATAAAAGTATCGCGTTACTTTTAAAGCTGTCTTAAAAGAGGCAATGATGCTATGTATTACCGTATCAAAAATCGAAGGTATTCTACCATACAAGAATGTTTTTCTGGAAGTGGCCATTTTTTGCTAGCTGTTCGATTTGTCAAACAAAATCGTATATATACCAGTGGACTATACTTAAAAACAATAACTCAGTATATTACAATGCTCAACTCCAAACTCATACCTCATTTGGCTAATTAGCAGTAAATTACAGGATTTCTCTTCATCATTAATCAACGCTGATCGACACCTGTATCATGAACAACTTCCTACCCTTCTGTTTATGTCACAGTCTCAGTATGGTAGTTGTTAATTTTGTACACTGGGTGCTCACACTTAAATTATGAACTTATCTTGTATACACATTAGCAATGGAGTTATTTTTGTCAGTCATGGGTTTCACAATGTCTTTGGAAGAAAAACAAAATCTATTTCATCCGATCTGTGTATTAAACCGACAACTTAACATTTATCTCATCAGTCAGTTATGAGACATAGAAGGGAAGGCAAGTACTTTGAGCCCGAGGCCAAGTGTCACAAAACAGCGCAAATTTCAACGCAGATAATTTTGTAATTTTGAAACAGGTCCTTCAGGTTTTTTCAATGTAGCCAACAATTATGTTACATACAGGTAGCGAGGTTTTTGAAAACAAACTAAAGAGTAAAAACATTAAGACAAATGTAGGTGTGACTATTTACGGAAACTTTACTTTTAGATGCATGTATTGTCTTGCTTTGTAACTGTATTTGGCTGAGTTGAAGAAAGTGAAGTATAGTTTTAAGATTTTTTATTAGATGATGGTGGCTCTTAAGTGTATTATTTTTTAATTCTGTTTCCTATAGTGTATCGTTGCCCACCGCATCAGTTCGACTGCGGGCAGTCAGTATGCATACCTAAAAGCTATTACTGTGACGGCAAGGCGGATTGCCTTGATGGAAGCGATGAGCCCAATTGTAGTAAGTATCGTATTTACGCTATTCAAAGGACCCAACAATGAAAATATCAATCAAATCTAATAAAAGTTTTTTTGAGTACCATTCTCCCGTTCAATCTCAAGCAGACCAAAAATATCAAGTGCACTCATCAGCCTCATAATTTCTTGCTCAGGTTCGAATAAGTGATAACGATAGATTATAATACGTGCCATTGCAGAAGGTTAGTTGACTGGATGAAGCAAAATCAGTTGAAAATTTCATTGTCTAATACACCCAGTGAGGTTTTTGAGCCTTTCAAGAAATACTGATCGTCAAATGTCTTACTAATTTGTCGACAGATATAACGTCCACTACTGCGGTGTCATTCACTAGTTCTAATGGAACAAACCCGACAGAAGGTGAATCAGTTGAAAATTTCACTGTCTAATACACCCAGTGAGGTTTTTGAGCCTTTCAAGAAATACTTATCGTCAAATGTATTACTAATTTGTCGACAGATATAACATCCACTACTGCGGTGTCATTCACTAGTTCTAATGGAATAAACCCTACAGAAGGTAACGAGTTGAGCGTGATGTCAATGGTTACTGGAGTGTTACTTTTACTGGGCAATAAAAGAATATACAAGATTCTCGAATTGCAAATGAGGAATACTCCAGAGTTGCACCGGATAGAGCCTATTTAATTTTCAATTACTGAGTATAGTCTTTCTGAAAAAGACTTTGTGAAAGGCATGAAATATATCGCTCATTTCTCGAATGATCTCAGATCCACTGAACAAAGTGGCCTGGCGCCAACTACAGTATTACCCACGACTTCTCATGGAATGAACCCGACAGAAAGTAGTAACTAGTATTAACAAAAGTGAAACGCTCTTGGTTGCAGTCTTCGTCTTGTTTGATAGCCAGTGCGACTACGGCACCAGGATTTCAAACCATTTCTGTAGCAAATAGGTTTGGAGAAGTGAAGCGTATGAAATCAATTTCTCAAAAAGAGTGAAAGATTCAGTATCGTATAGAGCATCATTTATTGTGACTGAATAACTGACACCTGAAGTAAACCCACTCTATTCTCACCGTAATTTGGTGATGTACTTTCCCATGCTTGAGGTTTTGAACATTGAAGTTTCTTCTAGTTTTGTTACCGTTTGTACATGTGTTTTTCCCAAAACTGGTCGGTAGAGATCGCAAACAGAATTATGTTGTTTGTCTAAATACGAGCTCAAACTGTAGCATTTGATGATATTGGCTAGCGTTTATGTTCATTAAAAAATGATGCATTCTGTTTGAAATATTTTTAAAATCACGTTTTAATGCATACATCGCACATGAGACCTTACAAAGTGAGTAAACTTCATACAAAAATATTCCAACAGACGAATAGTAGCAGTGCAGTTCGGGTGTTTTGACATCATTGCATAGATAAATGAAAATAACATGCTGGTTTGATGTTGTCTCTATCGAAGCTGAAAGCACGTGCCGTCCCGGAGATTTCGATTGCGGAGAATCGGTGTGCATTAGCGGTTTATGGCAGTGTGATGGTTTCCCGGACTGTGATGATGGAAGTGATGAGGAGGATTGTGGTAATTAAAACTAAAGAACTCAAGGAAGATTGCATTAAAGAAATTTACTTTGTCTTCCTGAAATATATATGTTTCGCACCAGCAACAATATCTGCCTCAAAATAGATTTTGTCACAGGATACCCCTGGATAAAAACAGGGGTATTGAAAATGTGCATCCGTGAAATTATTATTTATTTATTTATTTTGTCAAATATTAAATAGTAAGTACCTCAACGTTGTTTTCATATGTTTCTGTGCCCAGCAAGAAATGAGACGGAGAGGAAACCTCCGCATGTCCAAACCCTATACAAATTCTGGACTGCTGTTACGTAACACATCCCTCCTTCATATAAAGAATTTCTGAGATGGAGCTAACAATGACCTACACAATGACAGGCGGGGGTCTCACCGTCGCATATCTTGCGTCATATATGCACGTTTTCTGGAATCAGAATAGGCACAGGGAAAAACAAATTCCTCACAGAATCACCTTTGTCATCCATGACTTCCACTGAAAGATAAGATCTTTCACGAGTTAAAAATTGAAAAAGACTCGAAGAACTAGAAGCTCAGGAAGGCACTGACCTACTTGTTTGCAGTCATTCTGCTCGGTGTTTTTTTTTTTTTTTAGTCGGCTGTCGCAATTTTTGTTTCCTGGACGGGGACCGGGGAAACTGCTGGTGTGACAAGACGTGTGAGATCTACGAAGATTGCTGCAATGATTACTACGAATATTGCACGCTTCCAGATTACCCCACTGAACTACCAGGTGAAGCACCCCCCCCAAAAAAAGTGTTCTCATTATTATTCTCAAAAGTACGACATGGTACTTTGTTACTACAAAGAACGGCCGGAAAGACCTTTCAGATAATAATGTAATGAAAGGAAACTGCGAACAGACTTTTCCAGAAGGTGGAAGTATTTGAAACAACAAAACTGAAAGGAAATTTTCAAAAATGATTTATTTTAGTCGTTTATGTATATCTCATTTTGGCTGAATGCATCACTTATTAATAGTTACATGAGACATTTATATCAATGCTGTCATCTTTTTGCAATGAGCAAACATGATTCACATTACCTACTGAGTACATGGCCATTAACTTCAGCAACATTACATAGTGTATCATTTTACATTTGATAAATTAGATGACAACATTTAGGTTTAAGGTTAAGCAAGAACGCGTTTGTACCCCAACCTATGGAGAGACAAAGAAAACTTTGCAATCTAACATACTAGGACAGACAAATGACTAACATGACAAAACAAAAACAAGTGTGAGACAATACCGGATTAATAGAGCACAAATACTTTTCTAGCAAACACAGATAAAAAAGGTAATGATTAGAGAGAAACATCAAGACCATTTCGGTACAATATACCTTGATGAATAACATCGTTCTTGGCCAATGACGTTCTGTTAAATTCGACAAACAAGTTTCCCTTCATACTGCTACGAGTATTATAATTATGGATGTTAGATGCTAAAGTTACTTTGTTAAAGTTATTTGTTACTGCTTCGTGGGAGCTAAAACTAAATATTCTTACATCTAAACTAAACTTGCCCACTGAAAACATTTCTGCAAATCGTAGTCGTTCAAATATTGTGTACTTACGATTCCAAGGCGTTATAATCGTCTATGCGTGTGCAAATACACATCGAGAGACAATGGCAAACTTACTGTGCTACCTGTGTTCCAGGTTTTTTTTCTTTTTACATGAGTTTGGCGCAGTTCCAGAAATATTGTTTGGTTACATTTCTTCACAAGTGTAAACGTTCATTAGGGTAGGTTACCCTAATCAAGAATGAGACGTTAGGTATAAAACCATCCCTAGATTTTGATCAGTTCTGTTGCTTTGATCCATTGGCGTACATCCCGGGGAAGAGGGGGTAGATATCCCCAACTCTTTACCAGGGAGATGGACAATTAAATCCCCCCCCCATTTGAAAAAGAAATAAGACGGATTGTGAAAAAAAACCTCTCTAACTTGCCAAGAAACAAAATGTACTCATTAGCACCCAAAAGCAAAACATTCTGCAGGAATGCAATACATATTGCAGATGGCCTTCAAATGGTGTCAGCAACTCCCCCTCGCAACACTTTTCATATTTCCATTGCCAGGCGCGTACCCTCTTTCTTCCACCCCTAATTTACGCACAACTTTTACGCTATTGATTCCAACTAAAACAGTACATGCAGAAATGACATACGGCCATTTGTTGGAAGTCGGCTTTTTCGAGGGGGGGTAATAACGCACCTACAAGCGCCATCCATTGTCAGCTGCCCACATAATGTAACACTGTCATGACTTTAACGTTGCAGACATTGACGAATGTGACCCGGATGAACCTCTGCACAACTGCGACGACAATGCGTTCTGCACTGACACATCTACTGGATTTAACTGCACGTGTAATGTGGGATATGAAGGCGATGGAACAGCGTGTAGTGGTAACAATTAATTTTTATTCTTGGCAAGAGAAATTATTGAGTTTGCACCAGCTTATTGGTATCATTACAATTTTGTCGCTTAGGTTTAAAAGGAGACATTTTAGTGTCGCTGAATCTGAGTCCCAGTGAATCCATTAGAACTGATCGTCCTGGCCCCAACAGCATGCACCTAGGCCTACAACGCACACTCTGAATCTCCGTGTCGGGCCATAATTCAGACTGGAGATTTAGTCAGCAAATACACCGAGCATGATACATCCCAGACATGCATGACTATACGGGTACAAAGGGATTCTGTGATAGTCATACCTTTACTTCCCTGTCACTTAAGATGTTGAGGCTCCGGACATATCATGCATCGGCAATCTGACCGCGTTCTTGGACTGCCACAAGAACTACTCATCCGTCTCACTTCCTGGTGTCGACGACGTACATGACAACTCTGGAGAATACACCGTCACTGTTGTCATCGAAGACACTTCGTATGAGGTAGGCAACACCGTCACTTTTGACCAAGTGTCGTCCCCACACAGAGTACGCTACACCGCGACCGACAAGTCAGCAAATAGTGCAACCTGTGATGTGTTCGTTCATGTTTCCTCTGCAAATGGTAAGTGTCTATTTGAGAAAATAGTGCCCCCACCAAAAATAAACCAAACTGAGATAACAAATATGCAAGCAGTTTCAAAGTTCAAAAAGTTAATGTCAACTGGCAGCATTTGTAACCTATTGTTTTTTAAGAGGACACTCTTATGAGTCTTTTCATAATAATGATTTTAATTTCAACTTGTCATAAATTCCTCGTGGGCAACCAGTGTACTGTTTTGGAAGAACAAAATGTGTTTTTCCTTTAAAAGCTATGAGGCTTTGCATGGCCACCTTGCAGACCAGTTGTTTTGCTCCGCATTGAGCCCACCCTTATTGCGCATACTGTGTGAACTGGTCTGCAAGATGGCAACCATGAACACTTTCTACTAGTGTGGTACTGTGTCCAACAAACGAGTTTATGTCCACCAGATAGTGGCGTAACTAGGAGGACCTGGGCCGTACACATCTTTTTCAAGGGGACTTGCACAATTATATAAAAGCAACGGAGGTTTCAAATGGGGGCACTCAGGTGCACAGGCATCCGCTAGCTGGCGGGGATGGGGGCACGTGGCCCATTGTGCCCCCCCCACCCCGCGCCACTAAGCATGTTTGTTTATTAATACGTAACAACTGTTCAAAACTGCGTGTGTGTTTTTTCTTACTTTTGCGATCCTATGCATGGTCCAAATTGATCTTTTGCTCCCAACTTCTCCACTTTTAAGGGGGTAAGATTATAGAAATGAAACAAGCTCCCCGTGACAAGCAGACTTGTACGCTTCTCTGGTGCGTTGCGTACACGGTGTGTTCATGCGTTCCACTTTCACGGACACAAAAGTCGACTCTTTTAACGTGTGCACGTGTGTGTTGCGTGATCTGCCTTCAAAGTCGCCATTTTGATGGATAGACAACGCTTGGCGCAAGTGTCGGCATGCATATTGAAATTTACTTTTAGTTTTGAATGTGACCCACGCTGAAGGTTTTTTTTACGTCACCGGAATAGTCTCTTCTTTTTCGTGAATGACTTTTTACCTTTCCAGCTTACATGGGGAGGTGCTTTGGTGTTGAAACTTTCATCAATTCTCCAAGCCCTGGTCTAATAGGTACTTGAAATTTATTAGGAAATAGTTGAATACTAAATGTTAGCTAAAACTTATTTGGTATGTTTATTTTGTTATCAGACGGTCAGTTTTGTTCAGCTACCGGTAGTCCAACCAACTGCATATGTTCTTCGAACCAGCAGGGACATTGCACCTGCTCTGCTGGCTACTGCGGACATGACTGCTCTCGTAAGTCCTTTTTTCTTATTGTTCATTAGTTTGTTTTTGTTTTACCCGGCGTTTTCTAACCGAATGCCAAATATTGTATGCAATTTTTAAAAAGCAATCTTGTGAATGATATGGCTTTCATGGAAGGCAGTAATGATGTTTGTGAAGTCTGAGTTGGTTACACAGTCTGTTCCATCACAATCTATCATCGAGCTAGCAGGCACTAGTACTTTGCATAATTCTTTGAACTTGTGAAACTGGTAGTATTAACTTGTGCAAGCAAATGACACACCGAGAACTACAGGGCACCAACCATATTTCAAAAATACTAGAAGTTAGCTTTGACATATGAACTCCCCTTTTGTACTGGAATAAACGTTTAAAATCTTAGACCTAACAACGTCATTCCATAGCAAGTTTGATTGAAGTCATTATTTCCAACCGAAACAGAAAACAATGAGGGAACAGCCTGCAGTGGACCTGGTAAACCCTTTCAGAACTGCAAAGACGTCAACCAATGCAACACTAGCTTTACGGGTCCACAGTGTGAGGAATGTAAGTTGAAAACTGACGAGAAACATGATTATAAGGAGTGAACTTTCTTGATTTCGAGTAACAGTTACCTGGCATTTTGTGGCTGTTTTATTTGGGGTGAGCTACTCGTTTTATTCTTCAAACAGCTAACGCAGCAACAAACTGTCCGGAAGTTTCCAACCAGTGTCTGCAAGGCGAAACCTCCGTGGAAATCTCGTGGACTGAAGTCAAAGCTGTTGAGCCGTCCGGTGACCCAATCTCTCCTGCTGCCATCACTTGCAAGGACATCGACGGAGCTACCATCGGGCTCACGGGAGGCGTTTTTGGGTTGGGGAAGCACGAAGTTGTTTGTTCGTCAAAAACAGATACCGGTGTCGTCCCACAATGCTTGATTTCCTTCATGGTTTCGGGTAAAAATGCGCTTGGTTATTCTATTCTGTTTAAAGTCACGTTTTGAGTGCCAAGCTGGGAAAAGCTTTAAGAAATAGTATAGTTTACACTTGCTGTATTTATACCCGACAGGATCCTGGCTTTCCAAGAAGGATGGTTTAAAATTCGGAAGTCATGGAATGCATGGAAGTTGTTTTGAAGGCCAAGTCCAATTTAACAAGGAGTTTGTGGATCATTTATTGTTCCAATTTTCGCAGAATTTAGACGAATACAATGCGAGTTTTCATCAAGAAATATTAGCTCAAACTCATTAGATTTTCAACTCCTGCACTACCGGTACTTGTTTTTTTATCTATTTATTTTTTTATAAGGAATATGCAATTAGAAATTGGAGTTAAAACGGCATTGTCGATTTTAGTGCACCAGCCTTGAAAAACTGTCTGTAGGATCGTGCTGTGTCATATTTGAGGGCGGAGGCAAAATGTCATCTCGTCACACCTGATGGCATAAATCTCATTTTGCAAAATGTTAGACTTAAGGAACTGCAATCCTGTGCCGCTGCCCCAATATCTGTGCTCTCCCTTCATCATTCAAATGATTGTATTCTCCTTTTTGCATGCAGAATATCCGTTTATTAAGTTGTCGGCAGTAGGCAACCAGTGCACTGATCCAGGGAAACCAACCTCAACGGTGACATGGAATGTAGTAACAACTGGGGACGATGTAGTGATCGCCTGTACAGGAAATGGGACTAACATCGGACCAACGGGAGGTGTCTTCGGAGTAGGATCTCACGTAGTATCTTGCATTGCTACTAACTCGGGCGGCTGTGCAAGATCGAGGGCATTCGGTTTCGATGTTCTTGGTGAGTAGGCCTATTGCTGAGACTGGCTAATGAAAACTTGGTATGACTACTGAATACCTTAAGTGTCTTGTACCTGGATCGAAGGGAAAAAGCAGAATAACGATAAGAAAGCAGAATGACCAACTTACGTTGACTTAATTCATCCATTTGAGCCTTTGCTGTGGACTTCCATTCCGTTGACAAACATGCATCTCTTCTCGTGAAAAAAAAAACTCTAGTGAGTTCTTTCTGAAAACAATTCTCCGTGTGTGTTTCTAGCTGGGAATATCCTTCCGTTCGGAGTTGAGGTGGGCGATTTTCTGCTATCCCAGGCAATGCAAGAGGTAGGCGATATCTGCACCTATGACAAGAAATTTGTTTCTCATCTAGTCACACACATTGTATGGCAATTAGACAACTGGTGGAACCAGAAGGGACGCTAGGTGTAAGTTTCCCGCCAAAGAATATGTTTATTTGTTTGTTATCTTCGGGGGTTGGTGTACTCAGAATAAAGATACTTGGCATCCTTCATGAGATCTCTTACACCTTTACGGAGTAAAAGACAATTGACCATCGTTAAAAACTGTAAACATGGCTGCATTATTGCCTTAGACACATTGTATGGCAACCAGGATCCATCACTCTGACTCAAACAAGATTGCAAAGAGTATTTCACTTTAAACTTCATACTGCATTGTTTCAGATTGTGAGAAAGCGATTGGAATCCTGATAGGTTGCCTTTGCCGAGATGGGGATAGGTAGACTCATCTGAATTATGTACACGCGATTTTGAACAGCTAAGTGTATGTGTTGAAAAAGAAGTAATTACGGATTCTTTTCTATCAAGGTTTCGTTTTGGGCGTTGAGATCCCTAATAGCCCCGTCAAACAGAGCATTGTATCGTGCAATGGGCTTATTCCAGCGATTGACCCATAAGCATTTCCTGTTCTTTTTGGCATGGTTGTCGAGGGAGCATATGTCCCACTGTGGAAAGATCAGAGGGAAAACAGAATGAGAAAAGTGATAAAAAGGGAAGGAAAAAACTAATTTTACCTGTAATAAAATCAACAGTGTTCTCACTCCGTTTCTGATGAGTATTTTGCCCCTCCCCCCGGAAATTTCCCCCTTGAAAAAACGGTGGATTGTCTCCAACCCGGAAAAAAATCCTGGCAATGTCCATGCTTCTGAACACTAATTTTTTTCACACTCATACATACTCAACTGAAGTGAAATCTTTTTTTTCTTTGTTTCAACAGAAGCAGCAGTCAAAGAAGGATTTGATATCACCAACAATTTATCCACCAAATTTCTTTCCCTTCTGCGATGAACTGTATGAGACAATCTACGTAAGAGCAGTTTCTTTTTGTTGATCAATTACTGGGTGTTGTTCCTTGTTATTTCAAAAACCCTACTTCTTTTAGGGTAATCGGAATGTGCATAATGCCTTGAACGCCAGCTTTCCTAAATTAAGGTTATGATGTTGAACTTTTCTTGTTTTGTTTTCTTTTTTATTTCTCGTTTACAGTTCACCGACAATGGTGTAATCGCTCTGTCAAATAATAAAAGCCTTGATAAGTGGGCGTTTCCTGGAGCCAAATATTTGAAGTTTCCCGATGGTTTGAAACTGATAGCACCGTTTTGGGCTGATGTCAAGGCCGATGCATTCACTGTCGAAAAGAATGTTTTCTGGCAGGTACTTTAGAAACAAGTTTCTGTTACAGCATTATTTAATGTCAAATTGCATACATATACTGATTCCCCATGCTTGAACATGGACTTTATCTCATATAGTGCATAATCAGTGAAAGGTTTCCAACCTCGAAGGAGAAATGAATGTCCAGACAGTGTAAAACAGGGTGACAGGTTAATGCGGGAACCCTGGCGTAAATAACGATGACATGGGTTGCGTTTTACTTGCATTTCACAGCGTAATACTCAAGCAATTGCATTTAAAATATTTGCAGTATTTTTCAATAGGAGATGATTGGTATTAATGCACATGTGTTTCAAATGTATATCTTTCAAAGGAGAAAAAATCCAATCCGTTAACTGACGTTTTCTACCATGGTATTTACAAGAAATAACTTTCGAACTGGGATTGAAGCGTAAACCGGAATGAGAAAAATGGCAGGGGTTAAAACAGACGCTCTTAAACTTTCTCAAAACTACTTTAGAAATAAGACAAATTACATTAGCTTTCTTCAATTTTCTCCCAGGTTTATAACCAGTACGATTCCAACGGTAACCAGGATACATTAAATGCCATCAGGGACATCATGTCATCACACATTGAAGTTGGGAATGGTACCGGACTCGCCTACTGGGCGCTAGTTATTACGTGGAGTAACGTTCCACCCAACTCGAAAGCAACGGTACGTTTGAATCTTCATGTGACAAAATCCACATGGTCGTCTCGACTGCCTCATAACATAATATTCACATACGAAAAAAATGTCAAATGTCAGATCAATCTTTTGTTAATACCATGACCGTCTTTACACTCGCTAGCAATCAAGCAACCTGGTTTGCAGGTTTTTAAGTGGAAAGCAAAACAAAGGAAACTGGGCCTACTGTAAATACAGTAAACACAAAACTCAACAACTGACAGGCTGAGGAAAGTTAAGCCTAATCTCAGTGGACTGATTTTACATTATATTTAGGAATACCTAAGTAGATTTGTATGTCTGTGTGCATGATTTCATGTTACTTTCAGGGTACAAACACATTTCAAGTCGTGCTACTGACAGACTCTATCCACAGCTATGCGATGTTTAACTACGATCCTTGCAATATGAACTGGGACACCGTCTTCCTTCCCAATAAAAATGTCATATTGGGCTACACGTGTGGAGTGTCTGACCAGAGCGTGTACGTAGATGTTCCTGAACATTTGCTCTTCCGTCCGGGCAGCATCGTCGGGAATTCTGGTCAGAGGGGCCGCTGGGTGTTCCAGCTGGACAGCCACTCCAAGGAGTTTGTCAACCCTCGATTATACTGCCACAACTGGTACGGTCGTCAGGCTCCCTACCCAATTTTTGATTTCTACTACCCGCCGTTTGCTGACACGTGCCCCTGCAGTCTGGGAATGGCTCGGTTCGATTGGCGATTCCGTAGGATGACGCATCGTTACTGGGTTCTACCGGGAGACGTTTGGGATTTCTTTCAAGATACAAGTCAGTTTAGTCATAAGATAAATTAATCTTTCAGATATCATGATAACGAATTCGTTTTGATTGTTTAACTCAAAAAGGAATGACAAATAACGTGTTATGGATTGTTCCTATATTTTGGAACGTTGTAGGTAATACTCTCTCCCTCTGCGAATTAAGTAGGACTTTATTGAAAGAAAAACAAAGAAGGGACCTTTCTTCAATTTGCCAATAGCAAGAAAGGATTAGCAAGGTCTTATTATGTTTGGCTACTTCTCTTCGGAGTTATCAACTAAAGTCGTGTTAGTTCACATAATAGTTTTCATATGTTTCCATACCTTTTGATAGCTGTTGCTTGCTATGTGAGACTTTATCAAGCCCCTGGAACCCCCGGCCCACAATGCTGCTACAAGAGATCAACCGGCGATCTTCTTTACGACGTGAGGAATCCGAGAGTTGCTTCAGTCTTTGAGAGGTTCCCCTTCAGTCCAGTGTTCTACACCCCCGATGTGTTTCAAAAGTGGTACGGTAAGTTGACACGCCTGATTTAATTGGCCTTTCTCCTGTTTAATAGCTGTTACAGTCGGGGCATGTCTTGTTCAGGATTAGATTCACTTCCGGTGCATATTTATATACAGGGAGGGAAATTACACCCACTTCATTCTTCGTTATTGTGCGTATCCTACATGCATATGACTCATTTCTTCAATGGTTTATTGGCCTATTTGACTCGAATTAGGCAGTTCTGTAGTCATCATCTGTGTAGCAATTGTAAGTGATAAAGAGGGTTTTACATACTTTACTCTCAGATTATACTATCAAAACGTGCTGTTTTGAAGATAAACAAATCGACAGCATGCGGTGTGGGACACGCCTTAATTCACATCTCAACTAGCAAGGTAGTTCTTTTTTAATGATTCGTTTATTTGCAGATGAAGAAGTGATCTCCCGCTACCACTGCTGTGAAAAGTCCACCCTGTGTCCCCTTTATATTGAATGGCGCCCTCTCATGACTTGCTCCCACTACATACCACCCTTCTGGGGTAAGAAATTCAAGAAGCAACTTTTTCGTTTTCATAAAAAAGTGCAGTTTTAGAAAATAAAATGGATTTTAACAGAACATTTGTAGAGTGTTATTATTAATATTTACAACGGTAGAAATACCATGCTTGGTTAATTCAAAAGACGAATCAGTGTTCCGTTTGTTTAAAAACACAGTGTAACCTGGCGTTATTTTATGGCCACTTTTTTTTAAATCTAAAATCCAAGGTTGGTTCTGGGGAGATCCACACGTGCGAACTCTCGACGGTCTGGACTACACCTTCAATGGCCTGGGTGAATACACACTGGTCCTCATTGAAGACCCAGACAGAGGCAAGAGAATCTTTGAACTGCAAGGCCGAACACAGAGAGTGTACGACCCCAAAACAGAGGACTTGACAAATGCAACCTCATACAGTGGCTTTGCAGCGTTGGACGCTGAGAGCGGTGCAAGGGTTTGTATTCGGAGGAGATTGTTAAATGATGGAGCTTTAGACACAGCACAATTACAAAAAAATTAAACACCCCAAAAAATAGCAAATAAAGTTCGAAGGTTTTGAGCTGCACTTGCATTAGATTATCCAGCTTAGATAAAAGTTCTGTTTTATTTACGTTTAAAATTGGCTTGGCGGTAGGAAATGACTTTTTCCCTTATTTATCGACTCAGCTTGAATTGAAATTGAGCAACGATGGATATGATTTGATAACAACTGTTAATGGAAGCGTGGTTCAACCTACAGTTGAAGGTAATTTAAAGGAACTCTTTGTTCACCTAATGATTCAAAAACTTTAAAATCCATTTTCAAAATGATCTTCAAATACTCATAGCTTTGTCAGCCTGCATTTATTAACTTTCCTAAAGGAACAGCTAATTATTTAATTTGTGTACCAGAGATATTTGTTTCATCTTCCCTGTTTTGTATGGAAACGCTTGTTTGCATCTTATTAAAGTTGCCGTAAATGCTCTACAAAATTATTTACTAAAGAAAGCTTAATGATTAATTGGCCTTATATTTCAGGGTTAGTGTTTGATGGTTTAACGGTCAAAAAGGAAGAGGACCCTCCCAAGCTGCAAGCAATATTCGCTTCGGACGTTCAATTTTCCGTTGGAGTCAACAACAGTTTTGTAGATGTAACTGTTCAGCTGAGCCAAAGCTACAAAGGGAAAACGAAAGGCTTACTCGGTGGGTATTTAACCAAATATAGTTCATCCTACAGCAGTTGAATCAACGTTCACAAGTCTCATACGAGATAGGAGAATGTACATGCATCTTAAGTAACAAAGAAGAATGAAGAATTCAGTTAATTGGTTTTTCATTTTTGCCGGTTTTCCATCAGGTGTTTGGGATGGCAACACTACCAACGACGTCCTAAGGCGTGACGGTACATTCCAGCAACCGACCGGTACTGATGGAAAGATGCTTGAGGAGGACTACTTTAAATTTGGCGAAACCTGTAAGTGACGTAATTAAACATATCTTTTCGATTAAATCTACCTGAAGAAGATCTCAACATCTGTATAAACCCGCTTTTAACTCTATTCATGTGAAGCGTTTGTACGCTAGTTAATAATATTCCATCACTGTAGTTTGAAAACGCCCTTGAATAACACGATGTACTACATTTACAAAAGTTAAGTACTAACTAATGTTTTGATACATTTGTCAATGAAATACTGCAGGGCGTATTACCACCAACAATTCCTACTTCTACTACTTGGCACCCAATGAGAGCTGGGACAATATGAATGACTTAACCTTCCGGCCAATGTTCCTGGACGATCTGCTAGCTAGCGTGGACGAAGAGCAACGCCAAAAGATAATTGCCATCTGCGGGGACAACAAGGAATGTCAGTACGACGCGTTGGTACTGAATGATACGACCGTTGGAATGGCCACACTGGAACTCAATGAAAAGAACACCGAAGATTTGGTATCAGCGAGTAAGCATGTTGCAGTATATTCAATTAATTGGTACATGAGTGAAACCATCTCTTTTATCAATGATCTGATTCTTTAATTGTTTAGGAGGAAACCGAACCTGGGTGGAAAGTGGGCCAAGGGGTGTATGCATAAACCTATCTGGGACTCGAAGCAGTCAGCATCGATTATTTTTTTCTTGAAGAATGTCTGTGCCCATAAATTTGTAAATGAATGATTAAAGCATACCCTACGTCACATCATATGAAAAAGGCTCCATTTCCAGACTGCAAAAGGTGAATGCGATTGGAGAATGTCAATCGGACGAATAGGCCTACACTTCAAAGCCTTCCTTTTTGTTCGATGTGTGCAAAATGGGTTCTTCGAAATTGTCCTTTTCTGGCAATTATCAAATGGGTTTATTTCAAATCGCCACTTTCTGGAAATATGTTCACTTCATGATCAATAAAGAAGAAGCAGGCTCAATGTTTAAACGAATAAATAGTTAAGATTTGGACGAGAAGTACTTTGATTATTGTTCCAATGATAATACAGTAATATCCAGCCTTACTAGCAGCAGTTACTCGAGTTGTAAATATGGAAACGATGTATCCAATTCTTCGGAATGAAACAGTAATGTGAGTATACGTCAACCCAGTGACTCTCATTCTTTATGACAACGGCTCCCTACCCTAAAAGAGACGTTACAATACTTTGGTTTAAAAAGCTTTCAGCTTAGCCTTTTTATTTGACGAATGTGAGAGACCTACGTCACCAATGTCAGAATACCATAATACTAAGTACTTATGCCGAACTTCTCAAATAAAGAGTTATTGTTTTCTCAGCTAACTACCCCCCAAAACTGACAACATCTGAAACCATTGATGCCACTGTGGGACAGACACTCACGCTACAGTTAGGAGCTACTGATCCTGATGGTGACCAGGTTGCATTCCATTTACTAGAGGAGATTGACAATGCTGTACTCACAGCAGGTTGGTAAAACTAACAGATATATTGCTTGCAGACCCCGTTATCAATCACCAGGTACCCTTCGGCTTCTCCTAAATGTTGTATGGACGTGTGACACTAGCAAAATATTGCAGAATTTGAATAACACTGGTTGGATTTCTTGATTTAAAGCTAACAGAGGTTTCATTGACAGTGTCAAAGTACTGCTTTTAAAACTCTGTAACAATTTCGAATTTTGTATTGATATATTATACGCGTACCAATGCAGTATAGTTTAACATCATCTATTGTAGATGGCCATTTCACATGGCAACCATTTAACACGTCAAAGGTCAGGGTCGGTTTCCTAGCAACGGATGGTAGGTCTAATTCTACACTGGAGCCAATCGTCAATCTTTGTGACTGCAAGAATGGCGGAACTTGCCTTCCAGATCAGTATGCTGCTGGTACAAACCTCATTCGTGACCGCTTTGGCGTAAGTACAACCACAGTAACTGCTGTTTGTGCAAGGCCGGCCCTATTGGGCCTGCAAGTGGGAGCCTTAGTGATACTGTACAGTGGCGGTCCAGTTCTTCTGCAGTTGTCAGGAGGGTGAAGATCCGTCCGCCAATTAAGGATAGGAGGCGCAAAACCAGCCCAAAATGGACGCGAGGCGACGTCAGCTTGATTCCCTTCGATTTATTCCCGGGTGTCAATCAGCAATGAAATTGTAACCAAACAGAAGCCAAGAAAAAAACCTAGAGAAAGACAGAGGACACACTATTAATGAGTGATGGCTTACATCGTAATAAACGTTACATTCGCTATGTCCATGATAAATGCACACTACGAAATGTCTCTGTACAATCATAAATTCCCTCACCCTGACGTCTAAAAGTTTGCCCAAATTGGTATGGACTCTAGGAGCCAACGGAAATTTAGGGCTTAGGTTATCCCACAACTTAGAAGCCATGTTGCTGTGATCGACTGCCAGCCCACCTAGGTGCAGGTCTCTAGCGTGGGAACTATCACTGAGAAAATCCCAGAAACTTCTCAGGTCCCGCCAAAATGTAATACAGTGTAAGCAACTTCTGGCCGAAGGGCGTGGCTTAGAGATGATAATTTAAGTCTGCACACGGCAAGGGACGCTCATACTCACGCATTGATCTCGTGCCAGAGACCAGCAGGTCAGAGTTCATATTTGCATCAAAAGTAATTATATCACCGGGGAAACCCCAGATCCCTACAATACCAAGAAAAGATGTGCAAACGCCACCGGCTTTGGAAAGTTCGAAAGGTGGGACTGGCGTTTGGTTAGAGGCGGAGGTGTATACATACAGGTATTTAGCTCCCCGCTTTGAACAATCAACGGATTCATTTAACTGTTTGTAGCGTTGGCCCTTGAGTCTTTTGCTTTATTTTCCCTTTGTTTTCTGTATCTTGATTTTCTTTCTCGATGGAAGATTATACATAGTCAAAATGAAGGGAGTGTATTCCCTCCCTTGGGATTGTGTTTATATGCTACATATCACACTACATGAATCAGATACAGTAGGTCTCGTAACTTCCAAGGTTACGAAAGGAGCACTGCACTCAAATTTCAGGGAAACAATTATTCAAAACCGGTGGCGTCTTGTCAAGCAAACTGTCAGAAATGTTAAATCCAGAAAAGCAAAACTGAAGTGTTGGAATCGGATTCATCGAAGGGGCCGGGTAGCTCAAATTAGTCACTCCTTGGCTGTTCCACCACAAACCATTTAAACAGATAAGTGACTGCAAGCGGCTCCAATACTAAAGCACATACGATCTTGGTTCCATACATGTAACAGATTGTTATCGACTTTCTCGAAAAAACTTGAGACCACGTGAAAAGCGCCTTTTATGTGTTTTACTTTACTTGTTTTGATTGGAAGAATTAATTCTCTTTGTCACGTTTAAAAAGAAAAGGAATATGCAGACAATTCGATCAGGTTTTCCGTCTGAGGTAAAACGAATCAGTTTATTTTCAGAGCACATGAGCCAGTCTGACTTCAGTTAAGATCTGGATCTTATGAATTTGCAAATCCCCACGTAAATGATTCGTGATAATCCTAAACTGACCATTTAGTGTCTTTTCCAAGAATTTAAGAGCCAGCAAAACCATTTTTTTGTTTTTTTGTTTGTAGTTTTCGTTTTATTGTCATCTCAGTTGCTATATTTCTCGATGTTCCTCAGGTTTTGTTGTGCAAATGTGAGCCAGGATGGAGCGGTGAGTTCTGCAAAGTGGACTATGACGCATGCGCAGACAGCCCGTGTTTCCTGGGCGTGAAATGCCAGGATGAGGCACCACCGTCTTTGAACAGCACCTGTGGACCTTGTCCTGAGGGATTGGAGGGCGATGGAAAAACCTGTACAGGTAGTTCACTTACCTTTGAAGCTACACCCCGCAATTACTCTGGCCGATTTACGTCATAGCGTGCAACTTCGGGGGGAGATATCAGTTTCGTAGTGCATTTCGAGAAACGGTTGGTATCCACGGTTACGGTGTAACGGTTTTGACGGACACTGAAAAGTTTCAAACGTGTATGATTAAACATGAAATGCATATGAGTTGTTATGCTTCATAATATTGACTGGAATAACAAGGTCTAGATGCATTTGTGTTTGTGTGATACAGCTACCATGCAGAAGAAACCTTTATTAGTAATGTAATACCGTATGCCATGCAGGCGACAACCTGAGCCTCTCTGTGCCAAGACCTGAACGTGGCACTAGTAGTGGGGGGGAACTGTTTGGTACACTTTGACCTTTGACCTAAAATAGAAAAGGTCATTAATATGCAAGAGTATAATAATAATATGATACTGATATGAATAGGAATGACTTGTAGGGTGAAAAATTTCAGTACAGAATGACCTTTGGTAAGGGATAGGAATAAGGTCAGAAAGTCTGGCACAGGTTGATCCTGGTGTATGGGATAAAATAGGAGTAAGGCATAGCACGGGGTAAAACCTTTTTGTACAGTTTGACCTTGCTTATGAAATTATGGCACTACATGGTAAAACAGGATGATTCATATAGTGTGTGATGGTATACTGACTGGCCCACCAGGCAATCCTAAGGTAATCAAGGATAGGAAGCGATAATCCCTACACAATAGACAATTCATATCGCCGATTAATGAGAGGGATAATCCCTAGATAATGGCTGTATGTAGTGGCTGAGCTGTGTCGGCAGACTATTGTGTTAATGATTACATTGTGTACGTTGGAAGTGAGCGTTGGTCTGACTTAACCTTTGGACACTAAGGAAGAGAGGGCGCCCACATGCTAGCGGTCTTGGTTTGGCCTACTATGGCTACCGAGATTTGATCGATACGGGAAGAAGACTCTGTTATCCCTAGCTGAATTTTTTAATCCTTTGAACTAGAGTGCTTTACGTCCCATTACCCTGTATATGTATACGTTTCACAAATTCAGTCAGAGCGGAGCGTTAATGTTGTTCTTTATTGCGGAACCTAAATGTAAAATACAGCATTGTGTAAAATTAAGAATTCTGGGGGTGGCATGACGTCAGTTGGGGATTTTTAATACGTAGCAAAGGGGTAAATTTATTCGTCGTGCTGTGGAATATTGTGCAGAAGTTCCGGCCAATATCCGACCTGAAAATTATTATTCGATACTCATACCGATAAGTATAACACAAAACAAATTCGGTGGACTTCACATATTGGTTTCTGATAGGTGTGTACTGGTGCCGTTTTATTTCCCGTTGTTCATCATTGATTTTTTAGAATAATTATCTTAGTAATTTTAAGAATTACTACAAGGGTGATTACCGGAAGTTTGTTAACTTTGAAATCAGAGTTATTACATGTAATCATTATTTTTGGAACTATTTGTCTCTACAGACTGTTATCTTTTAGGCATGCTCCTCTTCGTCATGAAACAGTCCGGCAAATTTTTCAGCATGTTTAGGCAAAACTCTTTTCGAGGCTTTGTTCACGTTCATGCCTTTATCAAGTATTCCATCGAGATCATCCACAATGTCCTTGTGAGTTTCATTTTCCCTCAAATATAGGTAACTTGATAGGAACTCCTTGTAGTTGTCGGAAAAGTCTTGTTTGACTGCCCAGAGGGTCTTTCTGTTTGCCTTCTGCCTGGCTTGATCTTCATCCATGCCTTCGTTGACGTACTTGTCATATTTTTCATCCCTCATGTCCCTATATGTTTCTCTAGCTTCAGCCAGCCCATCTTGGTAGGCGGCATTGTCTTCCAAATCTGAACTGTCTTCATCCGAGGTTTCATCATCGACCTCCTCAAAAGAATCCGAGTTTTCGTCAGCTTCATTCATGTCAACATGGATATTTTACATGTGCCTCTCCTGATTAAACTTCCGTCCGAAGCATTTGTCACTCTGGAGACAAGCATAGGGCTTGGCTGTATAAATACCATTCATGTTGACTCTACGAAGGATGACCTTTAAATGACACGAAACAAGTGAAAGCGTTACATATATCCTAAATATACACCTATTTACTGCTTCTGATTTGCATATTTCATTGTTTATTTTTTCATTGTTCAAATTGGTCTTTTTATTGCTCAAACTGCTCTATGTATTGCTCTTTTACTCGTTTTATTACTCTTTTACTCTTTTCATTGGTCAAATTGTTCTTGTTATCGTTCAAATTGATTTTGTGTAGTGTAAATTGATCTTTTCATTGTTAAAATATATTCTTCTTATTGCTCAAACGGATCTGTTATTTTTATTGTACAAAATAAACTTTATATCTTTCAATTGGTCTTTTTTATTGTATAAATTAGTCTTTTTAATGTATAAATTGCTGTTTTTATTGTTGAAATTACTCCGTTTCAGATTTTTAAACTCTATAAAAATCTCATTGGTAATCTCATTGGACTCTGTAGGTTTGGCATTTACTTCCCTCTGCAATAAAAAGGCCAATTTGAACAATAAAAAGAGCATTATTTATACCATGAAAAGAGCAATAAAAAGAACAATTAGAGCAATAAATTTGTACAAATTATAAACCTGAAAGCGTACAAATAATTTTTTTTTCCAAAAATGGATCCATCTGAGTAAGCCTATTAAGGTTGGCGTTTGCTAAGACGGTGCTGCATGTCATTGGGTCGTAAAACTAGCAAATGCTATGAAGTTCAAGCAAACAGCAAAAGCATTTACTGAGAAGTAAAACCTTTAAGAATAAGCAATTGCTTAAATTTGTATGAACAAAATATTTCTTTTACTTTTCAGCATGCATGTACAAATAGTAGCAAACATTTTACGCTTGTGGCTGACTTCACTGCCGAACGGTTTTGCAGAATAGGCTTCCATTGGCTGCACGTGCAGACACACACACAGTGCAGAACGGTGCTGTATCTTGAGACCTCAGCATGGCAGATGAGCACGATGGCAGTAATTTTGATCGCAAAAACCTAGATGAAGAAAATTGCTCTGCCACTCTCACATCGGTACAAGTGCCTGCATCTGGTTTCTAGAGATTCCCTGCTAAATGCATAAACAGCTTTTCCTTTCAAATGACATTCATGAACGCTGCCATGTTGAACATTAGTAAATAATCCTCGTTTTAAAGCTTGCCCTGACCCAGTCTTGAAAAATGTCAAGTAAATACTCCAATTCTGTAAACTTACTCATTTTTATTCATACAAAATGAAGCAACTGCTTATTGTCAAGCACAAGCTTAAAGAGTAAAAATAAACGCTTTTACGTTTTAGCAATTGCATTAAAGTAAAAGCATTTGCTTCATTATTATTCATACAACACGGGTAAATTATTAAAAAAAAATGGTAGTAAAAGCAAATGCTACTTTTTATTTATGCGAGCAATTGTTTCTTCTGATTCGGTTTGTTTCCAGACATTGATGAGTGCGAGCTGTACCGAGATGGTCGAGCCGACAGTGACGGGCGGGGATGCGATCAGATCTGTGAGAACATGCTCGGGGGGTTCAAGTGCAGTTGCAACACGGGATATTACCTGGATGAAGACAAAAAGACTTGCCTTGGTCAGTTTGGGTGCACGTGGGCTTTTTTCACGATCACTTTATTCATCACTTCATCTCTTACGCAAAAGCGTACGGGTTCTCGTAGCAATTTCTTACATATAGCTGCTGTGCAGTTGTCACAAGTGCTGATGATCTATTCAGCTTTGCTGGAAAAGTTGGAAGTCACAACGACCCTTTTGATGGTCACATGCACAGAGGTAGTAGCATCAGCATTGGAACTAGGCAGGAGGACAACATCTAGAAAAGTTTTAATCTCAACTTGATTTAGTAATTAACTAAAAGGCGAAAGATTCTCATTATATCGATTCAAGCAAAAATGGCAATTGTACACCATTTGTAAACAAGAGATAGGCATATCTGAGTTAATGACAGCGTCATACTTAGCCATTTGGCGGGTAAATCTAGTCATATTTTCAGCCTTGTGGGATGCTTATACGCTTCCTACCATTTACAGTCAATTTCCTCCTTTTGAACATTATCATTTCAACCGATTTTGTACTAATTTTGTACTCTTTTTTTTCACAAGAACTGTCAACATCGAGCTGTTTGAATGGAGGAGAGTTTGACAAAGAGTCCCGAGAATGCATTTGCCCATGGTCCTTTTCTGGGCAAACCTGCGGAGGTACGCTAGGTCAAAAACAAAGGCAATATTATACCCTATATATAAGAAATGAAGTTTAGCAGAAGTTTTGCGTAAAGTATTAATTTTTCATTAATTTTCAAAATGTAGCTGACCCTTCATGAAATTGCATTCATACCTCCCAAAAAGGTATTGAGTGTCGGTTTGTGTTTTTAGTGTGGTAAATTTAGATGCCAGCTCGCATTAAAGAGAATACTCTGTCGGTTTCAAGGTATAGACGATCCGTGTTGGTCGAGGGACATAACTTCTCCAAAATAAGAATAGTTACCTATTCGTTAGCTCATGTAGTAACGTCACTGAAACAATCACTTTTGTTCCAGAGAAAAATCCCTGTTTGTCGAATAGCAGCTTATGTTCAGAGCTTGGGCAGCAATGCTTACCAGATAAAAATGAACATGGGTTTGTATGTCAGTGTCGAGGCTTTGAGGGATACGTGCAAACTGGCGGCTCTTGCAAACGTAAGACGACCATTTGTTTCAAAAGTACATGCATATTTTACCCTCCAAAATGGTACGAGCAAATACTGTTAATTAAAGATTAAATGGGAACTTGTAGTATTTATACATTTTGCGTGATTTTGAAGATGACACTTTGACCTTGATGATGATGACCTTTACAATTTAATTATAAATAAAAGGATGGTAGGGCTGTGCATTGAAAAGTACCGAGGACCGTTTTTTTTCTGAAAAGTGACACTAACTTTTTCCATTCTTGATACAACACTCTGTATTTTGAAAAATTCTTAATTCAGGTTAAAACAACAATCCACGATATCTCTCTCAGGCCCAATTTCAAAACGGATTTTAAAGGTCTTCAAGTATAATGATCTCCGTATTTCTCAATTCGCCTTGTTGAAATTTAAAATGGATATACCATTTCAGAATACCCTTCCATTGGAGTAGTGGTCACCGCTCATTTAGATTTCATCAACGCCTTCACAATGCCAACTTCAACCGCATTCGAAAGGACTTCGTCGATGTTTCAACAGGGGGTAATGAACTCAAACATGAATCATTGATTACTCGCTACGGAAAAAAATGCTTTTTAACGTTTTACATCACACTGATTTTCTAAAGTAGGGTCTAAGGCGTAATGAAGAATGGGCAAACTGAAGCAAATATATAACAACTATAACATTAGAGTCAGCTTTGTGGCTAAAGGTTGAAAAGGGAAAATATTGTTACTTGAGATAAGGAAGAACGAAAAACCCTCACAAAGTGTTAAATAAGTTATTACTCGCCTACAAATATTACGTGGTTGATAACCTGAGCAGGCATTCTGCCATTCAAAACACACTCAGTTGATCTTGCAGAGACATCGCATTTTCAGACAAGTAAAACAACTTAGGAAAAATAAAGCACTTTAGGTGAACATTCGTTATTTTTTTTGACACTGAAGATAAGTTTTGTATTTTCTGAGTATAGATAATGAATAAGCTTGAGACGAACCAAACCACATGGAACGCCCTTACTGTGCAAGTGACAAAGATAGAGGCAGGCAGTGTGATTATCACTTCGGTGGTGTCATTTCCGGAGAACGTAGCCCCATCAGAAGGTGATCTGGAGGACGTGTTGTCCAGTAGTGATACTCTGTATGACGGCAATGCGACAATTTCTATCGATCGGAACTCTGTTTATGCAAAAGGTATTTGTATATACCAAATAACCCAAAATAGGTCCTGGGGGACACGTTGCCCTTTCTGTGTAAAGATGTTCCTCCAGTCCCAAGTGTCTTAGATCAAGTGTTACTGTTATGTCTTTACAGAGGTGTCAACATTCTGCCCTACAGACCATTGTCTTAACAGTGGGACTTGCGAAAGACCACGTTTCTCTCCTTGGTTTATATGCAGGTAAATTACTGCGTAAGATGTATCAATTGACCGCAAAATGCAGAGGAAAGTGGCCTAAAGTTCTGAATTATAAATATTTCTTGACATAACTTGGCAGATCCAGGAAACAAGGAGATCATTTTTGCAGCAAAAGACAAATATACGAAACAATCAACGACCATTTTTACTGACATTTTAACGGTGTTAGATTCGTATCGATAACCCTGCCGTGAGATGGACGTAACCTAGGGCAAGACTAGAAAGTCTCAAGATGCTTGAGATTATCCTAAAAGACTGGGCATTTCGTGACCTAAACCGTACCGTTGATATATGTAGGGAAATGCGTCATTATCCCTTGTCCCCAGTGATAATTCCCCAAAACACCACTCTCATGGCTATCAAGGTAATATGAAGCTAAATGTTGCTTATTACTCATTTTGTAGTTACCCGTGAGTGCATGAATATCAACGTCTCCCTTTGCTGATCGAAAAAGAACGCTTAATTACCACAAATGTTTCATTATAACAAGAACTTGATTTGTGAAAAATTTCTTTTCCAATTTGGGTTGTTTGTTTAGGTGTTTGGCGGATTATACAGGGGAGAGATGTGAAACAAAGATTAAGCCGATTCCCGATGGAGGCAAGTAAAATGTTAATACAAGACATTGCGGTTGCAAGTTCATCAAAATAACGAGAAGCAAACTGTTTAGTTTTTTTGTTGGGTCTTTTTGGGGTTGTTTGTTTGTTTGTTTGTTGGGTTGTTTGTTTGTTTGTTGGGGGTGTTGGGGTGTTGGGGTGTTTGTTGGGTTGTTTGTTTGTTTGTTGGGTTTGTTGGGGTGTTTGTTTGTCAGTTTTTCCATTAACAATTTCTTGAATATTGCTGCTTTTTTTAGAATAATTCTGGAATTGTGGTTCTTTGTAGGATTTAAGGCCAAATTCAATTCAATGAAGAGCTTTTACTTAACAAAAGGACATTCGTATATACAGAAAAAAAGAAGAAAAAATCTTAATTGACTGTTCTTGCACACAAACATGACCATCGCAGTAGTAGAATGTTGTAATGGGGAAACGTTCTGTGAAGGTACCCTTTGCAGGTTGATGTTATAATAGACATTAGTGAGCAATTTAGTCAACTAACTGGAAATGTAATTGCGAAAAGAGTCATGTATATAATGGGCATATGAATAGTCAAAAGGACCTACGGGGACGGCCACGTTTCCCGTGAGCAAATGTGTCCAAGTTCATACAAGGGCTATTTGTTGAAAAAAAATACAATGAAAGCTTACTCCCTTATTTCTGTGACAGTCTGCATTTGATTTTGTTATCGGTGTCGTTTTTTCCCACGGAGAAAAAAAGGCACGCCTTTTATCTTGCCCGGAGCGTTACACTTGATTAGTATGCGTGTCTCCGATTTCGTGGTCCGAAAAGAGTCTCTTTATCGGAAATATGAAAACATCTATTTATAACTGAATTTTTTTCGGAGTATTTTCCATCAGTTCATAGCTTCTTTGTTTTGTTTGATACACCTTTACCAATGTTTATGGTATGTGCTTTTGTTCTCCAATTTCCTTTTCGCTTTGGAATGCAGAAATGGCTCATTACATCGGTGCCAATTTAGAGTGACATTTTGACAACATCGAATATAAAATCATTGCAGCGATAGTGCTTGCCATGTATAACGTTTAGAATCCATTGAAAATGCTGCTCAGAATTTCGTATGGAACTGGGAAAGCATTCAAAACCATGTAGACTATTATTTATTTTAGAACCAAACACCCGTGCGAGTCGCCTTATTGTCAGGCCCCAGGGCAGACCTCGGGAGCGCCTGTCACAATAACATCAAGCACCCACTCATTTTGAGTTTATATGGACAAATTTGCCAATGAGATTAGAAGCCATTATCGCGGAGTTATCATGTGCCCATGCAGGTGGTACGCACGCGTTAGAGTCCACTCCAACGAAAATAGGGTGACGTGGCTGGCCAAAATGTGCGCACACCCAAGTTAAAATCCGTGTGTGAGGAACCCTCTGAGGTACTCTTGTGAATGCGAAATTGTATGCTCAACCTATTGCTTTTAATTTCAGGTGGCATTTCGCCCCTTGCCTTGGGGCTAATCGTCGTGGGATGCATCTTCTTCGTCTTAGTCACCTTCGGTGTTGCCATGTACATTGTGGTGCAAAAGAAATACGGCAAAAGATCTACCCATACGCGGGACAAGAAAAAACATCGTCAGCCGAAAGATAAGTACGGGATGAACATTAATGAAAGTGTAAGCTTCAACAAAGGTTACCAGGCCTCTGAGTTCAGCGAGGAAGGCATAAAGATGAAATCTCTCACGCTGGTTGAAAATATTCAGGACGGGAAGGTAGGTACATTTCTGTGTAGTAAATATTTCTTCTCATACAGTAACCCGTTCAAATTGTGTCAAATATTCCTATATTTTTAATGTTTTTTCACTACACATTTCGCCATGTTTTAAACTCATACTACTAGGGGTAAGCCATGAAGTGAACATGAAGAAAAATCAAAATAACTGAGAAGAAAGGAGGGAAATAGTCTTAAGTCTTTAACAAATAGTTGGAAAATGTTACTCTGTTTGGGAAAAGACTAGAGAGATGTTTGTGCTTTCTTTTTACCAGCCTGTGAAGAACCGAAAGATATACGTTCCACCCTTCAGTCAAAGTGATATGGACTAAGTTGCACAGAAATGGTTCTGGTAAGAGCACAAAGTAACGAAGAAGAGCTAAAAGGCAAACTTTTCAACAAACAAATGACAAAAACTGCAGTAGGAGTAAAAAAGAACGACGATCAATAGCCATCGTAAAATGCTCATTTTCTTCATACTTGATCAGTTGCAAAGTTATTTCTGGCATCAAGCAAAATCAAGTACAGAATAGTTACCCAAGACATTTGTGTAATTTAAATGGAAGAAATACCGAAGTACTACCAACTGCTGCTTGAATCATATTTTAAAATACATGTGAGATGTACTGTATCCTGCACTTTACAGTTTCTTTGTTCTTAGGTAGAAATTAGATGATTTCACAAATCCTAATCACTTTTATTGTGTAACTGAACCCTGAGGCTGTAAAAAGAAATTTTTTTCCTTATACCTTCTGCCGACAGGTTGGGGACTGCTAGGGTTAATCTTGCACCTTTACGCTCGAGTGCAAAGGTTGAAGGTGACGCTGCGGTCCACCTTGTGGGTAGTATCTTTCTAACCCAACAGGAACAACAAAAATCCTTAACGACGTTGCCTGTGATTTGTTGCTGAAATTGGAGACAAATTCGCTCGAAGTTTATACTGTAAATCGCGCTTTGCTTTATACAATAATTAACACAGATTACGCGCGGTAGTTTGTTACATGGCAAAAATGTGCGTTGAAGTGAAAGGAACAGTCATTTCGTTTTAGTTGCTGGTTTGTTAACAGTGTTTACCAACTAATATTAGTATTTTCTCTCATTAACCCGTGCAAATATTGGAAGTAAACACAGTCACAAATCTGATATGCGATACGCATGTATTGTGGCTGTATTTCTTGGAACTGTAAGTTTTCAGTTACTTGGAAAAAAATTGCAGTCTTTAACGTGCTGTCAGAGCCGAAGGAGAGTGTTGTTCGATATTTCCTGGGAAAACAGTCCGTCAGTCATACCCTCAATTTTGTTTTGGTATCCATACCTTTCTGTCCATCAACAGACACAGCACTTCTAAAAAAGCTCGGATTTTTTTAAAATTTCACAAGCAGCTTTTGGGGGATTCTGTGCTCCTAAGACCTAGCTGTCCCGTGTCCAATCTTTTCATAACCCTGATATGTAGGTACAAACATTCATCCTAAGTACATCTGTGAAGTTACGGTAGTGCTGGTAGGGTCTTTTTACTCACATGTGTCGGCCTGCCTACAAGGAACTCGTCGATGAGAAAAAGTACAATATTTTGGGGCTGACCTGTTCCAGCATAAAGGTCATTTTGAAAGAATAGTAAGGTAGGTCCAGGTGGAGCCAAAAAGAGCAAAGCCTTTTTGACTTCATGAGAAAAACGGCATTTTGTTAGTCCATTTTATGTCCCTTCAATCCTAAGCGCTAACGTGTAGCCTCCACCCTCAAAAAGCGATAAAAGTTTACATGAAAAAAATTCTTAAATTTTTGGCCCATACCTACCCCCCGAAAAAAAGTTTGCCCCTTCCCTGGATTTTCTCTTGGAGAACAGTGTGTTCAATTAAACGGAAGTGCCAAAATCATTGTAGGGCATTACAAGAATATATCCTAAAGGTTGGACACAGTGGAAGACAAACGAAGACGAAAAATGGGTTGACTTGCAACAAACTTGCGGTCCTCACATACGTATACAAAGATGAGAGACCCCAGCTCTTGTTGGAAAGACGAGCTGGTGGGGGAAACAGAGACGGCAGCGTTGCAGGAACAACGTCACAAACACGGAGGGAAATTGCCTGCTTTTTTTTTGTTGCTACCATTCATTCATTCATTCAAATGTATTCACATATACTGTTAAATAAAACCCAAAATAAACAATACCATGTCATACATGTAGTGTAATGATGATCAAGCACTAGTATAAAAGGGAGGTTGTGTCATCCAGAGGACAAGCCTTCTGTAACAACAGCAACTATGGCTATTGTCAACAGTTATATCAAGTTGTAGTTTGCTCAAAATGAAGAAACATTAATTAAAGCTCAGTCTTATAATAAGAGTATTATCTAAACAAATGAATACCTCGCTGATAGATGACAGGAGTGACAATGAAAATCTGCACCCAATGTTTGTACGTGTGAGGGGTAGCTCGTGATAGTCTTTAACAACGTACATATAGCAGCACCGCAATCAATTTCACTTAACCTTTGCATAATGTCTGCTCTCTTTAAAACAAAATGCTGTTTGTTTTACCCGTTTAAGTCTTGTTTGCTGTTATTAAAGTGTTACATACAGTTTGCATTGAAGTCTAATGATAAACCCGCAAATTTACATTTGTATTTAGATTAATTGCAAAAAGAAATGTTTAGTGATTGTTTAAACCCAAAATTCCCTTGCAGTTGCTTGAATCCTTTACTATTAGGTACATTAGGTATTAGCCAGATTTCTACATTTTTGTTCTTTGCAGTTAATGTTGAGCTTAATAATCTATAGATGGTAAAACGTCATAATACGATTACCATCTTGACAGACAGAATTGGAAGATAAAAGAGACCTCAGTGCACAAAAATTACGCTGTTGGCTAAAATATGGAGAGTAGCGATTCAAAACGAAATGAGCAAATTTGAATCTACTATCTCAAAGCAGTGATGCATTTTCCAGCTGAATTATTATAATTTGGTTTGTTATTATGACAGAAGATGAACCCTTACGTATTTACAAGTAATATCGCTGCGGGAAAACTAGGTCAGTTATTTTCCTCAAAATCTTTCTTGACCTGCAGCTTGTTGTGCACCGCAATACACCAAATGTAGTTTGTTGTGAAACTTCGCTTACCTTTAGTCGAATATTATGAACAATAAAAAATAATCAACCTTACGATTCCTTTTTGTCGATACAATGGATTATTTGGAAGTGCATTTAGTCCATTATCCATGGACAATCCGTTTACAATTCCAGAAACGATTTTCTTGTCCTGGGGAATTTTTACTTCTTGGTACCGCGATGTTATCTCCTTTACCGACCACGGATGACATAATTTTACATGATCTCTTATATTCCTATCCCGTCATAGAACCACTGTCGACTTCAGTCGATGAGGAAATCTCGAGAGAGTACTAGTAACAGATAATAAAATAGGGAGAAGTTACTTGCTCTCTCAAACACGGGGAAAAAAGGTGCGTGCTTGGTGCGCCAACTCTAATCCCAAAACTGAAATCCATATTCAAATTGAAGAGCTAACCTGATCAAGCCATAATATTTTTTTTGTCTTTGTAGTAGTGTGTCCTGGCCATAATCATCAACGTCTGGCACTTCACTTTTGGCCTCATTATTAAAGGAAGCAAATGCTATTGTAATGCAACGCAGAATCGATTAATGCGATTATTGAGTTCAACTGACTGTTAGGTATGTGCATTCCACGTACTAGGCGTAACCCGCCCTCTCTTCCCGCCTGGTGGTCCACCGGTAGACGGGAAAGGAGGCCACACAGAACGACTTGTGTCATATGCATATTATGCACATAAGGTGTACGGTACGTTGTTCTTTTGTGTGCCTAGCTGTGTGCAAGGGAAGGAAGTCCCTTTCTGAGATTTAAGCTACTTCAAATTTATAGCCGGGACACAAATAGCCATACTAGTCGTTATTCAGAGAGACACTCTGCATATCACTTACTTTTATGATCGTCCGTTTTGAGACCTAAATGAATTAGTAATTCACACTTTTATAATTAACACTAGTAAGTTAGAGCAAATTTGCAACGTAATGTTGTGCAAAACCGACCGGGAAACGAACCCACCCGAAACCGACTTCTGGTATTTTCTATGGTGTTTCTCTTGGAAATTCACTGTAAGACTCCACTTTGTCGCAGTGTGAATTCGTAGCATTGTACATTGCGTTTGCAATTTGCTATGCAGTCTACTATTTTGAGTGTGCATACCCTTGATAAGTTGTGGCGGAAAGAGGTTATATCGACTGATTACAGGGACATCAGTGTTTACCTACTTGCGACCTTTTTCTTTTCGTTATTAGTACGTGTGCGGCGTCAAAAGGGCAAGGCTGTACCAAAACTGTTGACAAGCTGCAAAACAACCGGTGTTGCCGAGCACCACGCCAACACTTTTCACCCGTGTTAAAATTTAGGTGTTATTCCAAAACTGTAGGTGTCACGTTTAGCAGGCGTGTAAAGTATCACCTGGGATGTTATTGTGATCATCCTATAAACCAAGTAGTGTTGTTTCCAACACCAGAGTTTTTGTAGTGCAATCGCTATTTAAATAGGTATAGAGGCAACGCAAAAATAAATTTGTAAAGATTCAGAGATCACATACCGCTTAGTGTTGTGCAAGGAAAGTGAAAACCCTTCCGGTAGCTGAGTGATCTGGAGCCCAGGGGTTATTATGTTATCGACGCGCTAAACGCTCTCAGGCGTGACGGCACAGACAAAAGTAGGGACATAATCGAGCTACACAACACACATAAGTTTAGCGAATAAAACGGCCAGGTTCCAGTTGAGAGAAGTTTTTCAGTGGCTCTAGGTAACTTGTAGCTCGTCGACCCACAGGAATTCCTGAGTGAAGCAAAATGTGTTCCACGTCGGTATTCAGAGCACGTGCCTTAGAAGTGGTGTTTTTCTCTCTCATTATCACCTTTACATCATTAAAAGGTAAATGTTTTCGGCATCGCTTGCATTGTTCCTCGTGCTTTTATTTGCTCAGTTATTTTTTTTTATTCACACTAGAAATTATGGTTGAACATCGTTCACAGATACCTATGACCAGAACTTTCTCCAGTCACTGTAGTGGGTAGTAGGCATGGTGGAAATGCATGGAAATCCGGTGGACACCTTTCAAAAGCTAAAAATGGGACCTTCTTATGTGGCTCTAAGGTAACTGGTAAATCATTTGAAAGACAGAGAAAAAACAAATAAACCAAATCAGATTGCTATGATGCAAAGAGCATGCACGAAAAATCCGTCGCCCGTAGGTTCATCAAAGGAGCGTCCTCATAAATCCGCTCCAGTTGAGTGAAAAAATCACCCAGGGAACAGGGAAGGACAAACTTTCTTCGAGTTGTCGTTTTGTACGGCTCTTTGGAGGAGAGGGAAAGTCCTCCTCCTGCGGTGGTTGTGATTGTTTTAGAGTATTTTACTCTTTCTACAGTGGTTTTCATTCTTTCGGAGTGGGTTTATGACAGATCCACGCTTGTTTATAGGGATTTTTTTCCACCGTTTTGCATTTAGAGAGTAATTTGCATGTTGCATTTTCTTGTCTAGCAGTATATCGGTGTCAAATAATAAAGCTCAATCATGCAGCTGTCTTAATACGCTTTGTGTTGATTTATTGAGGCCTAAATAGTTCATACTGCTTTTGCGATTTTGCCCTCCTGTACTAACTACAATGAGGCGAGTTATAAGAAACGATACGCTTTGAATGCACAAACGAAATGCCATGATCAGGCCTTAAGTATATTCAACTTTTGCTATTCGAATGCTCTTTTCAAACCAAGGGTGTTACCATGGTCCTGTTGACCAGAGTAGTGTTTCCTTCAACCCTTCTTTGTCCTGGGTGTTTATTTTATTGTCCAATACCTTGGCAATTGCTGAGCGTCAGTCAAATCTGTCCCGTACCGAGAGTTTGCTCTCCATCCAAAAGAGGTTCAAGTTCCGCCCCACTGCCCGCATGCGTCCATTAAGTCGGAAATAAAAGGTTTCTTGACCAAAAAAGGATATCTCTGTCTCCACCCTCCCAACTCGCAACTTTCTATCATCTGACAGACTTTTCCTCTGAACGTCCATTGTAAGGTCCTTTAGTGAGTAGATTGAATCTCATTTCACATTATATATTTGGAGGGCAGTGTTGGAGCAAAGGCATTGATCCTCAAGGCCAAGGCTTTACCCTCAAGGCTAAGGCTCTCAAGTATAATATTACTACTAATGTAGTTCATCTTTGCCCCCGAAACAAACGCAAAACAAAAAAGTAACATTTATTTTCTCCCAAAATGATTACCAGGGAATATGTTATTGAAATAGCGAATTGAAACTTCAACTGTCATCTCTTCCCTCTGAAGGCCTAAAAGTAGTTGTCTTAAATGATTATCTCCGCTATTCATTATCATATTCAATTTAAAAGACTCGCAGCAATCACGCAGCTGTGTATACCCCCTTTTTAACACTAACGCAAAGACCACTGAAATGGCCTATAGAATGACGATGCTAAGTGAATAGAGTTTTGTGCTGTGTGATTAAAATATATCTGCATTATAGAACAAGCGTTAACCAAAATTTTCAGTATAAATAGAACACACTGTCAGCTTGAATGTTATATTATTTTTGATTAATACTTTGGGAGAAATTGAATGCTACATTTGGGTTGCATTTTGGGGAAACATGCTGTATAAAGGCTGTTATGTATTACAGAGGTCGAATTTACAACTGTATGGTGACAAGTAAAATGAATTCTGTATGACATGCTCAAGATCAGACCATGATGGAAAAAAACCCGTAACTTGACCTACACTTTAATTAGCAAAACATCATGTCCTTGGGGAAGTATACTTCAAGGGCAATCGGCAGTCTTCAACACAGATCAGCTGATGTTCCGTAAAATAGGCTGCATACAATTCTATGCAAGTTAATAACGTCACTGGTCTTGTGGCCTCAAGCACAGTTAAAATTCATACATGTAACATTACTATAGCTTTGTTTTGGGGAAATAGCAAAATAATCAATCAAATGTTCATACTGTAAATGTACAAGTGGAACAATTTTTAGGGTGTTTCTCTATGTCAAAGCATGGTTATCTTAATGATACTGCAGACTGCAGACTGCCCAAAGCCGACCCTAGGTTGTGCGCATATGTTGGCAGAACAGAACAGTTAAAAAAAATATACTAGAAAAATCGGAGGACTTGGGACTGTTATGGTAGAGGCTCTATTGAAACGTTCATAATACTTTTCCCACTAAATTGTTCACGCTTGTCTGGAGACAACCAACGGAGCCTAGTTACGGCAAAACGAACGCGTAAACACAATTGTTAAGCAGCCATGGAAACGTTTGTTGGCCAGGTAGAGATGGAGGATCGAGGCAAGTATGTAGTGACAGTAAATCAGCATGCTGTCAGATGCATCAAAAATCACTGTCGCTGCACTTTCTGTGAATGCAAACATATGATAAATTGAAAAAAGAGCGCCGGATTATTATCCCTGCATACGCTTGCCAGATCCAAAATGTGATATTCTTCCTTTTTACCAACATGAAAAACAGCAGAACCTTAGATATTAGGGATTTCATACAAATGCACAGGTTGTAACGTAAACAGGGAATGGTTAATATGTTTTATTTTGTTTTATTTAATGTTTTGGCTCTATTCATACAGCATTTTTTTTTTAATTTTAACGTCCACAGCTCAATGGAAACTAATGTGGAGATTAAGCTGGTGCAGGTGTTGAGATTAGCGTTTTGTGCAATCTCGGTACCATACACGTGACACAAGGCAATTTTAAGGCCAAGCATTGCTATTAAACTTTCAACCGCCATGATATAGTTTTTGCGGTCCAAATTATAAAATAGCAGCCCTTCAATACTCTCACCTATTGCTATCACTCTTTGTCTTTTTGCAATCATTAGCTTGGGTCTCGCGTCAATTTATGCATTGTCTTAGGGATGGTCAGGTATTGTATATGGTTTGTTCTGTTACTATAGATCCAAACGTTTGGCGAATTCAATGTCCCTAATGCACCTGGTCGGTTCCAGTTCATTCCTCGACAAAATCTCTCTGAACTGACTTTATGCATCATAATTTCGAAACAGAATTCCAGTTCCAGAATTCCAGAATTTCTATTTCCGTGGACAATTGTGCTTGCATTAACAGTAGTAGCCAGGATCTACATTGTTTCACCTACACGATTGACCCTTGGCAGTTCAAGGGTCACGCACATTAAATAAACCATAAACCTGGATGAGCATGCAGCATGCATGTTTGTATACATGCGTATCCACATGTGTTTGTATATGGTCTTGCATGGTTTTTTCTAATTCCGACGCCAAGATGTTTGAAATTGGATCATGCAAGAGAGAAATTAGCTGTTGCGTTCATCTTTAATTGATCTCTGTCTTTATTTCCACTAAACTTCTCCATTTTAGAAGTTTCCCTAGAACAAGGAGACACTCTGTACGACAGGCCAGAATTTCAACTACAAAATACAATCAGTTTTATTCAGCTAGATCCCCCCCAAAACCCCGACTTTAATGAGTTTTTTTAGACAATTCGGCACAGCGCAAGCCACGTGTTTTACTTGCACAAAACAGTTTCAGCTGTATTTTGCAACGCCACACCATAATATACCACGGTTTTACTTTTGCTTGTGATCTGTTCAGCAATAAATAGGTGTTTTCGTCAATTTTTTTAGCATACCATTTCGTCCTTCATTGTTTTCTCAGGCCATGTCGCTTAATACTGCCCTCTGAAAAACACGGAGGCATTAAACGGGAAGACATTCAGGTTGCTTGCTCCATAAAACCTACAGTTTGATAGTTCCTGTGGTTAGCGTGACCTACTTCAAGCAAAAAGGGAAATCTGTGCTCCCATGTTTGTCAAATGTACCTTCAACCCTAACCCCCTAGGGTGTATAGAAAATTATATTGCAATTGGAGGATATTGTACTGTTATGGTAGCCGCTCTATCGGAACGTTGACAATAATTTTTCCACAACTATTCTTCATGCTGTCTGGAGACCACCAACCGTGCCTAGTTATGGCAAAACGAACAGGTAAACACATTTGTTAAGCAGCCATAGAAACGTTTGTTTGCCTGTTGAGGATCGAGACGAATATTTAGTGGCAGTTAATCAGCATGCTGTCAGACACATTAAATCCACTGTCGCTGCACTATTTGTGTACTTTAAAAGGGAACGTAAACCGAAATGACAAAAGAGCAGCGGATTATTTTACCTGCATACGCCTGCCAGATCCAAAATGTCATCTTCTACCTTTTTTACCAACATTAAAAACAGCAGACCCTTAGATGTGTAACGTACACAGTAAGGGTTATTGCATTTGGTTTGGTTTGGTTTGGTTTTGCTCTATTAAAACATCACTTTTTAATTAAATGTCCACAGCTCAATGAAAACTAGTGTGCAGATTAAGCAGGTGCAGGTGTGTTGAGATTAGCAATGAGTGCGATCTCGGTACCGTAGATATGACACAAAGCATTTTTAGGGCTAAGCATTGCTAATAAACTTTCAACCACGATCATATAGATTTGGCGGTCCAAATTATAAAATACCAGCACTACAATACTCTAACATATTAGTATTACTTCTTGTCTATTGTAATCATTAGCTTTGGTCTCATGTTGGTTCTACGCACTGCTTTAGAGGTGGACATGGTTCGTTCTATTACTGTAGATCCAAACGTTTAGCAAGTTTGATGTTCCTAGTACATCTGGTCGGTTGACTTTGACATGGAATAAAGTGAACCTATTTGGGTCCCTATCCTCCAGTTCCCACAAAACGCTAAAACGGGGTACAGACAGAGGATCTCCAACTTCAAACATGCAAAACTATTTCAGAAAAAAAAACACTGCTTGGCAAATAAAAATATCAAGCAGTTGAAAAATGTAGTGTACAAATAATAAGCCATTTTACCTAGCCAACCCTTCCTGCGTGGCCTAACAAAAGAACTTTGAAGGAGGAGGGACAATTTCCGCAACGCACTCAAATACAACAAAGGAAGCCGGTCACCAGAGCACGTACTGTACATGCTCCTAAATTTACCTAGTTACACATAGTAACGAGAGAGCTCGAGCATCGCTCGGTTTACTGCCGAATTGACCATAAACGTCTCTTCTGAGCAAATGCCATGGAATTTGGAGATAGAATAGCTACCGAGGCAGTGCTGACGTCTTCTTATGCGCAGATCCTGACTTTGTTGTCGCATATTTTTCTTTTCTTTTTTCTGAAGAAGATTTTCAAAATGGAATTTGAGGCACACCTATTTTTACAAATTTGTTAAGGTTCTCTTAATATTGCTTTTCCTCAAATTTGTATGTGAAAATAATTTTAATTTTTTGCATGAAGATTTCTTGACAAAGTGCAAGACTTTCAATTGGACTTTCTCTATCCGCTGTAAGTACCGCACATAAATGCATTTGGAAATTTCCATGACAAGTGGGTTTACTTTTTCAGTAATTTTTCGGCAACACCTCAGTTTGGCATGTTTCCATATGTCCGCGTTGCAGTTTGCGTCTTGGTAATTGTGTTCCGTTTCTTACGTCGATATAGAAACCAGGCTTTACAGTATCACTTAACCTGTGTGTTAGGCAGGTAATTTGCGATACTTAATCATTCTTGGAAATTAACGCTTCTGAACTTACTGAACCATTTGTTAGGAGAGACAGGGCACCCTAAAATCGATCCCAAATTTAAAGATTGACCCTGTATGTTCCTCCTTTAATACTGAATCTTAATGGTGCGGTGACATGTATTATTTCAAAGGGTATTCGCCAGCACAATCACAATTAGACAGCACTATACAGCGATTATATGATCGACTTACCGTCGGATTGTTCCTACACTCTCCGCACCATTTTTACGTACAGTTGCACAGACATCCACAGAGTCAGCCACTGCTTCCAACCAGGCGACCGATACCCCAGCAGGATCTACAGTTACAGGTAAACAAAGGCCTTCTTCTCTTGCCTTATTCTCTCCCTATTTGAAAAACAAACTGTGGAGGTTGCTTTCTGTTTTGTGGTGTTCATACTGTTTCGCCAATGGGTAATAAGTTATCTTATCTAGCGTTTTCCAGCAAGTACACTGGGGGGTTGGGTGGTTGAGTGGTTGGTCGGTCAGTCGGTCGGTCGGTTGGTTAGTTGGTTGTTGGGGTGGGCTGCTGGGTGGGGTGACTGGGTTTAATTGGTTGCCCACCGCGGAATATCGGGTAAATCACGAAATTGTTGGGCAAACTTATCACCCTATTACAAAATGATTCTCACCTGCATGTAATATGTTTGCAGACTTGTCAGAATATTGATTGCATGCAACCTTTGCACCCAAAATTTAGATCTGTTAGAACAGTGAAACAATTCATTAGGTGCCCCATGTTTGGGGCAAATGCTCACCGTTTTGTAGAGTGGACTGTAAGCCCTGCACACATCAGCGAATGTTATTTTTACAGATGTTAAAGTTAACAATATCGAAGATACTGACAAATGAAACAAAAATGAGCTAAGTAATCAACAGTGGAAGAGAACCAGTACGGTGTTTCATAGGTCTTAAATTTAAATCTGGCTTCAGTCAATTTTGGTGCCTCGTTATAATTAAGAGTAACTTTATTCTGAAATTCAAATTTGCTATCCCCTCACCAATAGCTACGCAGACATCCTTTGAGACCGTGACTACAGACGAGGCAACCGAGACTTCATTCGGATTCACTAGTTCAGGTGAAAACTTCTGTGTCCATCTTTCATCAACTGTATTCAACTTTGTTGTTTGCAACCCTCTGTCTCTTTATGAGGGTAATTTTATTGCACCGAAAAATACCGTAAGCAGCTATTTGTTGTTTTGTATCTAAACGGGATATGGTGTGCATGAAGATTAAAGAATACAAACTGTATGTTACAAATACAGTTTTACTGAAGCCTCTTTATTTTTATTCTTGGACGTGGGACCTTGTCCCCAGCATGGCCAGAAATCACGTGAAGCGTTCGTTCTATCAAACGCCATACATGACCTAATCCAGATCCGTGACTGACCCCGTGGTGTGTAGGAAGTTGTGTGCCTATTTTCCATTATCAAAATCAGTATTTTCGTTTTTCCAGACAAATATTGATTCATAATAATAACGGTAGATTTTAGAAGACCTTATCTTTAACAAGAAAATATTTTTGGCAGGTAATATTAATTCAAGACTCAAGATGGCGGTAACCCACGTTAAGGTAGTCCTGGATATCCATAATGCAAATACCTCTCCCTTGTCATAGGGTTTGATTACGATGTCCGGGTTGTTTTTAAGCTTTCTATGGGGAGGTGACATGCATTATTTCAAAGGATTTTCACCAGCACAATCACAATTATACTGCGATGATATTCTGCACTTACTGTCGAGTTGTTCTCACACTCCCCACACCATTTTTGCGTACAGTTGCACAAACATCCACAGAGTCAGCCACGACTTCCTACCAGGTAACCGATAACCTAGCAGGATCTACAGTTACAGGTAAACAAAGGTTTTCTTCTCTTGTCTAATTCTCTCCCTATATGAAAAACATAAACTCTGAAGGTTGCTTTCTGTTTTGTGGTGTTCATGTTGTCTCAGCAATAGGTAATAACCATATCTAGCGTTGGTTGTTGGTTGGCTGGCTGGTTGGTTGGTGGGGCCAGTTGTCAGTAAGAGACGGTGCATTGTACCAACGGTGGGAGTCTAATGATGGTAGTTCAGTTGCTGGTTCCTGAGATATACAGACGCAAGTTTGTAGAAGAATTGCATGGTAAGAAGTATGCCATCTTGGCCTGAAGAAAACCCTAGCCCGTGTGAAGCAGCGATACTTCTGATCAGGTATGAGTGCCGATATAAGAGCATACATCCGGAAATGTGATCAATGCACAAGGAAACGGAGGGCGCCCTTGCAACAGTATAGTGTTAGAGAAACAATAGATTGGCATTAGACTGGCTGGTAATTGGAGACTATACCATAAGATGGATGGAGGCATATGCACTCCAGGATGCAAGAGCTGAAACAGTTGCCTCGACGTTTGTCAGAGAAATGGTTTGTCGATTTGGGAGGTCCATTCGGATTAAGGGACCAAATTCGAATCGGAGGTATTCCAGGGAATAAAAGCTGAGTTCAGGTTACTAGTGAATAAGTTATACAAAAAAAAAATAAGATTACGCCGGGGCCCAGGCAAGACAAAGGTCAGGAAGCCGATCAAAGGGAGCCAACGCAGAAGGAGGCGATGGAGCACGCCCGCAGACCCACGAAGTCCCAGTCCCCATTTCACGGTACCGTGGGACAAGTTAAGGAACCTCCCGAGGCCCCCTTCCCCGTTGAGAACGTCCCCAGAGAAAGAGAAGCCGCGAGAAAAAGACACACCCTAGAGAACGATACCCCTCCAGAGGGCATCCCAGACAACGACAAGCCGAAAGAAGAACACCCAGCTACGCCCAGCCACCAGGCAGAGGTGCTTGAGCCAGCGCCAGCCAACGGAGTTGCCAGGACCCCAAAGCCTGTACCCGCCTTGAGCTGAGGAAACCAGGCATCCCCAAGATGGCAACCATTATCGAGGAGGTGCTCACACGAACATATGTGGATAGAGTAAAGATTCACCGGGAGACACGCCAACGGAAATATTTCCAAGATGTCCTAATTAACTGTCCCCTTCTAATAGCAAAGTAAAGAAGCAGTGGTCGATTTACCACGAGGATGGGAATAACCTTGTATAAATTAACCAGCTGATTTGACTTTTTAAAGTGTGCTAGGAGCACCTTGATTCTTTAAAACAAAATATGGAAGGGCTGCCTAGCACCGCGATCAGAATATCGACAAGAATATATCAAATCAGTGCTCAACAGATGAAATCGGAGAAAACATGTTTTTCTGAGAGGTGTTCTTTAAATTGCGATAGGGACGTTCAACTTTGCTGTCTGTTCTGCGTTGAGTTGTCACATTAGACCTGTAGAGACACGTACGCCTGCATGACGGGCGTACAAGGATATCTCAGTGTCGCTAGAGTACCACTCATTTTGGCCATTTCCCTATACCCAACCCGGACGCCCCAGTTGTCAACAAAAGGGCTGATCGTAAACAAAATACATCAAACTGAAGTATCGGTTTCGATTGAACAGGCAGGATCTCAACTTGAAAACACTTTATTCAAATGGTTTCTGCTATTCGGATGCCATTTTATTTCATTTGATTGGTGGAATAAAACTGCATGAAAAGTTAATGAGAAGCCTTACCCTGGCATTAATAATGTCATTTTGACAACGATTACGTTTTGCTCTCAGAATCATTTCCAAATGGTTAAATGTAATTTAAAGCAGTTGGGGAAAAATGGAAACTGAAAACTCATTTTTGAAATGCCCATTCCTTCAAGAAAAGGGTGGCAATATACACGCTATATATCAGTATCACTTTGACCTGTAAATTTGGCACCCTTGAGATTGTGTCGTAAGGAAACGTACACAATAGGATCAAAATGAAAAAAGGTGTTTTTGCAATGTCATACAAGTGTATTTATGAATTTCAGACACAGTAGCGTCAGAAACACCCTCTCCAGGAAGCAGTACCTCCGGTCTGACTACTGGAATAGGATCCACGAGTGCGGGTATATATACATATATATACATTTTTTGAATATCTTAAGCTAGGTGTATCGTTCATTGCTGTAATTGCCCCCAAAATGCATTATCATTATGGTTGACCGCAGGTACCCCTCCCCAAAACAAGTTGTTGTTTTTCCACAAAGGCCTCGCAGCGAAGCAGTACTGCAGAACAAAACAATACGGCTTAAGGGATCTATGCAATTATTTTTTCTTAGAATCACTTTTTATGTATTGTCTTTTCTCTTCTCCATTGTATGAGGACTGTGTGGAATTTTTTTCACCTCGAAATGCACTTTTAAAACATTTGAAATCGACTAAGCATTTTTGGACAAGTGACAAGCGCACTTTTGCCTTGATGTAAATCTAACAAGACACAGTGGCTGCTCAGATTGCATGTTTTCATGTTCAAATTGTGAACTTCGAATTTCCTGAAAACATTTCTAAGAAAAGCTGAGATAAAACGGCGTTGAAATTCGTGTTCTGCAGTTGATGCCATACCCTAAACCTCGACTGTCACTGCTTTGATGTCTGGGCAAATGTTTGTTGCATTTTCAGCGCTATTTTTGTACAAGTACATTTTCAGCGCTGTTTTTGTACAAGTACATTTTTAGCGCTGTTTTTGTACAGGATATCACTTTCTTGGCAAGTACTTCTTAGCATGGTCGGTAGAAAAAAAGGGCTTTTTTCGAGGACGGGAGATGGAAATAGGGTGGGTCGGAAATGAGAACCCCATCTCAGTAATTGGCACACTTGTAAAAGCTTATAATCTCTCTCTCTGCGTTCAGATTTGAAGTCAGACACCGTGGTTCTTCAGATTACTTGTTTCCACATTAACTACAAATTTTTCGGGAAATCCTACTACAGGGCCCAGTAATATCCACTTCCTGAATGGAAATGAAAGTCTACAGATAACTTCGCCTGGCTACCCGTGGTACTATCCCAGCAACACGGACATGATATGGATCCTCCAAACACACGCGGGCTACCGGATCCGAATCACCTTCGCCAGTTTCGATACCCGACACAGCTCCGATTTCTTTTGGGCGGGTGACGGCGACAATACCACCGCCAACGAGTTTTTCGTGTGGCATAGGTCTAAACACCCACCTGATCTGATATCTGTGGGTAGTGAGATGTGGATAAGGTTCACTTCCAGTGGCTACTACGACAACTACAATGTCGGGTTTTCGTTGCTGGTTGCTAGTGTCCCCTCGGCAGGTAGGTTATGAGATATACTGGTAATGTAGAGAACACTATTCTATAAATTGAATTAAAGACAGTTCTGAAATTGAGGCCAAGGTTGCATTAGTTGAAATGGTTTAACTTTTCTTGACTTTTCAAATAATACAATCTGATGGGTGAACCCATTGCAGGGAGGTGTTACCGTCCTCAGACTTGATACTGCATTCGTGTTCGAGAAAACGAAAAGGCTGAGCCCGCTAGACTTGTTGACGCCTCGAATCGCGGTTCAGCAACTTTCCAGAAAATATATATGCCTGAATTTCAGGCTTCCGTTCATTTAGATGGAAGTAGGTATAAAAAAAGTTCGCTTCATCTTTTTTTTTTGGGGGGGGTGGCTGGGCAGCTGCAATGACTGTGCAGATACACCGTTTTCCGTTATTCACTGTTATAAACTTCCGAGACCGGTGTTATCGTGAGAAAATCTTTTTTTTTCAGAAACGCTGACCTGTGTGCCGGGTGACTTTGATTGTGGCCGTTCGGTCTGCATCAATGGTGCCTGGCAATGTGATGGAGAAATAGATTGCCTCGACGAAAGCGATGAACGTAACTGTGGTAACAAAGGCTTTTCACTCTTTGAGGCAGATGCCCATGACCATATACATAATTCCCAACTTTTAAACTGGTGCATATGTTTATACAAGACTCTACATATTTACGACTGATGCAAAACTCTATTGTATTTTGTCGAGCCTCAGGGAATGAGAGTGAGTCTAGAAGTCAATAGGTAGGCTGTAGCCTATTCCACAATATATTCTCACAAGTTCCGGCAAGTTAATCACAAGACAACGTCACGTCGGCCATTTACAAGGACTTTGACAAAATACTCCTTTGTCGTTGTTCACCCCGTTACTTTATCTGGGATTCTGAATTGACTTGGGAAAAGACCCATGACGGGTTGTTTTTATGACCTAACAATGCAACCTGATTTGGGACGATTTAATTAGTATCAGCCAGAGGCGTGTCAAGGTTTTCCGTAAGGGGGAGTTAAATGAGGATTAGAAACGCAGCTGTTTCCTGCAGTTCCTTGAAAGTATGTTCGAAATTTCATTTTAAAAATATTTTGAATGTTATTGAGACCAAAATTGAAGAAGGAAGTGTGTCTAATGGTCTTACTCTTTGGGTATCGGAAGACAGAAACCAAGTACCTGTCCAATTCATTTCTTGAACGTTTAATCCGTTACAAAGATAGCCTACCACAGCCTGCAGTTCTGAACTGACCTGACTGAAGTCTATTGTGTTATTCTTTGCAAGTGAAAATTGAAACCTGCAAATTTTCGTTCTTGTTTTAAGATAAAAAACGAGTCATACAAATCCAGGACGGAGAGAGTGCTGTCTTATCCTCCACAAGATATCCTGATGAGTACCCCACTGGCACGAATATTACCTGGATATTGACTGCAAACGACGATCGCAAGATTAACATAACCTTCTCTAGTTTTAAAACCCCATACAAGAGGGACGTGTTGAGGGCTGGGGACAGTAATGATACTTCGCAAAACGGTTTCTTCCAATGGAGTGGATCTAGAAACCCACCGAGTCTACTTTCTGAGGGAAACCAAATGTGGCTTGCGTTCACATATAGTGAAATTGATGACTATTATTACTATGGGACACAAAGGTTTCAGCTGATGGCTTCCAGCGTACCTTCGACAGGTGAGTTGATGCAAGTTAATGGCTGGCTTGAAATAGCCGGTTCTCCACCAGGAAACGCAATCTAGTGAACTTTCTTTACCCGTGCAGGGTGATAATAAAATTTGGCAAATAAATTACAGACCGATCAACTTTCCCTTTAGGCCAGTAAGAATTGAAGAAGACCTAGACATTTTCGATAATAACCAATTTTTAGTGGCAGTGCATTTGTTTGGCTCCAAGTATTTCCCAAAAAACTCAACCAAAATCAACCATGGGGAAATATGCTAATTAATTAAAGATCAAAATGGCTACCCTCGCGTACAAAATGCAGGTAAAGGCACGTATTTCCGAAACTACAGTAAGAACTTAACCAAACGAATAGTCTGACAAAAATGCCCCCCCTCAAAAAAAAATTACAGCTTGGAAGAATATCAGATGACACCAAGAACAAACAGATAACTATTTTCACCAAACTTATCAAGGAAAAATGTATGTTTAAAGGATATTCAGCTTGTAATTGTAATTTGTGTTAACACGGTAAAAATATACTATTATGTAAAAAGTATGTTAGGCCTTGCCACATAAAGCAATTTTTACAAGCAACTTGGAAAAACACCTAAACAAGAAAGTTGACTTTGCATGGTGTGAAGCACTCTGTGTGGTTGATAAGTAATATTTTTGTGATAGAAAAATCAAGCCGTAAATGCTCATACTTTTACTGGAACTTACTCCTGACATCTGTCGAAAATGCTCAAGGAAGCCGACATGTTGTATGTATGGTCTATACACCCAACTTAGAATCCGTCAAACTAGTGTCATGGAGCTCCATTGGTTAAGCACTGTTCCAATTTAGGCATAATCATTTGGGCCACGTGGCATTTTGGTGGGAAAATGAGGTATTTTAAACGCTTAAAACCACATTTCCTCAGTGAGAAAATTGGTTGAATTTTGTTGGGTGTTCATGCCAACAATGTGAAAAGTTTTGAGTGGAAATTTGGTTACTAACAAAAATTTCTGGGTTTGGCACTTTTTATGTCAATTCTCACTGGCCTACTTGACCATTAAGCTGCAATTAGTGTCATAAATGCGTCTACGTGCTTTTGATTGGACAGTTTGCCATCAAGTATTACTTTATTCATTCCGTATTGTTAAAATCTTAATTGTGGTATTATTTGACTCAGGCATCGAATCAAATTTTTAAAAAAAGTCTAAACAATGACTGTTTAAAATAACATTTTTCCCTGCAATTGCATAAAGCATTAATTAAGAAACATACATGCATCTTTCGCTTTTTTAGACACCCTATCGTGTTTAGAAGACGAGTTTCACTGTGGGCACTCAATCTGCATACAGGCTTCCTGGCGGTGTGACTTTGTGGTTGACTGTTTCGATGGAAGCGACGAAATAAATTGCGGTAAGTGGAGAACATGGAAAAATAGAAGTTACTTTAACTGATCAATGGCTACGTTGAGGCTGTCCCACTTAATACTGAATTACTAATCTAATCATAGATACTAGGTGCATTACGTTAAAAAAATCGTAAAAATGGTATCTTATTTATTTCAGACTTTTTATACATTGTATACTGCAACTATTTTAAATTTGTCATTACATTGTAGCGTTAAATATTGCAAAAAATTCACAAAACTATTGTGTATTTGCACTCTAATCTTTATGTGCGACAGATGACCGCACCATTTTTTTAAATGCTGACGAGACGTTCCAGATTTCTCTGCCGTCACTCCCCAGCGACTATCCCTACAATAGTGTTGACATCACTTGGGTCATCCAAACAGAGGAAGATCGACGGGTCTCCATAACGTACCCGTTTGATACGTATTTCTATGACAATACTAAGTTGTCGGCTGGTGATGGTAACAGCAGTGCTGACTATGCAGGTGTTTTCTTCCAGCGGATCATTGGTTATAGGCCTAATACGGGATATTCCTACTACTACAGCTCCTTGTCAAGTTTTCCCGATTTACTCTCAAACGGGAGTACAATGTGGCTGAGGTTGGAGTCTTCCCGGTATTATAACGTATACCATCAGCTTCTGATTGCGTCTAGTGTCCCGTCAACTGGTAGGCCTATATCAAAAGAGTGTGCAGTCGCAGAATTACTTTTTAGAAATCTCTTTGACTCACAGTGATAAAAGAAACCGGTTTTATTAGAACGGAAATTTTTGAGATTATTTGTGTGTTGATGGCAAAACACCAATCCCACGGGGCCAGTCCATCTTTCTGCACGCCTGAGCTAAAGCGTGATACAAACAGTAGTAGCTCGATAATGTGACGGTGGGACCGGTGTGTTTGTTTCCACCAAACATTTTAAAGTCTCCAATTTTTTACACAATGACATCAAATAAACGTTAAGGAATATTTTAGTCTCCTTTTATCATCTTGACACAAAATATTATATTTCGATCTATCTTAGTAATCAATCTTTTGGCAGTCATTTGGCAGTGTCCTTTGGGAAATGTGGACTGTGGTCATTCTGTCTGCATTAGCGGGGCTTGGCAGTGTGATGGTCAGTCGGACTGTTTTGACGGAAAGGATGAACTCAATTGCGGTGAGACAGGCAGGCAATTGCCGTATCTTGTGTGTTACGACAAAGTTGGGGTAATTATTAAACTGGCTGTTGAAACATGCTCCAAAAATGAAATCAGATTGATAAATTTTAGAACATCACATTTAAATTTAAGAGCAAATAGATTTTAACAAACAGATGTTTATTAGTTAGAGTTAGGAAAATCTAAATTAGCACGGATCCCAGATTCATTGTAACAGCTGTTTACCTGCGGGTAATCACGTTTACTTAATTGTAGTCGGACGGGAAGGCCGGAATGCATTTTATTCTCTTTGCAAACATGAGTCTTTTTTTCGAGCAGCTTAAAAATCTTTTCGTTTGTGCTTCTCGATTTATCTTTGCACAACCAGTGTTGCTGTCTTTAGATACAATTTGGCATTTCAAAAATAACGGTGTTACTTATTACACCTAGAATAAATGGATTCGGGATATCATTGAGTAATATATAAAATTACTTTTAATTTTTTAGAAAAAGAAAGAGTACTGCATATCGGCAACGGTGAAACGGCATTCTTGATGTCCACTGGATATCCCAATAACTACGCCCCAAATACCAACATAATATGGATCCTAACCACAGAAATCGAACAAAAGATTAATGTCACGTTCCTCAGTTTTGGCACCGGTTACATGCGTGACAAGATTAAAATAGGAGATGGTACCAACCCCTCTGAAAACGTGTTTTTCGAATGGAGCGGGTTCCGGCAACCACCAAACCTACTTTCAAGCGGAAGCAGTATGTGGCTGTCGTTCAGATCCAGTGATATTGTTTATTACTGGAGCAGGCGCGTGGTTTCCTTGATGGCTACCAGTGTACCTTCGATATGTGAGTACGAACTATAATGTAGTCGTTCTAATAAATCTGACCTGAAAGATATAATGTCAGGTTTGATTTACAGAGTGACATACCTGATTTCATGGAGCCTTTACCTTTTTTGCCCATTGTGGCATATGTGTTTTAGTGCTAATTGTGTGATGACATAATGCTATACTACATTTGACAGTGGCAGTATTATTCGTGGGTAATTCCTATAGGCGTAATAAGAAATGTGTGCATTTTAACAAAACTTGAAAAAAATACCTTAATCTCCTAATGAAACAGCTAAGGAAGGACTGGTTTACTTTGTATTTAAACCATCAACTCGCACACTATAATTTAATGCTCTGTGATCAAAGTTATTGCTCTTTAGAACTCAACTAGAACTCAACGAGTGAGTACCTCGATTTTTACACGTAAACCAGCTATTTTTAAATTATTTAATATTACAAGATGTACCTTTTCCATTTTTTGTGTTTTCAGACAATCAAAGTTGTTCTGCTAACGAATTTGATTGTGGGCACTCGGTCTGCATAGAGACGTCCTGGCAGTGTGACTATCTGGTTGAATGCCACGATGGAAAGGATGAGTCAGATTGCGGTAAGGAAAAAGAAAGTATGAAGTAGAATGAGCGTTGTTAATCTTCCGGTGGAAACTTAATACTTGACACAGTTTGAGTGAATAATTAACCACTACTCCATAGCAATATTGGAAAAGGTTGACAGTGCACGATTCCAAATAGAAATATCTTGAGCAACCGATTCTTGCAACTCTGTCAGCACATGTGAAACTGCGAGGTAAAGTTTCGCCTGACCGTCAATTAGCATCAATCTCAATATATGTAAGTCAACCTAAAAGCGTCTGACATAGGCGCAACTCCTGGAGGTACAGTGCTCCAAAGCATAATGGTGTTCCCTGGCCCATTATCCAGTGTATAAGCTGGATGTCCCCTTGGGTTTATCCTGTGTTAAATCTTAAGATAAACAAAACTATTATCTTACATTGCACTTTGACAAAACTAGTTCCCAGATAGTCCACCTAGTTTTACCATTGTAGGTAAAGCGTCAACAATGCCAGTTAACGTTAACCAGACATGTTGGAAAAGAATGTTCATGGAAATGAATTTTGGTGTTATTCCGGATTGTGATCTGATCCTTCCTGAAAGGAGGGAAGTTGCCATTAAAACTTAGAATTTGGGACAAATTGTGTGATCCATCGTAAAACATTCATCTTACCACTAAGTACTAAAATATATATATCTTTTTGGTCTGGCAGATAATCGTAACGTATTCCTGAGCCCCAACGAGTCATACCAGATATCTCCCCCTGCATTGCCATGGCAGTATGTGGTTGGGTCGAACATCGACATTACTTGGGTCATTCAAACAGAAAACAACCGAAGAGTCCTGGTATTGTACCTAAATAATAGCACTATACCAGGATACGTCACGTTGCGAGCAGGTGACGGCAACAGCAGCGTTGACAACGCAGGTGTATTTTTCGAGTGGACTGGCGATATAACTGGCTATTTTTACTACGGTGTGTCGATAAGGCTTCCTGAGCTGCTCTCAAAGGGCCATGCAATGTGGTTGAGGTTGGAAACGGCTTATTATTACCTCGTCGATCGCTTGGTTATGGTAGTCTCGAGTGTCCCGTCAACAGGTATGCATGTTTGTCAAATTTGTAATGTTCAACCAGTTTGTTGTTCGTTTGATTGTTCTGTTTTGTTTTGTTTTGTTTTCAGAAGTGAGGTCCAGAACCGAAGGTTTGGATCAAGTTGAGACAGTTTGGGTCGGTTACTTTGGTTTTGGTTTGGCTTGATGTTCTTTGTAACATAGAACTGACTGCCATACAAACACACATTCGAAATTTAGCTAATTGTATATTTGAAAAGCGATTTTCTTCGATCATCTTAGAGACGCGGATTTGCTCAACGGGTGATATTGACTGTGGCCATGACGTGTGCGTCAGTAACGTGTATCAGTGTGATAATCACTCGGCTTGCCTCAACGGACAAGATGAGCTTAATTGTGGTGAGAATGCTGTATAAATTCGCTTGATTGAAAATTTCGTGGCTGGCAGCTTTTGTCTCTCTAAACTTGCATTTATACTAAAACAAGTATAAACAACCCCTGATGCATTGTGCTTACTTTTGTCACCCGATCCGACTACTGACCGCTACTTATAAGTGAAGCCTGTGCATCAAAATAGCATGCACGAACTGTGATGCAAATATATTTTCGTTTGATGCAATACAGCAGGCAAACTTAGAAATGAGGATAGTCAGCGTCACGACAATTTGGAAGCAGAAGGCTCAAACAAGCCTTACTTGTAAGATTGCCTACTTTATTGCATCATATGATAATATAATAGTATCACAGTTAGAGTATGGCTATTTTGTTGGACAGGCCCCACTTAGAAGTAGCATTGGGTAGTCGGATCGGGTGCTTTTGTAGTCCTGTTTCCCCTTTTTTATCCAATTTGTGTATTATAACGTTTACGTTACAGGTGAAGACCGTGTCATTAACATGACACTAAATGAAACAGTGTTTCTTGGGTCAACGCGCTACCCCAACTACTATGCTGGAAACCTCAACATTACTTGGATCCTGCAAAATGAAGGAAGCCGCAGAATCCTTATCAATTTCAAGTCTTTCGATACTCAATCTGGAGATGTCTTTCGTGCTGGAGATGGTGACCCAAGCAACAACGAGTTCTTCTTGTGGCAGGGATCTAAGTTAGCACCTGACCTACTGTCCAGTGGCAACAAGATGTGGTTGAGATTCATGTCAAATTCCCGCAGTTACAATAAGGGCTTTGGCCTGTGGGCTTCAAGTGTACCATTTACACGTATGTATATTTGAAGCGTTTAGTTTCAAAAACTGGTAAAGATCGAGCAAACACTGATTACTAGTAGTGGTATAATTGCCTGAAGAAAATGTAAATATTTAAAAGATCTCTTTGCAGCTCTGATCTTTGTACTTTACGACAGGATGTTATGGTCAGTTTATGATTCAAACACCTCAGGTATAGATTTTTACAAGTGTTGATAAAAGTGTGAAACGCAAAATTTAACCCTTTCCATCTTCCCTCCCTCAAAAAATCCTTGAAGCGGCCTTGAACTCATGTCCAAAATAACTTATGTTGAGCTGAAAACTATACACGCCACGTTATAATAATGCACAAAGGTACGTGTTGTGCTTCACTTCAACATTTGATACTAACTTTATTTTTGATATATGGCGCCATGCTGCAGACACTTTGACTTGTCCGGCGAGTGACGTTGATTGTGGTCATGATGTGTGCGTCAGTAATGTATTCCAGTGCGACGGTCACCCGGATTGCCTCAGCGGACAAGATGAGCTCAACTGTGGTAACGGCGATACTGTCATAGGCCTAATCGTGTCATAGAGGATTTATGTAGTGCTTCCAGAATTTACAGATAGACATGAAATCTGTTTGTGCTTTTTTCTGGTTCGAATTTATGGGAATGAATTGCATCTTACGACCACTTCAGCCAGACTCCAAGGTGAAACGAATTTGACATCAAAAGATATGCTGCAGAGACGTTTATACTCACAATTGAATTCATAGCCCTTTTTCATTCACAGTTCTTTTTCGCGGCTGGAATCAACAGCCCCCAATCCCCATGCTTAGTAACATTCTCCGCATGCCATTTCGTACGTTTGCTGTTCTTTTTGTTAAATTGACGGCTGGGTGATAATAAGTGAAACTCACTGAATATCATAAGATTCACATTCAAACATCACTCTCATTTCGCAGACGGGGACCGCATCGTCAACATCCCCACAGACGAGAGGGTGTTCCTTGGGTCAACTCTCTATCCTCACTATTACCCCAGCAACCTGAACATTACCTGGATTCTGCAAGCTGAAGAGGGGACCAGGATTCTCATCGAATTTGAGTCTTTTCGCACTGCTTCTTCGGATGTATTTCGTGCCGGGGATGGTAACTCGACTAGCGACCATGAGTTCTTCTCCTGGCAAGGGACCAAGCTCGCACCGAATTTCCTTTCCTATGGTAACAAACTGTGGCTGAGGTTCACCACGGACAGCTACAATACCTTGGAAGGCTTTGGCCTTTGGGCTTCCAGTGTCCCGACGTCGTGTATGTATACCTTTTTACTTGGGACTTATAATTTAGTGCTAGGTAAAATTTAATGGATTGTTTGAAACTGTCAAATCCGCCCAGGTGGTGATGTCGGCTTTTCTTTTACCCGCAAACGTCTCCTGTTTAGCCATGTCGATGAATGCTCCGTAAAGTGCATGCAAAACACACCATCACCAGAATCAGCCTTGATTAAGTCCACCACAAATGCGGCTAAAAAATCTTACCTTACATGTCTCAGTGAGTCCAAGCCTAACAAGAACATCATTGGCTAACATTTAATTTTCAATCGACCAGTTTGCTTTTGGTACCGAAAGGGGAGTAGCAGTAACATTTTTTAAAAATTAAAATCAAAGGTTAAGAAGAGTTTAGTCCACGTTCTATAAATTTTCCATGCTTTGTAAAAGTCTGATTTTGAATAAACTGAGTTTTCCCACGTAAGTTTCTCCTCTTAGAGGTTCCTTACATGATATTTACTAATGAAATATGCTAAGGTTTTAAAGTTATCAGCAATACGGTTGGGCGTTATTTATAGGGTCTAAACGAAGTGGAATTTAAAAACCTGCCTCTTTATTTTTTATTGTTTTATTTATTCATTTTTTGATTTCTGGAAATGACACCACAGATTCTTCAAAAGCAAGGAATCTGGAGACAACGAGAAATAAAAAGCTGCCGTGATTGCTCTTAAATTGTGTGGAATACATCATCAATCGCATTTTTTGATATCGTTTAATTTCTCTTTATTTTGGTAATTTCTCTTGAGTTAATCAAATTGGCCGTATAGGGAGTAAGATCCATACTTCTTTTGCAGTTAATCTCTCTTGTACACTTGGATATATCGACTGTGGACATTCTGTCTGTGTCAACGGGGCTTGGCAGTGCGATGGCCAGTCAGACTGTCCAGACGGACAGGATGAACTCAATTGCGGTAGGAAAACGATGAGGGCGTATCCAAGGGGCGTTCGGGCGCACAACCTCTTTTTCACTAAACAAAAAGAAAGAAATAGATGGAAGAAAAAAGAGGGAAATAGAAGAATAAAGTGTTGTCATACCACCTGAAATTGCACCATAGAGCGCCTGGAAAACAAAATGGCTCCAGACCCAAAACCGTACGGGCATTTTTTGCGAATACTGCTTTAGTTCACCCCTCCCCCCACACACACACCCAAGTGGGTAAACGCCTTCAATCGTAGACTCCCTATTGTTCCTCTTTTGTTCATACTCTAACTTTTTCGGAAGAACTTTCATTGTACACGTTTTCCAACCGTGGACTCTTCGGCAACTTTGTACCCTATTGTTATAGGTCCACGATTGAAGGCGTTTACACACTCACGTGCATACCCTTCGGAAGATCTGGGATCCGCCCCTGAACTGTTCTAATGATTTGCATCATAGAAGGGTGGACCAGAGGGATATGCCTTCAAGCAACTGTTACAACGTTTACCTCACCCCCTTGACTTGGCTAAGCTTTGGATTTCTACATGACAAATATAACTAGCCCGTATTGCTTGGCTCAATCAGAGATTCGATATTCAGAATGGAGAAGATAATTGAGGATATTTGATTATTTTATTCCAGCACCATGTATTCAAACTCGTACCCTGCCATTAAACTCCGCATCTTTCTTCATGATCAATTCAATGATTTCAGCTTCTGGCAGTTAAGCCCATCTCTTGGGGTATAGTTTTGACATGTAGGTCTAATGTGATTTCGGATTTGGTTGTGTTAGTTCAAATTGAAATGAGGAACAGGTCATGGACTAAAAAGAGATCGATGTAATTTTGTTGAAATTAATCTAAATTCTTAGTTCCCAAACCCAGGCTTCTTTTCGATGGATTGTCCTCACTGGTACAAACACAGGTTGTATTAAATGGCTCTTTATAAGGTGGGACGGCTATTGGCCCCAGATCCGCCAAGAAAATAATAATTTCCAGCAAGTTGGCTTTCTGTCTTTGTTGGTTATAACTTTGTCATTTTTGACGGGGTGTTTCTTTTTTTTTAGAGGAGGGCCGTGTAATATATATAAATTCCGATGACGTGGCACACCTGACATCAACTAGATATCCAGACAGATATGGCATGACCAGTCCCATCACCTGGATCTTGACAACGCAGGAAGATCGGAAGATCCTTGTCATCTTCCTAGACTTTCAAGTCCGCTCCATTACCTTCCTGAACACTACACTCTACTCCTCTGGATATTTCCGGGCTGGAGACGGCTACAACGCCACAGACAATGAATTTATGGATTGGGGTTTAACGACAGTTAGCAAAGCCACTGATTGGGATGAGACTAAACGACCACCCGATATACTCTCAGGTGGAAATCAGATGTGGCTCCGATACGGACCAGTTAATCCTCCAACATTCGCTGGGATTTCTTTCCAGGCGTCCAGCGTTCCTCTTCAGTGTAAGCAATGTCATTACAATATTGTCAACATTTCAAACATATCCATCGCCGATATTTCCATACGCGGTTGCACCAATTTCTTTGGACTGCTTGCCCAAACACCAGGAAACCTTCCCAAATAACATCGTCCCGATTTCGTCATTAAGCCAGAAGACATCTTTGTCTCCCAAAACACACCCACAAAAAAACAACAAACAAAAACCGAACTTTCCAAATCCCTTTCATTTGTACTGATAGGGTACTAACACGTATATCGTAACGTGTCTTCCTTAGGTGTTACTTTTGCTATAATCACATTCACGCTACACGTTGTTCCTGTGTACTAGCAAGACATAATTGCTGATAAGTTGAGGGCGCACTCGGTTTCTTACCAAATCTGGAAACTAAAGGGGCTATTCGTGTACAACTCTTTATTTGAAGATTAGTATTGCAATAAATTAACAAGGAGTGAACGGCTTACCAGGGATCTGATTGTTAAATGCCTATTGCAACTTGAAGCCCATAGATTTAAGTCTTTATAAAGTATGGACCAACTAGTATGTTTCAGTGTACATGAATTTGGTCGGCTTTATTTCCTTCAGATAATTTGACATGTACTACCGGTGAGTTTGACTGTGGGCACTCGGTGTGTATCAATGGATCCTGGCGATGTGACAATCAGTGGGATTGCTTCGGTGGAACTGATGAAACCAATTGCGGTAATCAAGGTAATACTCAACCTCGGGGCTTGTAATTACACGGAATTAATATTTTACCCCGTATTTTGTTGTTAAATTGTGGACAGAAAGCAATTTGTAGTACGGAAAAATCAAGAAATTTAGACAATTATTGGCAAATATGTATCGGGCAATTATAGAATCAATCTGAAATTAAATATTGGACAATTTTAAAGAAGTTGGAAGAAATTGCTTCATTTGGAGCGGTTAGATTTAGAAAAGGACCTGTAGGCCTAACTCAAGGTGAGAAAGGACTAGTTATACCAGTCTCGTGGTTGCGCTCGAACAGCACTATATTGTGACTTGTAACAATTCGCAAACACATGATCTTCTGTGATCTTCAACAGTAATGATGCATGATATCAACGGTACATTTATTGTGTGGAAATTGTGTCATAAAACAGGTCCATTATGCGCTGTTGGTGACTTCGATTGTGGTCAATCCGTTTGCATCAGCGGGTTCTTGGAATGCGACGGTTTCCCGGATTGCAGCAATGGCAGCGATGAAGAGAATTGCGGTAATTTTGCATTATTTTTCGTTAACATAGCCAAATAAGATGATACTATCCAGCATATGCAGTCTATTTTTTTCTCTATGATTTTCGAAAGAAGTCATCAGATGTAAGCAAACCGTTTTATTACCGGTAGCACGTATCAGCTTAAAGCTGCTAAGAGCGAAATTTGGTTTCTTTAACTTCCTTTAAACTTCCTATATAACGTTTTTAAGGAGGCAGGGAAAAGAAAACCTTCTTTCTCCAATTATAAGCTCTAAACTCTAGGTGACCACCACAGTAACCACACAACACTGCCAGGTTCCTTGCCAACGTCCTGATTCATTGACGGTAAATGGTTACTTTCATTGGAATTGAATCCACTCACATTAAGGAGAAAAATCTTATATGTGTTTATCTTTTTCTCTCCGACGCAATGAAAATTTTAGACTTGGCAATAAGCAAGCCCACACGCGGGCTGCTGTCTTTTTCTAGAAGCTTCGTAATGTGATGCACTCAGTACAAGGTAGCCCAAGTACAAGGTACTGACTCCTACGTTGACCGCGTTATTCTATGAATAGTCACACTGCACGTGAACACGAGTGCTCTCTCGCACATGTGCCACGACAAATACGCTCCTCTACAACTGTAAAATCTCGTTCTCCTTTTCAGAAAAAAAATCGCACAGTTATTTTCACCAGCTAAGTTGATTTCAGATTAAGATTTTAGGTTTAGATGTATAAACTTCATACATCTGAGAGATTAGTGTATAGTATTGTGCACTTTTTACACGTTATCGGAACTCGTTTATTTTGGGCAGCAACGATGCCAGTCTACCTATATCTTTACGCATGCTTTATGTATGCCTGTTGTGCAATTCTCCCGAATGACATCTTCAACCCAACATAAACACAAAATTTGACCTCGCGTTTTTCCGAAATCGGTCCAGTTGCTTGTGGAAAGAAATTCCCACTTATTTCTCCCGTGTTGATTTTCAAGAGATAAATCCATTGTGTACTGGTTTTGGGGTGGCCAATCTACCTCAGAAACCCTAGATGCCAAATTATTTGACGCCGTTTCCTTAACAAATTAACATTACTTAAGAGCTTACTTTTTAGCTTCATTGTCCTATTCATTTTTATATATTTCGTTTAATGGATGCACGAGTACATTCATGGAAAAAAATCATCTTTCGTCCTCAATACATTTTTATTGCCCGTTAGTAATCACCATCGCACTCTTCTTTTTAAGTGGGCTGCCGCAATTTCTGCTTCCTTGACGGGTCCCGGGGAGGATGTTGGTGTGACGGGGCTTGTGAGATCTACGGTGATTGCTGCGAAGACTACTACATCTATTGCACACTTCCAGACTACCCTACGGAATCCCCAGGTGAAAACCCGTTTTCGTGTCGCTGAATAGGGGCTGTTTTTTCATGTTTGCCAAATTCGCGTTTTTCCACTGAAGGAAGACTTCAAAGGGAATGGTTTTGAATTCTAAACTTGCACCATTCACTTGAAAGTTATACTTTTATTTATTAAAGCTTGTGAAATCTTCGATTGGTAGGCCCCCATAGCTGTATTTATATTCATGTATCCTTTGTCAGTACTTTAACATTGCGAGAAGTCTGTGTTAAGCAGACAAGAAAAAAATGGACGAAATTCTGTAGAACCACCAATAAAATACTTTGCATCATCGTTGACTACTTGAAAACTAATTTACTTTGTGCTACAGGTATTGACGAATGTGACCCGTTGGAACCGCTCCACGACTGCGACGTGAATGCGTTCTGCACTGATACTTCTGTTGGCTTCAACTGCACTTGTAATGTGGGATATGAAGGAAATGGCACATCGTGCATTGGTTAGAAATTAAACTAACTTTAAACACTCCCTTGTTAGGTTGACCAAGATCTGGATCATGGCTGTGGGGTCTTACCCTCTTACGATTCAAAGACCACTATCTAGGTTATATTGATTTTTCAGGATCATTTGATTGGGTTCCTGGTCGTTCTGACCCGTAAAATGGTTAAAAAATGCAACAGAGTGTTATTTCCTTAACTGCAAAAGAATGATGCCTCCTGGGGACCCGATCTGGGGTAATCTGAAACAAGGGTTTCTAGAACGTAAAGGCCGAATATTTTTTTCAGAAACATGAACACAGTATGACTTTCTTTTGTCACCGTTCCCACCCAAGATGTCAAACCTCCAGATATATCGTGCCCCAGCAATCTCACCGTTTACACGGACTGTCACAAGAGCTACTCAACCGTTTCACTGCCCGATGTCCACTCCGTGAATGACAACTCTGGCGCATACTCTGTTAGTATCGACATAAACGGCTCTCCGCACCAAATTGGCGATACTGCAACATTCGATCTTCATACATCTCCTCATCTTGTTCACTACAATGTGGCCGATTTGTCATCGAACAGTGCCCATTGTCAGTTATTCATAGTCGTGTCCTCTGTTGATGGTAAGAGACTTTATCAAGAACTTATCAGGAGGCTATAATATGAACCCATTTTTTGCGTACATTTCCACGACTTGCAGCTTGCGTGGTGCATCATAGAATGAATATTTAAGAAAAAAAACTTACCGTTCACCAGTAAGCAAAAATTGAACGGCATGTCACCACTGGTCTCCAAAAGGAAGACAAGCTAAAACTGATAATTTAATTCTTTTTGTTAATAAAATGTCCAACATTCATTGTAATATACCATTTTCAGCCCAGAAGAGAAAATAAAGAAAATAAATTAAAACCGAAATAAATTAAACAAAAATATCATTACACAATTTTCAAAGTGGAACGTTGTTATGATTACTGTTATCGCAGAGGGAACGCTTTGTTTAGCTACCGGAATCCCTCCAAACTGCATCTGTTCATCAAGTCAGGGATTCTGCACATGCTCTTCCGGATACTGTGGACATGATTGCTCAAGTAAGATCTCATTTGAAATTCGAATATCAAGCTTGTATGGCTATAGACAATTGGTATAATCAGACCGAATAAAATGTCAAGTGCATTCCGGAGTGCATATTATTCCGAAGTAAACGGTCCTCCACAGCAGGCAGCCACGTATGCCCTCGCCTACCCTTTGCTCAAATAATAAAAACTAAGCCATTTTCAAGGAATAGAAGTGTTCTCTATGATGGAAAATTGAAATTTTATGTGTCAGTTTGACATCTGGCTTTGCACTCCCGGTTTTGAATTTGAGATATTGTCCAATGGCTTCTTTTACACGTCTCGCGAGCTAACCGGTAATTTTATGCAAACAGCTATATTTTATTATTAATGGTGCATTAAGTAACCAGCATTTGCAGCCGTAAGATATGACTGAACTATTGCTAATTTACAATTCAGACGATTTACAAATGTCAAGTAGCTTAATATGCGAAATAAAGTTTAAAAGTAAAGAAAATGCAAGGCTGCAAGAACACTGCTTGGGAGGTTGATAAAAAAAACGAAAAAGATTAAATAACAGGACACCACACTGCAAAAGTGGGGTTTCAAACCCAACACCCCCGGTGCTATCAGAGGACCAAACTAACACTTTACACTGGTGATGAAACTGCTGGTGTTATTTGGTGTCACTTTGATACCCTCAGTGCACTGTATTATTTGTACATGTGCAAACTAACACCAGCAGTACCAAAGTAACACCCCATCACGCGGTCATCAGACAGCACCAAAAGCGGTTATGTTAACACCAAAGCCTTTACAGTACACAACAAAAGGAAATATTCTTAGTAAATATTTATGTATAGCTCTAGAAATCACTTTAGAGGGGAAAAACAAAGAAATGGACATGTACACAAAAACGAAGAGTGTTAGGCATAGGAAAAAATACCAAGGGACACAAATCACAGCAGAAACCAGAATGGCAAGAGACATAATTCTACCACAAGACGCTGCCATCATATACACTGTACAGTCACAAGGATTGCACTTGATTGTCATTAAAGAGGCTAGGAAGATATGAAAATATGAAAATATGAAAAAATGAAAATGTCAAGGGGAGCAGGAAGAATAGGAAGACAGTCACAGAGGGGATGACGGAGGGGGAGGGGAAAATGGGGAAAAAAGGAAAGAGAAGGAATGAGAGAAGATGGGGTGTGAGGGGAAGAGAGAGGGGAAAACACTGAGAGGGAAGGGGTAAGGGAGACGCAGGTAAACAATCTGCTGAATGTCTGCAAGTGAGGGAATGTAAAGTACGGGGCTAATTCTACATTTAACAATGTTGTGACAAACTGAATTCTTCAGTTTGCTTGTTCCTTGCAAGTGGGAGCCAAGGAATCTGTTCGTAAATTCCCCATGCAGTTGTTTGCAAAGAGGTGTTCAGTCGTTTGTTCATATTTTTTCTTTCAAAAACAGAGAAAAGTGAGGGAACTAAGTGCAATGGGCCTAATTTGCCAAATCCGAATTGCAAGGACATCAACGAATGTCTTCCGGGATATACAGGATCACTGTGTGATGAACGTAAGTAATTACAACAGTAAAAAAGTTTCTTGTAAACGTAGAGCGTAGAGTTGAGTCTGCCAGCCAGGAATGATGACACGGGAGCACTGACAACTGTCAGAGGAGAAATAAATTACCCCAGGGAATCCAAAAGCAAGTTATATATGGCAGATTTTTAAGAGAACAAAAACTCGGGAGAGAATTCCCTACTTAGGACCCACCCCTGCAATAAAAGGGCTTGTGTTCATGCAGTGGGGTGGACATCTGTGCAAACCCAGCTCTGGATGGATGCTGGGAAAAATATACTGTTTTGGCATGCCTGTCTCTGAGAACAAGCTCGGTGCAAGAACGGAAGGTTTCATTTTCACAAAATAGGTGTTAAAACTTGCTGCAGAAATATGAGAAAAATGTCAAGATCAGATTCCACTTCTAACTCGTTAGGGTTACAGAAGTGACATTTCAGTGAAAAATAACATGCAAATATTGACGTTGACGGAGACGTTGAGAGATTGGTATTCTTTTAATAAACAGGTATCGATGCAACAAACTGTCCAGATATTCCCAACAAATGTCTGGGTCTGGGCGTGACCTCGGTGTCAAGGACGTGGGCCGAGGTTAGAGGTACTAGCCAATCAGGCCAACGTGCCGTCATCACATGCAGGGGTATGGATGGAGCCGTCATTGGGCTCACTGGTGGCGATTTCGGCCTCGGGAAGCACGAAATCGTCTGTTCCTCGGATGAGCAAACTACTGGCGTTCCACAGTGCTTGATTTCCTTCACAGTTTCAAGTAAACATATTGATCAATTTATCCGCCACATAAAAGGTGTATATTCACTTCACACAAAAGGAACCGCTGTAGTTGTAAAGTTTGAAAAAAAAATTGAATTCCCCCCTACATCATATATTGAAGATGTGTGTCATACAAAAGGTCTCATTTCTTATTTTCATACGGCCATACAGTGCCAAGAATAAGGTATTATTGAAATAGACCTCATTCAGTTGAGTATACTGTCGTTTGCATAATGCTATTTATGTGTGTAGCATACCCGAAACTTGGAGTCCCAATGCTAGTTGACCAGTGCACTGACCCAGGCAAGCACACGTCCAACGTGACTTGGAGCTTGGGCCTAGACACAGCTTCGGATGCAGTCGTCACCTGCAGCGGTAATGGCACGGATGTTGGACCATCAGGAGGCGTATTTGGTGTGGGGTACCACACGGTAACTTGTAATGTCACCAATTCGGGAGGCTGCACAACATCAAAGACGTTTGGGTTCAACGTTATGGGTAAAGAACTTCTTCTTCAATAGTGCTGTTTTGATTCATCCCCTACTAATCTGCAACAAGTGTTGTTTCCCAATAAATGTTCTTTGTCGCCAATGTCTCATTGCAAGAGAACCAGCCCCCTTAATACCTTTTTGTTCCAAAGTTAGTTCTTTTCACATGCAAAGTTTACCCTTCACTAATGTTGCTGCCATTTTATGACAAGGTCTGCCTTTTGTTCGATTGATCTACTGTCTCCCTTGAGCAAAGTATTCTCTTAAGATGTATTATGTAAGGTGCAAATGTTTCTTCGTTACAATGTTGGTCATCATTCCCCGAAATGGAAACAATGTAGACTGATTATTGAATTGTAATCATGCTAAATTTATTGGTTCGTCGGACACGAACGTAAGTTTAGGCGCGCAAAGAGATATACATGTACTTGTCAAGCGTTCCGTATTCCAGACCAGTTGTTGGTAAACGCCGAAGCGAAGCAAATTTGATGTCACAAAATCTGCAGCACGAATGTGTGATCTTGGGTCAGATTCTGGGGTTTGCATTGGCCTACACATTGGAATTCGTCAGATATGCGGCAGCAGGACAACAGTGATAACGTTTAATATCTCTTTCGGTCGTTAGTTGGCAGTCTTATTCCATTTGGAGCAGAGAGTGGAGATTCTCGTCTGTCACAAGCAAAGCAAGAGGTAGGTAGTATTGGTTTTTTAGAATATAAAACAAAGCAAGAGGTAGGTAGTATTGGTTTTTTAGAATATAAAAGAGTATTATTTAGCTTAAGTAATGAAACACATTCATCTCTAGTTACATTATTTAATATAGTCCGTGGGTAGCATTTCCCTTGCTCTCTTGTATAGTTGCTTTGTGCCAATCATATTGCACCATTGTGAAAAAGTAAAAGACATTTCTCTTTCTTTTTCAGAATCAACAATCTAAGAAGGATTTGATATCTCCCACCATTTATCCACCAAATTTCTTCCCATTCTGCGATGACCTGTATGAGAAGATTTATGTGAGCATTTTACAACAACTCATTTGCCATTCAGTAAAACAAAATCTGGTATCTCAATATAATACACCTAAAAAAATTACTTGCAATACGTGGAATGGTGAAAGACAACGAAGTGTACTCATGGTTCACTCAGAGGCCGATATTGTGTTAACTCAAATTTTCTCTTCGCAAAAAGCCCACTATGTTACGGTATGCATTACTAGAAAGTAAAGAGAAGACATAACGGTACTTTCATATATGGACTATTGTCATATGGATGTTAATTAAAACTCAGTTTTTTTCCGCATGGTGTTTAACAAACTGGCACCAACTAGTTTCATTACAAGTTTTAATTTATTTACAGTTCACTGACGACGGTGTCATCATTCTGTCAAATAACAAAAACCTCAATAAATACGCGTTTCCTGGGGCTAAAGGCTCAACCTTTCCTAGCGGACTGAAGATGATAGCACCATTTTGGGTGGACATTAGAGCTGATCTGTTTTCTTCAACAAAGAACGTTTTCTGGCAGGTATGTCACAAAATCTTGCTTAAAGTGTAGAAATACCCGTATATTTTGTACCGTCCTCTATGCTCAACATCCTGGCAGGCCATTCATGATTATCATCAGCTATCCATCGTAATTGTTGACATACATACACTGTTGTCAAAGCTGAGGGTTGTCTTTTCTGCACCCCTCAATATGTTTCACCTTCCGCTCCTCACACTGTATTGATAATGCTGTTTCTCCAAATGACAATGTCGATTGCTCTGCTCTCCCACGTGTTACCATCCAGATCGGCAGATTTCATAAAATGTTTCAACACATGTTTCATCAAATTCCCAATGGCCCTCCTGTACCCTAATGCATATGTTCTCAACCTAAAAGCCTCTTGTACCGTCAAAACCTGCCCCCGCTACCTTTCCTCGGACTGACACACCTCACTGATCGTCTTGCATTCCTTTTTCTGCTTGAGTGACCGTGGTGTAATCTACATTAAGCATCCACTGTCAACCTCATCACCTCCGAATACCATATAAGCAGTTTCATCACTGGAATTCCTGCAGTCTCCCGACAAAGGAAAGAGTATATCCTCCGATTAGTTGACTAGCCTCATGTTCCATTCAGAACCACACCTACCCACAAAAGATATATTTTGCATGCTGCTACTCTATACCTATTTTACTTAAATTCTTCCATCTCTTCATGATATTCCCCTTGTTGGTCAGGAGAGGTGTTAGGAAGGTAAATCGAGTTACTGAATGACGGAGTTCATGAACCTGTGACGCCACGCCTCTCCGTGGCGGAATTCTGGACGAGGGTGCCTTTCACCTCCAAGCTTTTGGCTTGAAAACTCCGCTGAGTAGGGTGTTGGGCACCACTAGGTCTATCGTGATTGGTCCGGTGCCTCGTGATGTTAATAAAAGAATACATGACTGAAATAAGAAACCCATAGATGCCGGACTTATGTCAACAAATGCTTGGTACCTGGTTTATGCAATGTTCTTTCACTCACACACACAAGCAATACAGAAGTTAAGGGAGTTGTTAATGACAGAACTGTATGACTAGACTTCGCGCCAAGCAGTGAGCCCCACCATTACTCCTACTTGTGTTCATCTATTGCCACCAGGACCTGAATAAGTGTCAAAGGCTATCTCAAGAATGCGCCATTGGCAACTCCGCAAGATGATGATCCGCCGTTTTAATCGATAGTAATGACCATCAATATTCTCCTACAACAATTGTCTTACAGGAACTACGCGCCTTATATGGCCTTGCAAGCCAGCAATTGTCGCGATTACGCCTGAACGTTCGCTATATGCGACCTATCAAAGCGGAGCCTAGCCGCTGCGCCCGCTTAACAAAAATTAAGCTTTTCACAAAGAAGCTTGTAAATGGGAACGCTGTTTTCATCATGCCAGATTCAAATCAGGCGATTGTAATAAGAAAAAAAAACGTATTTGAATTACAATAATGCGACCAGACTAAAAGTCTAATTTCTTTGGAGAGTACAGTTCTCTCTTTTAAAACAATCCCGGGGTCATCTCAGCAGTTTGATATCGTAATTAATATACCGTTCTGGCCAAATTTAATTGAAGTTTTAGATAGTGCTGACACCATCTACGGTTTACCCAGTCGAAGTCTTCAGACCTTATGCAAGCAGCATACAGAGTCACCTAAATGTAATGATACAAAATAATCCCGCGTAAGTTGGACGCATAATACTAGTTTTATAGTTATTTAGACCAATATACATTTCATAATTATATTTATTAGACCTATACCATTATAAGCTAATATTTCAAGTTACTCATATATTCAATTTGTTACTTTCCAAGGTATATGATCAGTACGATTTAAACACCAACCAAGACAATTTGAATACCATCAAGGCTATCGCACTACCAAACGTGGATGCCGAGGGCGATATGAAACTGGCGTACTGGGCGCTGGTTGTCACGTGGAGTAATGTTCAGCCAGATTCAAAGGGAGCTGTAAGTTTTATGAACAGAGTTCACTGTTGGTTATTATCTGTGTAAAATGTAGTTTATTTTTCTCGGCTATTGTGGATCATTGTCAATTGGTTTACGGAAAGAGTGAGACGAAGCTTAAACTCATATACTGCTTTGGCTTTCTTTTTCAGACAACCACATTCCAAGCTGTGCTGCTGACAGATTCCATTCATAGCTATGTTATTTTTAATTACGATCCGTGTAACTCAAAATGGGACACTGCCAACCAAATCAACAAAAACGTCGTCCAGGGTTACACGTGCGGGACACAAGACCGGAGCGTATACGTAGACGTACCCTCGGACTCCCTATTTCAACCGGGGAGCATCGTTGGGAATTCGGGGCAGAGAGGCCGCTGGGTGTTCCAGCTTGACAGTCTCCCAGATGGCTTCGTCAACCCGCGCTTATCCTGCCGCAATTGGCACAGTCATCAGGCACCTTATCCGATCTTCAATGCTTACTATCCCCCTTTTGCCAACACGTGTCCCTGCAGCCTGCTAATGGCTTGGCTGGACTGGCGATTCCTGAGAATGTGGCGACATCGTTATTATGTTCCAGCAGGGGACATCCTGAAATACTTTCAAGACAGATGTTAGTATGAAAACTTACTTTGAAATAAACTACTTTGAAATAATACACAACACTTTTGTTTGTGTTTTTCTCCGAGGGAAACAATTCACTAACAAACTTATCATCTGACAACCTGTATGCAAGTCTGCCATCTAGATAAGCGTACGGTATTTATAGTCACTTGATTCCTGGCCACTGTAAGGGAACTATTACTGCAATTGCAATATATTTCTTTGATTCTCCCTTTTTTCTCGATCTGTGCACAGCTGTCATTTGCTTTGTGAGACTGTACCAAGCCCCAGGAACCCCTGGCCCACAGTGCTGCTATGAGTGGTCGACCGGTAGTCTTCTGTACGACGTGAGAAATCCAAGAGTTGCTTCAGTTTTCGAGAGGTTTCCATTCAGTCCACTTTTCTACTCGCCTGAGGTGTTTCAACAGTGGTACGGTGAGTGTCCCCGCTCTGAACTCACTGACGTTATAATTATATAAATGTCTTAATTCGCAGTGCATCTGTACCTGTTAAAGCCACTGGTGGCCATTTTGACGTGACGAGTAAAAGCTGGTAGTTTGCTGGTGTGCCATTGAAACAATTGATTCCACAAACAAACTTGATGAAAAGTGGTGGGCCAGCCAAGGTATGGGCGCGTTTGAGATGGCCACTGTATCTTTGCGAGCTGATTAAGGGCATTGATAGTCCAGACCTCACAGATGTGGGCTTCGTCTTCAATACGTCTAACCGAGACATACTTGTACAGTATAAACGGAATGATGACTGACACAATAATCGATATAAGTAAGCCGAATCATGGTTAGTACGAAAACGCTAGTAGGCCGTACGGATTGTAGTGTTAAAATTATTCACATGGTATAATTTCCGTCTGTGATCTAAAAGTGCAATTGTATCAAACACCACGCATACTAATTTCGGCAGAGGAAGACGTGCTATCCCGTTACTTCTGCTGTGAAAAGTCCACCCTGTGTCATCTTTACATCGAATGGCGCCCTCTCATGACATGTGACCACTACGTACCAACATTTTGGGGTAGGTGTTTCGTTGAAGCAGCAGTGTATAATTTTGGAAAAACATTTAGCTATCATAACGCACATTTTTGTGTCAAAATATCGGTGAGGCTGATGCTGAAGGAATTTGCTTATCATTACAAGAGGTAATCGTGTCATTTGAGATTACAAAGCGAGCGAATACAAGATTTGTAAGGTTCAAAAGTGGCATACTTCTATTCCTAAGTCCAAAAACTTTATTTCATTTAGGCTAGTTCCATTTGATTCAGGGCTTATCCGTTATTTGTTAGTACACACACTTCATCGACGGATCTTTCGAATTGTGAACAATCATTTGACATCTTCATTTCTCCTATTTCCCAACGAGGTTGGTTCTGGGGAGATCCGCACGTTCGAACTCTTGATGGTTTGGACTACACCTTCAATGGCCTCGGTGAATACACACTAGTTCTCATCGAAGACCCGGACAGAGGCGAGAGAATCTTCGAACTACAAGGCCGGACGCAGAGAGTATACGACCCCAAAACGGAGGAGCTAACAGACGCGACTTCGTACAGTGGCTTTGCGGCTTTGGATTTTGCCAGCGGTGCAAGGGTTTGTAACAATCTAACGTGCATAGTACACCTAATATTGATTCAAACTTCGCATACCCATTTAGTCACTGCAATAAGAAATCTGTCACCGTTTCATTTGGCCTAATCTCAGCTAACAGCTCTGGGTATAATGTAGCGTTTGCCTTATCTTTAAAGGTTGAAATAAAGCTCAACAAAGAAGCCACTGACTTGATAACAACAGTGAACGGATCTGTTGTAGAGCCCACAATGGATGGTAAGCTGAAGACAAAATTGCAAGTGTTCCCTTAAATTCTAAGCGCACTAGCTCTTCTAAAATCACAGTCAAAGCACCTTTTGCTAAGGTCGCTGAACCTCAGGCAAACAAATGAAGAACCGATTTTTGTTTTCAGTTTGTGCTTACACTTGTAGTTTTCACAGTGTTGTTTTAAGAGAATTGGAGGTTTTTAAAGACGCTAGCAAGCAGGTGATATTCTTAGATATCGTACATATTTCAAAATAAACACACATGCACCCTAAAAGAAGAATTAAAAAGGCAAAATTGCTGTGCCAGGGAAAGCAAAAGATATAAGCGTCTGTATTGGAACATGCAAATTACCGTCGAAATAACACCCTTTTCAAAACTCTCTGAATTAAATGATAAACCACCACCGCACAAATTTGAAATTACCATTTGTTAAATTTGTTGGCAACCCACGACTGTCTTACGTATTTACGAATATCAAAGCGAAACATTTTTTCAGGGCTGATGTCCAATGGCTTAACTGTGAGAAGAGAAGAGGATCCTCCAAAAGTAGTGGCAATATTCGCTTCCGATATCCAATTTTCCGTGGGCGTGAACAACAGTTTTGTGGACGTCACCGTCCAGCTGAGCCAAAATCACAGAGGGAAATCGAAAGGACTCCTAGGTATAAAACCAGTTCCAGATGACGCACTTCAAATTAAATACATAGTAATATTATCTATGTGAAGTTTGCGGTGACACCATGTAATCAAATTCTCTCCTTGAGTGTGTGTGGTTCTGAAAAGAACCGGGAGGAGTGAACCCCGACCCCGGTTCTTTTCAGAACCACACACACTCAAAGAGAGAATTTGATTACATGGTGTCACCGCAAACTTCACATAGTTAGTACTTTCGCCATGCATAGCCTCAAGTCTCATTTAGTAATATTATGATGACCAAAAATGGGTCACTTGGGAGACATTCCCATAGGAACGTGCACAAAACTTTTCAAACTTTACCGTCCCATAATTCAATATTCCCTAACCCGACCAAACTTTGCATGTTTTCCTTTCAGGCCCTAATCTATCGTCTCTCAAAATGTGGACGATAAAAAATTTCCCCCTTTTGGTAGTTGGAGCATTAAGGAGACATTGAAATGTTTTCCTAATGACAAATGTCTCCCTAATGTTGAAAAAGTTACTAGAAATGTCTCCCAAGTGACCTATTTGGAAATATTATGAAACGTGCAAACATTACTGACCAAACGCCTGGTCTTCGTGTATCGTCACTTCCTCAAGCTGAACTTGGTACATACAACGGTAGACGTACACATACCTCGAACTTTAACCTTTCTAGCATTCTGCATGAAATCAATGGTAGAATGTGACAACAATGTTTTTGGAAACAGAGCTCTTTGTATGTATTTCTTTCTTAATTTGTGTATCACGTTTAAGCATACACAACGGTGTAAGCAGTGCCATTGAGGGGATTCTCTTAGTTGATTCCGAATATGAGTGAGGAATTTCCTGAGTGTTGTTTTCGCAGGAGTTTGGGATGGCAACACAACTAACGATGTGCTAAGGCGTGATGGCACATTCCAAGAGCCGACCGGAGACCTGGGGAAGATGCTTGAAAGGGACTTCTTTGAATTTGGAGAAACATGTAAGCATTTTATTTTTGACAAATGCACTCTACGTGCTGCGTTTTATTCAGTTCTATGGTATTCAAATTACACGTATAGTCATACGCAGCAAGGTATGAGACGGAGAGAACCGCCCCTGCTTTGTGTTGGTCATTGTCTCGCAGGAATCTGGGGAATTCCTTTCAGAAATCTTGGGAGGTGTGTTAAGTAACAAAAGTCTGGAATGTGTATAGGGATTGGACATGTTGGGGGGGTTACCCCTCGGTCTTATTTCTTGCTGGGTATACGTATAGTCACTTGAATTTTTAGGCTTTTATGACTACTTCGCATTCTACATGTCATTAGAGAATCTATTGAATAACTAAAAAAATCAATTATATTCGTTTCAAACACAGCATTCTGAAGCACATGAAATCCCTATCCCTTAATATCAATCATCAATTGGCATTTACACTCTTAGTTACTGGTTCAACCTTAAAAATTTGTCAGTTGCTAAAGGTTTGCACCAGGAAGAAAATATTTGTCCAAAGCCGGGTTCTTACTTGAGACAAATGCAAAGCTCAAGCCAATTTGTGACCCACTCTGTGGAATGTTTCTTAAGCCACTTTTGAGTAAAAAGTCCTTTAGAATAGTTTTACACAGTGTAAATCAGTAGGATCCCATGGCGTTTTTCACCAAGGAGTATCCACTTTCATCAGGATGCCAAACTGAGTGATACACAAAACAAAAACTCAATTTGCTCTTTCCAATACAAATGAAAACTCAAAACGTGGAACTGGTGACTTCAAACTCATTTTCACAGAGTGGATGACATTTGGTGTCACGAAACATTTGCAAAATTGGACCTAAGTTGAAATGTGTTTAGCTTTTGCGAATTCGTAGCGCAAATATTTAATCTGCCCTTACAAATTCGCGTTCTTTTTCTTTCCTTTGGGCTAACACTACCTACGGAAACTTGGAGAAACATTTTTTGTTAAATTAACTTTCTTTGCCACTGTGCAGGGCGGGTCCACCCAAATGGATCCCACTTCTACTACTTGCCGCCGGAGGAGAGCTGGGACAACATGAATAACTTGACCTTCCGGCCTCAATTTCTGGAGGATCTACTCGCCAGCTTGGACGACGAGCAACTCGAAAGGATAAAAGCGGTCTGTGGGGAAAGCAGGGAGTGTCTCTACGACTCTTTGGTGCTCAATGATACAACCATCGGGATGGCCACCAAGCAAGTCAATGAAAAGAATACCGAAGACTTGATTTCAGCAAGTGAGAAAATGCGTTTTTACTTCGTGCTGAGTGTTAGGATTTCCCATTAATATGATTACCGGTGTTCCGGGCAATGTTTACAATTCCAATATACCTCTGTCTTGAGAGCCGCTTTGTATTGGCCCAGAGCAATCAGGTGAGTGAATGGTGAAAATGAATACTATCCTCACCATTGGGAATCGTACATCACCGATGTCGCATCGTTTTATCATAGACAAGCCCATTTTTCACAGTCTAAACCATAATGCGCAGATCGCCTGCCAGACTATTCATTGGTGCGCTGCTGTGTACTTTCAACATGGGAACTTGTAAACAATACGATCAGCTGTAGTCGCTGCAAAACCAGGAAATAGAAATATTTTTTTATAAATTTTACTAAAACCCTGTGAAATGGCATCTTTGGGTTTCAATTAACCTCATTGTAATTGTATTTTATCCCATATTGTGATGTTTCTTGTTTTTATGCTAATGCTATTTGCATATTCATAAGCAGAACTATGATATCACTGAATCTAAATGTTGCACTGATTTATGCACAGAAAATGTCTATTTTTTTTAACCACTGCTATACCACATTTAATTTTTCTGGCAATTTATTGCTGTGAAATTATATGGCAGTAATCCGGCAAAAATCCTTTCTCAGAAATGTTCCCAGAAAGCAAATTTGGAATTCACAATTTGAACATGAAAACATGCAACCTGAACCATGTCTTCCTGGATTTACATCAAAGCAAAAGCACCTGCACATGACCAAAAATGCTTGGTCAATTCTTTATGTTTGAAGAAGTGTACTGTTCAGTTCACGTAACTCCAAAAAGATATCAGACAGTCTTCATACATGGAAGAAGAGTACAGAGATACACAAAGAGTGATTCTAGGAAAAATTAATTCCCTGGTTCCTTTATCGGTGAGCGTTTGTTTGAAGTGTGTTTCTTTGTCGAAATTCCTAAGCACAATGTCTGATAAGGTTGAAAACACATATGGGTGTTCTCCTAAATGGTTTGCAAAATGCATGGCTGACATTAAATGTTATGCATGCATAACATTTAATAAACCGATACGGCGATGCAACGAGTCCTCACGCGGCTTAGACTGTTTTAGGCTGCAACGGACTGAGACAGGTACTCATTGTTTTGATTAAATTCAAGACCAAGAGGCAAAGAGCCTTTGGCTGCTCATCCTTCAGGTGTTAGAACATCATGCGCCACACCAAAGTAGTCGTGATTTTAAGTTTTATCTCCCTTCACTCGGCTCCAAATTTATTACCTTTTTCGTATGAAAGAAGCCAATTGAACCCAATAGCTAATTCCCAATGCTTAGCATGAGGTCAGGCGTTTCTAAAGTTATATCACTGTTAATACGTTTGATAAAACGGGTCGGCGATACGATCCCTTCCACCAATTTGTTTCGGCTACACAACTCGGGGGAAAATAAGCAAAAATCGGGCAATTGCCCACGAGTGTAGGCAGCTTAATAATTCGGCCTTCAACGGGTATTATGCTTACAGTACACGAGATACGTGTACAGATACGTGTACATAGTGATTATGTTTAATCGTAACATTGGTGATTACCCTTTAGCAAATTATCCGCCCAAACTGACGTCAGTTGAGAGCATTACGGCAACCGTAGGGCAGACCTTCATGCTACAGATACATGCTACAGATCCAGATGGGGACAACATAACATTCCATCTGCTGGAGATGGTCACCGGTGCAGGCATTACAGTGGAAGGTTTGTGACACTGCTACACTCGCCACTTTGAGCTATAAAACAATTTCAAAAGAGAGATACTGTGTTTTCTCTTCAGTGTCAATATTACAGTGCATTTCTGTGCCGTGGTTTTGAGTATGTAAATTAGTCATTTCATACCACAGGTGGCCTTTTCAGCTGGACACCCAATGACACCTCAAAGGTCAGGGTCGGTTTTTTAGCAACAGATGGCAGGTCAAATTCGACACTCGAGCCAATAGTGAATCTCTGTCATTGTCAAAATGGCGGAACGTGTCTTCCCGGTCGACATGTAGACGGCACCAATCTGGTTCAAGACCGCTTTGGGGTAAGTTTCTGCAAACATTTTTACAAAAATATTGACATTTCTTTTGCAGCGTCACAAGCATAGACTCGATTGGCCAAACAGTGACTGGGCCCGAGTTAAAAAAAAAATTTAACATAATGGCCCCAACATTAAATAATTGCGAAATACTCAACGAAAATGCCCTTTTCCAAATCCCCAAAATCACATCAAGCAATTTTTAGGCAACACCTGCTGTGAACCAAGGGAGAACGTTTCGCAACTTTTGACTACCCAAAGAAAATGTGTTTGCAAAAATCCTGTAAGTCTTTATTTGATTTGTCCCATGTGAATTGTCTGCTTAAGTCTTCAGTGGGTTGCTGACATAGGGCCCTGTTACGAAGGTTAGAATAGATGCCACAGATAACACCCAGAGATTTAAAGAATGTAAAAGGCACGATTCAACATGGTTTCATTTGATAATCATGCAAAATTCAAGGTATTCCTCTGCATATTGTAAAATTCAACCTTCCAACCTTCCTAACAACAAAGTGAAGATTTGAGCATACACCGATCTTCAAATCGTTGGCATAACGTTGTCCGTTGTGATTTCTGACCATGAACAGCGAGGTTGGAGTCAAAGACTACCCCGTTGCGATATACTTGCTCTATTAAAACACCTGGTATATTTAGCCAGTGCCGTTTGATCCAGGTCAGAAGTTTGTACTTACATGATACAGAAAAGACGTTGACTAATTTGGTAGCTTTTGAAGCTTTTTTTATAGGGAAAAATTGCCTTTTCAAGAAAACTCAAACAGTTGGATTAAACCACCTTTTCAGCTTCATTTAAGCTCAGACTATCACTTGCCTTGTTTTTTTTTGGGAAAGTGAGCCAAACAAAAATCTTGTACAACATTCCAACATCTCTCCTAATGCTCTGTAGTCGTTCACTTTGTTTATCAGGTATTACTGTGCGAGTGTGAGCCGGGGTGGACCGGTGAGTTCTGTGAAATGGACTACGATGCATGCGCAGGCAGCCCCTGCTACCTTGGCGTGAATTGTACGGATGAGGTGCCTCCGTCCATGAACAGCACGTGCGGCCTCTGTCCTGACGGATTAGACGGCGACGGAAAAACATGCACAGGTATATGATAAAATGACATAATCCACGACTTTGAGAATAAGGTTTGCATTGCACTCTCTCTCTCTCTCTCTCTTGATAGACATATGTGAGGGCATGTAAGAAGTAAACCGGAGTGCACCATGCGCAGTAAATATACTGTCTTTAGTGATTGAAATGCTGCCATTACAATCTTTAATATTCCCATTTTGTGACAGTTTAGGTTCGATTTTAATCAATTTCTTTCTAGATCGTGACGAGTGTCAGTTGTACAAAGACGATCTAGCTGGCATTGACGAGCCTGGGTGCGATCAGATCTGTGAGAATATCCTACTGAGTTTCAAGTGCAGCTGCAACCGAGGATATTATCTAGACCAGGATAATAAAACGTGCCTGGGTATGCTTGACTGTGCTGTTCATACATTTCTCAAAAGATGTTGCACATGCCTGCCTTACTGAGTAGATTGTATAATTCCTCAAGAGACAGAGTGCGCCAAAATCTTCGACATTTTCAAGTTTTTGATTTTGGAAAAACTAACTACGCTGTCTGATTGCTATAGAAAGTGTAATTCAACTAATTAATTTTTTTATTTTCACCAAGAGACGTAGATATAGCGCCAGCAATAAAGGGCCAGACCATGGGTAGAAATCGTTTTGTCATTTTAATAAATTAAATACATTTGACTCCTGAAATGTATATAACTACAACAAATTCGCACTTTGCACATGTGAAGTCAAAAACAAACGCCGTTATCGGCACTTTACTGTGCGTACTGTTTTTACGAAGAGACAAAAGTCACATGAATTGTTGCCTTTTCTTGAACAGACAGAAATGCGTTTTACAAAATACTTAGATTTGATTGATTTCTTCGTGTTCGTTCAGGATACCATCTTGTCTTCCATTAGTAGCATCAGTTGAGGCAAAGGAATGCGATTTTCTCGAAACTTAATTTTTACCTCCAGTGAGATCTGATATAATCTATCCCTTGGTGAAAAGGTGACGATTATTAGTGCGTCTGACGAACTAAGAAGCCGACAGACCGATTAATCCACAAACCAGGCGACAGACCGGCTGTCTGACAAAGACGAAGAGAGCCAGATATTAGTATATTATATTATTAAGACACGATTGTCGTCAATTAATTAAGTGGCATAAGATAAGATATTATTTTATGGAGCAAAGAGGTACAGTCATTGTTTTAACAGTGGTGTGAATAAGGGCGGATCTAGAATAAGTTTATTAGGGTAATATACCTTTTGCGAAGGGATGCAATTTTTTCAACTGTTTTTATACAGCCTTTCACGGCCCTTCTAGTGCTGAGGCTTCACTTTGCAAATCAAGAGAACTGAACAGAGCAAGACTGGCCTTTCACTCATTTATTTATTTATTTTAACATTTTCTTGGCTCTGTTTTGGAGGGACGTGCATGGTTCCCTTTAACCCCCTTCTGCCCCTTAGACATATACATGTCTTTTTCAACCCATTTGTCGACTTCGTTTTGACCATAGAACTCACAGCATCCAGTTGCCAGAATGGAGGAGAATTCTACGACAACGAGTGTGTATGTCCATTAGATTATTCAGGAGCCACCTGTGCAAGTACGTTTTGTCAGTGCAGTGTTTGCCCAATTAAACTCTGCAATATACAATGAAAGACAGTCCTTAAATTGCCTATCCTGAATTGATAAAATATTTTTCTTCTGGAAGACCGTTCGTAACAGCTCAGCTTTGATTTGTAAAGCTTTGAGAACAATCAAACTGAGTGAAAGTCTTAAACAAGATATTTTATTTAATGCGTTATCATTTTGAGAAATATCCCCCAAAAGTAAAGCAGTTTAACCAGATATAAATAAATAAATAAAGAGATAAATTGACAATGGCTTCATTTTTCCAGGGGAGAGCCCTTGTTTGTTAGACGACAACTTGTGCTCAGGAACCGGGCAGGAGTGTTTGCCAAATGCTAACGAAGAGGGCTTCTTATGTCAATGCCGCGGCTATGAGGGATACGTAGAAATCAGCGATGGATCTTGCAAGCGTAAGAAATTCCATAGAATGCCTTTACAATGAATAATGTTCTACCTATATGCTACGTATTTAGGCCGATGTACAAGGCATGTGCAGCGCAGTGTTGAGATAAAGTACTTTTTAGTAACAATATTTTGGGTTTTTTTTCAGATTACCCTTCCTTTGGACTAGTTATCAGGCTTCTTATGAATGAATTCACCAATGCGTACAGAAATCCAACATCTACCGCATTCAAAACGATTGCTGCTACAATTCAACAGGCGGTAATTAATATATCAACTACACCTCTTTCAAATGTACATTATAAAATAACGAAAATAATTCGGATTTTGCTTAGTGGAATTTCTTGCAGCTATTGAAAAATCTCACCAGGTCCTGCAGTTTTTTGACAGGAAAAACATTCCACCCGGACTATTAAATGGAAGCTACAAATCAGAGAACAATCTAGTACATTGTTCAGTTAAAGAATGATTAATTATGGGTCATGTATGAACTACTTCGTTGGCCCACGAATGACTATGAACTGCATGTGTTGCACTCTCATTGCTACCAACAAAAGGACGTCTCAACCGATGATATGAGAGGGTCTTCTGCTCAGGGTGGTTAGCTTGATTTTTTTCATCAGATTCTAAACAAACTCGCCGAAAGTCCAGCCACAGCGAGCGCTCTTTCGGTGCAAGTGACGAAGATAGAGGAAGGCAGTTTGATCGTTACCCTTGTGGTGTCATATCCTGTGAACGCAGCGCCCTCACAAGGCGAGCTGGAAAAAGTTATGTCAAGTAGCCGTAACCTGACAGACGGCAACTCATCCATTCTGATAGACCCAAGTTCCGTCCTTGCCAAAGGTAACATTAACTGTGCACTCATCTTTTTTTCTTTTTTTTTTGATTTAAGAAACTGATTTGTTCCTTACACAAATGCAGACAAAACAGTGTTGTAAGACTAGGGGTGATGCTACCCCATCTACACGGTTGTTATAATCGTTTGAAACATAATGCCTGTCATAAATCTTGTAGACGATTTCAGGGCTGTTTCATTTTGTGGTTTTTGTTTTGTTTGGGGAAGACTTTACACGGGTAATAAATTATGTATTATTATATGACCTGGACAGTTAACTCTGTTTAGCAGACTGAGCCCTTTAACTCCTTTAGAAGATAGGAAACATTACTTTTCTCGAAATCATGAAAAGCATCCTAAAGCTGGCCTACTGCATATGTTTCTGCAGAGGTGTCGACCAGTTGCTCTATGGACTACTGTCTGAACAGTGGAACCTGCGTAAGGCCTAGTTTCTCGCCGTGGTTTACCTGCACGTAAGTGAGGAAAATTTTGCAGTGTACATTATAGTTAACTTTCAGGATAAAGCATTCATTCAGTCAAATTCCCACTGTAGGAAATTTATACCGTCGTAGCTTTGCTTCATTAAAAAGATCACTAACTCATATCTCGGCGCTGTTCTGCGTGATACACCTAACAGTAAACCAAGTTCTTTGTTACACCTATAGATGTAAAGCTGATTTTACAGGAGAGCGATGTGAGACGAGACTTGCACCAGTACCTCCTTCAGGTAAGCAGGTCACTGCGAATGACACAGAATTAGAAAAGAGCAGTGAAATTCACAGTGATGAAATCAGTCTAGTATTCGTCATACTTAATCTACATATACAGCTAAGTATGGCGCAATGTATACCCTTTTATAGCTGAAGTGCAAGCATGTTGGTACGCTTGTACGCGTTTTGCTATGTGTACAACATTTACTTTCTCTTTGGAAGAAATGATGAAAGATGTGCATTTGGGGAATTCAAAGACATTGCTTGCATATTATTTGATTTTTGAAACATATTAGGGAAATTGAGCATGTCGTTGGATTCGGGAAGAGTTTAACCCTTATCATGGAGCCTTGACCTTCACATAGGACTTTTTGCTGATAATGAAAGTTTGTCTCTGCCAAATATTTAGGCCTACCATTTGCATCTTGGCAGACAGTACTGAAACGCAAAATAGCTGTTCATGGGACAGTTTGCCAGATATGAATCGTGTATTTTTACTACGGCCGTTGAAAAAAAGCAGGGCGAGATCAGATCGATGATGTTGGATGTTTCCTTGTAATACCTCAGACGGTCTACCTGTACTTGCCCTGGTGTTCATCATCACGGTCCCGGTGTGTATCTTCATCTTCGTCGTTGCAATTTGCCTCTACCTTACCGTCAGAGAGAACAAAGTGGACCCAGACAAAACTCCCCCCGACCAAGAGACTTCAGGAAGGGTCAACGTAGGGCGTAAATCTGGAGACAGGATGGAATGGATAGGAATGCAAGGTGCAAACCAGGCATCTTTTTCTCCACCTAAAACTAAGGTGAGAATAGACCTTCGGGGTAATATTGATTGCTACAGCAATTGACAAAGATTGTTTGTTACAGCATTTGAAAGACAAACAATACTTCCAAAATACCTCTACATATAATATTTTGTTTGTAAAGTGACGCCAAGATAGGTTTAGTAGGCCCTATCAATAATCTTCTGGGCGACCCAGAAGGATTAAATAGAACTGAAGGCAGTTGTTCTCTAACCACCATGGCCTGGATGGGATTCCTGGTTTTTTGCAGTTCAAAGAGCAGATCCGAAAACATAAGTCTACGGATTCAGGGGCTAACTTCCAATTTTACGGGGGGGTCGTTTTCTTTTTTGGAGCCTCGCTTTTTGGGGGGTTGAGCCACAAGTATTTTTACACGCTTTGTGAAGAAACAGAAATTACAAAGTACCAGAAGTGCCTTTAATCATTTCAAAGAAACTCTCTCTTTCGGAGAAAGATGAGGCATGGGTTCCTGCCCCAGATCTGCCCATGGGTTATAGCAGATTTGTTTGATTGTCTCTCGTGTTATGAGGATATTTTCCTCCAATACACGGTTGGTTATCTTCCTTGCAAAAATCTATTTCAATCTTGAGTTGTGCTGAATGCGTCGCTTGGCGGTTTGCCCTTGAATAGCGCTGTCGAGGGCCTCATGTATTGATCCCCGTTACGGATAATTTCCTCGTCACTTTTTGTATACAGTCTCCAAACCAAAATCATCCAAACAATAATTTTATAGACTCCTGAGATCTCCCAGCAACTGACCCAAAATACTGAGAAGTTCCAAATGAATCTTGTTTTCAATATCTGCGAATATCGGGGATGTATACAACAATATCCACCATCGAAGATTTCTGTTTATAATAACTCAAACAATGATTCTTCTGTTTGTTTTTCTACGATTTTATGCATGTATGACTCACCTCCTTTTTTAACAAAATAAGTGATCAAGTTAACTCACCTAGACACACGGAATTTGAAAATTGTGCACTGCAAAAGCTGTATTTTAAACCACTAATCACTTTTTTGGCATTTTTTGCCAAAACATGTCAAAATGCTAAGCACGTTATAAATTTTTATTGGATAGTATTTCGCCACTGGACATTGATATTTAGGACTTGGACACTAACTGGTTAGTATCCAAACATGTTTGCCAAATGATAGCAAAATCGTGTTATATCGTGTGATAGCCAAAGCTAAACACACTTAGAGTGTGTATCATATTCAAGAGATCTTAAAGATCCACAGCAATTCCTAAGTTTTCTTTTACAAGTAGACCTAACTTGTTATATGCAACATACAGGATCCAAGGAATCCAGCAATGGATATTAAAGAATTGAACTGAAAGACGACATTGGTAAGTCTGTGGTTTGTATAAATTAAGTAAATTGATTTGTGGTATGTCTGTGGAATGCCTTTGATGTTACTGGAAAAGTGGTTTTAGTTATGCTCATTATAAGCGATTCAGCCACGCAATTTATAGCACATATACTGATTTAAATCTGAATAAGCCTTTTCAGATTTAAATCTTCGACGAAACAACATCTATGTGTGTCTTTTTATTGTCTTTTTTTTCACCAGACCGTGTCGGGAGACATATGTGCGGACAGAGCCTTAGTGAAGAGTGAACTATTAAATCCTATTCTTTGATTATCCTAATTGTAAAGGCCTACTTGAAGTTTTACCAGACATTGTCAAGTACTTTACTTACTTCAAGCATTTACATGCATAAAACATAGAGAAGTTAAGGCCTTTAAAAGCGGACCCCCTTAATCTTACAAATAACTTGATAATTTGCACAAAATCTTATGGAAGTTAATTTTCAGTTTGCTCTGTCAAAGTAACAACAGAATTTATCCTAGTCGTACGACAGTTGTTTTAGATGCGGTGTGTTTGTGCTCATACGTGATTCCGTTTGCTATTCATGTGATCAGATTAAACAGATTTGTGGCTGACACGAACGTTATACTCAGATTTAATTGCATACATTTTGTTTTTTTCTTTTAAAGTGTGATACTCAAATTGGAAGCGCTGGTTAAATGATTAATCTTGTGAGTTTTTGCTGAGGTTGATAGTTGCATGTTTAAATTTTGAACGAAAAGTACTTGTGCGGGCCTTAAACTGAATCTTTAAAACGAGGTGACACATTAGGTTTTGGCAGTAATTTCACGAGATTGGCTGATTACGGGGTATAAGATTTACTGCAGCAGCTATCATTCATTGAATTGTTGCATGTTTAAGTCAACTGCTATGTGAGAAATCGAGAACAGACTAGCACCTTTAACGGTAAAATTGGACATCTTGTAATGAAAATCCATGAACTACTAACTAGGCGTTCGTAAATCTTAGTAAGTGATAAACATCCGCAGGGTCAGGTTGGAGAACAGGCATTACAGGTTCTCTTTCCCTAAAAAAAAACAAACAAAAAAACAAAAAAACTTTTCAACTGTCACATGTAATCAGTGAATCAGTTTTACACTAATGCAGCTTCGACAATGTAGAATGGTGGATTCATGGCAAAAACCTCATCGTGGCATGAAGTATCCAAACTGATTCAGTTCGTTTTCTGTTTTATACCTTGCACTTAGTTTCCTCTAGTGAATTTTTGCTTTTAGTCTTACCTGTTCATTCAGACTCCTATAGTATCTGTCTCCAATCTCTACACACTAAATATAAACATTGGCCCCCTATTTATGGATGTGGTGCTCACAACGAAACGAACTGTTAAAGTATGGTCGACGGACCAACACCAAACAAGATAACAAAATGTCTTTTTTCTCGAAAATTACGGCATTTTGTGTGGAAATATGTCACCGACTGACTGGGGCTGTTATGTACTTTCCCGCTGTCCCATTGCGGGGATTTTATACCAATCGTGCCACCTATACCTTTAAATCAATGATATGTTGGCAGATGCTGTTCTTTAGAATTAGAAGTGTTCTAAGCAAAGCGTTTTCGTTGTATTCGATGATTTGGCTAGACAAGTTTGTTTTAGTCAATTTATTGTGTGCAGATTGAATGTGTTTGGTTGATTTGCGAAGTGGTACTCAGTATTAAGTCAGACTTGTGATTTTTTTTTTAATTCTATGATGTTCAATTACAACGTATCACTTGAATGAGTAGCCTTATCGAGTACTTGCTCGCTTCAGTATATGTCTAAGGGTACGATTTAAGGGCATATCTGCATGGGCGTCAGAAGGATTTTTTAAGTGACAGGAGAGGGGAAGAACGGGTCAGCAGTAAACTGACAATCGGCGGAGGTAGACGATCAGTCCCGTGATATGTCGGAGTAAATTAGTGATTTTCATTCTCAATCATTTTTTTCTGTTTTTTGTCTGATTCTCCCATTCGATAGTGTGTTGTTTTTAAAATTATGTTTAAGTAAACAGACCGTGTTTGCATTGTATTTTGTTGGATGTGATTGTTTTTTGTGCTGAGATTACATTTTGTTCAATTATACTCAGATTCAACGTCTGGGTGTTTTGCAGTGCTGTAGTAAGAACGTCTTTAAGTTGCTGTATGACCTCCAGATGGAAAACAAGTGATACTGGCAGCACCAAAACATTTACGGTTGTTCGTTTCCTTTTATTTTTGTCCTTGTCTGTTGGTGTGTTTATCTGTTTGTCTCGGTGTTACTGCTTCCGTTGTTATTGTTTAGGTGTTATTGTCGTTGTTTCTGCTGCTGCCGTTGGTGCTATTGCTATTGTATAGCTGGATTTTTGCCGTTCCTAATGTCGCACCATAACAGCTGCTGTTGCTCTCGTCGTTACGCTGTCAAGGTTTATGTATACGATTGCTGGCCTACTTATTTGCCATTTGGACTTCACAGGAAAGGTGAAGTTTTTTGTTTTTTTTTTTCAAATTATTTGAAAATGAACTCAATGGTTTAACCTTCTCAAGCCCGTAGTAGGAATTGGACGCACAAAGAAACAGTCCTTACACGGTACATTGATGAAGTCAATTGGCAGAGTAGGAAAAAATGCCAAAGAATAGCTACAATATGTGTTCAAACGTGGCGCCCAAGTGGTGCAAATCTTTCTCCTGAAGTAATACGAAATGCCCTGATTCATCTAGTCAGTTTTTATTTGTCGAAACACCACTTCTTTTAATTAGAAAAAAAAAGGGTGGCAGTAAATCCCTGACTACTAACAACGAGCGAGTGCTTTTGAATGATGGCGAGTGCTTTTGACTGATGGATTAACGAAACAGTTCTACTTATTCTCCAAGGAAAACAGCTGTGAGTGTAGCAACTCACGAGGTACAGTCATTCGCCAATGCTTCAAAGTCCTATTGACAATATAATGATTTTTTTCGGCGTTATAGTCTTTCAACCTTGTGCCTTAACAGTACGCATTACCTTAAAATTATATATTTTTGTCCCACGCAAGAACTGGGTAGATTTCCTGTACTCTACATATTACAGCGTAGTGTACCACCCTCTACATAGCACAGAAAATGGGATTCAGGGAAATAGGACGAGTTTACTCTCGATTACCCAGCGTGATAGGGTGCACTTCACAGAGGAAATCAGACCCTGGACCAAGGACCAAGGTCCAGGGTTGTTTGGACCATCTCACAACCTGAGAAATGTTCCCCGGTCCCACCCCCACTGAGATTGAAACTGTCTTGTGACAAATCATTGTGGAGCTTGGTCTGCATAATGAATGTGTCCATAATGAGTATATCTTGTAAAGGTACGATTCAACAGTTTTATTATGTAATTGTGACGGACCGACTTGAATCAAGTCTAATCTTGGAATATGTTATGAGTTTGGTAGCCATCCGAATAGTAATAACAGTTCCCACCCCGTCATGCTTGTAACCAGTATTTAAAGAGCTCGATGGGATATGAAATGGTCAGTTGTTTGTAACTAGTCATATTGCTTGATTTATACATGTATGAGGCTGGATTAGCTAAATGGTTATATTTCTACAAAACTTTGACGCATTATTCTTGCGCAACGTACTTTGCCCTGGCGTACGTGCGATTCTCCCTCTCTCCGATCGAGTTGTGTTGGCACATAACGTGAGTTGTCGTTCTTCATCAAGCTTTCAATTTTGTTCACTTTAATTCTGCGTTTGGGTCGTGTTGACATTGCAGCCTTGTTTTCATCAACCTTGTGACTACGCTAGCTTTTCGTCGTTGGTTGATGAGATCCAAAATAGGACATTTGGCTTCCTTTCAATTTCGCACATTGTAGAGAAAGTTTTGTGCATGTGTCGTTTGACCGACGACTGTTGCACGTCAGCGACCTGACGACTGTTGTGTGTATTTTGTGTAATAGATTTACTCAGAGGAGAGAGGTGGGTCCGCACAATGCCCTTGGGAATTAATTAAAAGTTAACGTATAGTGCCCTTGGGAATTTATTAAAAGTTAACGTATAATACCCTTGGGAATTTAGTAAATTTTAATTTACAATCACTTAGAAACCTAACTTTATATTCTCAACTCTTGAGGAGTCTCATCTTCATAAACAAATACACTTCTGGTTATTGTCATACTCATACTTTAGTTCTTCCTCCATGTTTATATTATAGTGTAGCCTATGCTGTCTCATAATTGTTGGATTGAATAATTAAATCTAATCTGAAATGCAATCATGGAACATCATGTTGTACTGAATACATATATTATTCTTTGATTAATCTGTGGTCACTTAGCAGTTTCCTGTCCCCAATTTAAAAGTTGAGCGGACCCACTACGTCAGGGTGGCAACACCCCCCACGTAACCATGACATTATCATCTGTAGTTCAAATTTAAAGACTGTTCAACTTTCTCTTAAATATGTGTAATGATTCCGATCTGTTCAATTATAATACCAGAAAGTGAATAAAAGAAATTTCCAACTGTTAGAAGGGCATGGTGTTGAGCCCGGACTCTGGGAGAGAGGAGTGAGTAAAAATCAGTGAGCTCGATTCCAGGTCTTTGTACGAGAAATCCAGATTTAGTAGAGACACCGTGTAATTTGAAATTGATACGACTTTTCAAACTCTGTACATTGTAATTGTATAACTATTTTTTCGTTTATGTCATTTCCTTCACTCGTTTTATTTTCTGTGCTTTATGAGGGGCTTTCATTCTGCTTCCACGTCCGCACACTGTGTACTGCACCGCTGGTTCCGTCTGTGGTAAACGGGGAACACCGGTTGTGCGCATGCGCCAGTTTTTTGACGAGTACGGGCAAGTGGCATAATTCATGAATCTTGACCCATTTTGTAAACACTGCCAAAAAGTCATGATAATACTGTATATTCACGATTTTGATGAATGTTTTCGACCATTCCCACATGTTTACACTTTTTACTGACAAGTGCAACAGGACAAGCGAACTAAAATGGATTTCTTAAGCGCGAAATTTAAAGCTAAACTGAGCTGCTCCGATTTTGTGTTTCTTGCGAGGTAAGATTTACAGATGAAAATTCTATATGACCTAGAGTTTTCCTAGCTTAAAACAACACATAATATCACAAAGCAACTCTTCATCTTACAAACTGTATTTTCTCTTCTGTGCAAACCCCAAGGTTTTCGAGAAATGTGGACTTTACATGGGTGATATTTTCAGCCTTAACCGCCATTTCGGTAGCCCGCGTAAGCGCGGTACCGGTGCCAGACTACACGGCATGTACATGTATGTCACGCGCGGGCGATCTGCCCGATACTGCATACCCTCCTGACTAGAAAAAATGCGGGGCGACAAGCACTTTAACTCAATATTCTCAAATTATGACCTCCCAGCAGTGCAAAATAACCTCCACTTTCTGATATATAAACAGGTCGGGTGGGGTATTGTCAAAACTTTTAAATGACTGGTATTTTAAATAACATCCTCAGAGGTTGATAAATGAAATAGTCCTCTTTTCAGATTACATGTACATCCAAAAAGTACATAACATGTGGATCACTTTTACTTGAAAGGCTTTGAAAGAAAATTTGAAATTGTTTTCTTACATTGAAACCGTTTGTTTTAATTTGTCACTTTTTAATACCTTAAATAAAAAATAGTTCTGGAACTACATACCAATTAGAAAGGAAAGAACAAAGCTACTCTTGACAAAAGTTCACAAAGATACAAGCATGTAAATTTATTACTTTTAATTGACAGACTATTGGAAAGTGGCTCTTTGATTATGGATCACATACACAATCTCCAGAAATTATGCAGAATAAGTGCTGAGAGAGTATATCCATGGAAAATCCATAACAGGCAAGCGAAGCCTTGCTCAGAAAATCAAGAGAAGATACAAGCAAAGTATAAAATCAATGTAGAAACCAATGAGCCACATTGCCACCCTCCCTTCATGT